ATCACTAAAAAAGCAAGGTTCACCCCTTACAATTTGAAATGTTTCATAAACATCTAAATTTTACTAAAAATGCAAGGTTATCCCCTTACAAGCTGCAATTTTCCAGAAACATCTGATTTTTCCCAATTTTGCTAAAATGTAAGGTTAACCCCTTGCAAACTGTTAAATCAATACATGAAGTGTCCCATTTGACTTTTTTAAAACAAATTATTTTTCCAGTGTTTAGGGTAAAGGAATTTTCTCTTTTTCCTTTCTCTTTTGTTGTTGCTATATTTTGCGAATTGACTCATTCGTATGGAATGCTCATAGTCAATCACAGACTATTTCACACATAGGGGCCTAAATTATATTTTTAAAATCAAATAGAGACGCATTGATCGTGCTATCATATACCATTCTATTACTATTGCGAATTACTGTATTGTTTGGAATGCTCACAATTAAAGACACGTTATTTGAAAGATGTATAAATAATATTTATATTACAATGTACATCTTTATTCTTTCCCGTTATAATTTATGGCGTTTCTTACGTCAATTGGCAATCGCGTCATTATATAATGATAGTCAAATTGATCAAACGAAACTCCGTTTTGATTATAGTCAATTATGAAATATTCATTGATTTATGACATACACCTTTGTTTCAATTTTGATACTATCCGTAGACCTGCCGAGCAGCTGTAGATATCAAACTAAACCAAAGTATAAAAGATAGAGGGTAAAACAAATCAAAAAGTTATGTGCTAGTCAAGCTTTCAGGGATCGGTCTGAGCCATAACAATGCCCCAGCCGATCCCTTAGTTCTCTTCCGGGGTCTCGGCGTCCCCGACCAATACACACTTCCTTCCCTATCCATCCATATAACCCCGGAGGGCCAGGCACCATGTAAAAGCAAAGAGCTAAGGGAGGAACAGGGCGGCCCCTAAGCCCTGTTCCTCCGAGTGGACCACATGCCCTGAACCTGTACGAAGGCGCCAACCTGGAACTCGCGGACAGTACCAGCAGCAGTGCTTACACGACGGGAAATTAAATCTCATTTAGTAAATGATTGAACTCATACGTTAAAAACCAAAAAGACACCAGCGGGATTCGAACCCGGGACCCCGCTAACCGTGGACGACGAATCGTAACCGCTCGGCCATGTCGTTACCTTAGAATTGTCCTTAAACTGAGAAAAGTTGTCTTTATAGGTGAGCAAACGCGCCAGGAAGATTACTGGGTCCATTTGCTTTACCTTAATGGGTAAAAACAAGTCGATATAATGAGCCCAGTGTGTTTGGTTTGTTAGGAAGCTGCATAACACAGCCTAATGTGCAAAACAGTCGTGTGCTAGGCGGATCATTACGCAACAATGAACACCGCAATTGTGTATTTTCAAAAGGCAGACGCGTCGATTTCTAATCTTTGTATCTAGGCACATATAGATTCTCACCTCCCTCTTCAGCTATTTCGACTTTCTTAAAAAGAAAAATAGAGACTGTCAGCGAATCTCCAAGAGTTGAAATAAGGATCGTCCCCTCGATAGACCTCAGACTCAGTAAAGTTCAACACTGGGCTCTTTTTCAACAGCTGTTTTTGCGGAAACTTTACATCTGGATTTTTTTAGAAGCATCTGATTTTGCCCAATTTTAGTAAAATATGCTCCAAATTTTGCTTAAAAAGCAAGGTTAACCCCTTACCATTTTAGATTTTTCATACAATCTGATTTTGCCAAATTTTACTAAGTATACAAGGTACACCTCTTACAATTTAAAATTTTTCATAAACATTTCTTTTTCCCCAAATTTGCTAGAAATACAAGGTTAAGCCCTAACAATATGCAATTTTCCAGAATCATCTGATTGTGTCCTATTTTGCTTTAAAAAAATGCAAGGTTAACCCCTTACAATTTGAATTTTTTTTCATGAGTATCTAATTTTTCCCAATCTTATTCAAAAAGCAAGGTTAACCCCTTACAATCTGCAATTTTCCAGAAACATTTGATTTTTTCTCATTTTCGCTTTAAAAAATGCGAGGTTAACCCCTTTCAATTTAAAATTTTTCGTAACATCTAACTTTGCAAAATTTCACTAAAAAAGCAAGGTTAATCCCTTACATCTGATTTTTTTCGGAAACATCTGATTTTGCCAAATTTCGCTAAAATATGCAATGTTCACCCCTTACAATTTGAAATGTTTCATAAACATCTAACCCCATACAATCTGCAATTTTCCAGAAACATCTGATTTTTTCCCGATTTTGCTAAAAAAAAATGCAAGGTCAACCCCTTACAATTTGATTTTTTTTCATAAACATCTAATGTTGCCCAATTTTACATCAGCTTATGCTAACAAATTATCAGGTAACTGGATCATTAAACGGGACAGGTGCACATCGGCCTTGGAGCTCAGACCATGTTTCATGCACTCCTCAATGCATAGATGATGCACATAACACTATGGGTAGAACAGGCTAACAGGCACAGCTGGGGGTACTGCCCAAACAATGATGAACGCATTGCGTATGCTTAAAGACACTGACACTCATACTCATACACTGACTTTAGGCAAAATAGTCAGACTTTCGCGGTCTAGTAACCAGACTTTGACTCTAAACGAAACATCGAATGAAAAGGGAAACATCAAATGCATATTGCAAAAGATCGAATGCAAATATACCGATGAAACATCGAATACAAATAGCTCGAAATGTCAAACATATGTGTAAAACATTGCTCACATATTTGAGAATATCGCAAATATATTGTAGAACAAGACACACAATTGTATCGAAAAACATCGCACATTTAATGCAAAAAATCGAACATAATATTGAAAACATCGCACATATAATTATATCGTCAAAAACATCGCACATATAAATTGAAAATCGCATATAAATGTAAAACATCGCACACATATATTGAACATCGCTCATATATTGTAAAACATCGCACAAATATATAAAACATCGCGCAAATAATGAAAAACATCGCACACTTATATTGAACATCGCACATAAATGTAAAAGATAACAAACACATATTGAACATTCAACATATATATTGCAAAATATTGAATATTGCAACGTTTGACACGCCATAGGCGGCCGTATTTCGAATTAGCCGTTGCAGTGCAGCGTTTTTGCAAATTCGACTAGTGTTGTAACAAATACGGGGGGGGGGGGTGGGAATGCCCCCCCCCCCCCCCCCGGTGCATCCCAAGCCCCTCCGCCAACTTTAACGCTATAGTTTTACGCCACTGTTGAACTGCCTTTTTGGATTTTGCATTTCAAAAAAATATTAAATTACAAGACGTTTTATTCATAATTTTGTTCGCAACGGTTGCACAGAGGGAAAACTGTACCACTACCAGTCGTATCTTTATTCTTCACTGCAGATTCGTTTATTTCCGCATGACAACAAAAAGACAAGCAATAGAAAAAAATTAGGACCTAATTCAGAAACTTGTTCTATGCATAATTGGGACCATTGACGCTAACAATACATGTGATCTCCAATCTTGAGTATCGAACGAGCTTGCGAAAGTCATTACCATCTCTTTTTTTTTGCGTTTCAACCTTTTTAATTGCTGTTTTTCTGGCACAATACAAAAGTTTTCACTACACAATCAAAATCCGCCTTCCGTGACATTTTAGTTATGACGGGAAATGTTTGATTTCTTTGAAGAAAAAAAAATGCCCGACACTGATTCAGACAATGTGCTTCAATTAATTCAAACTCCCAAAACAGACATAATTTTTTTGCTCGTTAAAACAAAACAAACAAATTGAAACTTCACTAGGAGAGAAAATTGCATTAATTTTGGAGCGGAAACTTAATATAGGTTTTCCCGGCTATTTTAACACTTGTATCACACGAATTCCCTATATCGATACCTTAATTTCGTCCCCGAACATCGCCAAGCTCAATTCTCAATTTGAATTTCAAAAAGCCACCACAAGATTTCATTTAATGTTCAGTATACTTCAAATTGTTAGCATTCCGATTCGTCCAAAATCTTTGAAATTCGTCTCGTGAAGCAATCGGCGTTGAATTGACAAAGCAAATTCGTTTTTTTGTCATTCGTTTCATGTTGTTGTCATTACATTTCATCCCGGTGGCTTAAATCGTATACGATTAGAAAATGCGCCCAATCTTTAGACTTATTTGAAGAATTATGCGTATTAAAACAATGATAATTCAACATATGTATAAATAAAAGTAGTTAGCTGTAAGGTATGAATTTTTATTTCCGTGTTTCACAATTAACATTAGAGTCAGGAATTGACATTTCACAATATGCACTTATGACATGGACACTAAGCATTAAGATCAAAGACCTTCTTAATGTTGTTCTTTGATAGACATGCCTTATTTCTGTTGTTTTATTCATATACATAAATCAAAGAGCAACATTACGAAGGTGTTTGATCTTATAATGCTTAATTTCCATATGCTAAGCAAAGAGCCTATAGTGAAAGTTCAATTTCTGATTTTAATGTTAATTGTCAAATAAAACTCAAAACTTACAGCTATACTTTAATTTATAAGGACATATTTGTTAAAAATTTAAATTTAATTAATGCGCAAACAAGTCCAAAGATTGGGCACATTTTTAATCGTAACGTTTTAAGTCGCGAGAGACGAAATGTAACGACAAGAACATTATGAAAACGAATGACAAAAAACGAATTTGCTTTTTCAATTCAACGCCGATTGCTTCACGAGACGAATTTCAAAGATTTTGGACGAATCGGATTGCTAACAATTTGAATTATACTGAACCTTAAATGAAATCTAGTGGTGGCTTTTTGAAATTCAAATTGAGAATTGAGCTTGGCGATGTTCGGGGACGAAATTAAAGTATCGATATAGGGAATTCGTGTGATACAAGTGTTAAAATAGCCGGGAAAACCTATATTAACCGAATGTAAGAAAAGAGCGCCCCCAGGCGATTAGGCTCAGCTATCCGTTGACCCCATGTGATAAATCACGTGTACAGGTAAAGCTAGCTCACTCGCACTGCATTTTTGTGCACTGCATGCATGCTCCATCCATCGCGTCGGAGTTAACCACCTACGCGTTATACTGACTTGTCGCCCTCCTCTAGCTGCACGTAGCGTTGCCGGTGGTTATACCTCTGTACTTTTGTTCTAACTAACGTTAGTTGTGAATATTACAATCAACCCAAAATGCCGGAGAAGAAACCATTTGAGCGATTGCCAAAGACGGTTGTGCCCTCGAACTACAAGCTAAAACTTGCGCCCGATCTCAAGCAATTCACGTTCGCTGGAGATGTGGCTGTGGCCGTTTTGGTGAGTTCATATAATGTCTTTGCATTTGCTCGCTCATCTTACGATGAATGAGTCTTACCATGGAGGATTCTTATTCCTCCATGGTCTTACCATATAGCTCCATGGTCTAACGTGTGTTATCTATAATTGATGGGTACCGAACTTTGGTAAAAGTGTAGTTAGGACAACTCTAATTTTTACTAGGGAAAGAGTTCTGCTTCCTAAAATTCAACATATGGTTTGGAAAATATTGCAACCTGATGCCACTTTTCTCTTCAATCATAGGCGTAGGCCTATATCATCTCAATGAAGGTCAGTCATTGCAAAAATAACTATGAAACATGATTCTGGGACTGAGATTAGAGAAACATTTCCAATTTTGTTGGACATGTTTTGGACTCTCCATAGACTTTGAACACAACCGCTGAAGTGGCGTCAGGTTGCAACCTTTTTTTACGTTGGTACATGTATCTTCATCATCATCATCATCTTCCTATACTGTGCAGAAACCTCTGCCATGTCTTAGCCATGTTTAATGTTAAGCAAATTATTTTATTCAGGTGAGTCCAAAGTGACTTTTGCAGCCCCAAGAAGTCTTCTTTTTTTACAATGAATGATTAACTCTAGATTTTTGTAATTTTTGTCATTAGGCCTACATGAACTTGCAACTTTCTAACCTGTCTAACAGAGCCTAATTTTAGGTGTTGGAGTCACAGCAATACATGTGCCATCATGTCCCTCATGAATCAAAACCCTGCCCTCTTTCTACAAAATTAAGGCTGTTGATATTCAACATGGTATCATTAACAAATAATTTCAGTAAGTCCAAAAGCAAGTGACTTTTCTTTCGGAAAGGCCAAATAAAAAATGACTTTTCTTGCTTGTGTATCATTGCCAAATATTTAGGTAAGTCTCGAAACATGTCTTTTTGTTCTCTTAATATAACAGGTTCCTAAACTACACTTTTATCCAAACTTAATGCAGTTATTTTCGATTGGTTGCATCGTCTCTTTTTTTTTTCTTGTAGGTTCTATATTGCGGATTTGCCCTGTATGAAGTGTTTTGACTCTCAAAGCCAAACATATGGATGTGAGACTTAAATTTTTGGGTTTAGCAATTGACAATGTCTAGGTCTTATCCTTGCACTCTTTGACTGTTCCATTCAGGTGAATGAGGCAACACCGAAGATAGTGCTCAACTGTGTTGACATCAAGATCTCCAAGGCATCATTTGTTTCTGGTGGAAAGGGTGGGTGACTGTGTACCAATATTCTATGAGCTGGGGCATTTTATACATCACAACTATTCCAGCTAATCCCAACTATAGGCCTACATGATGTAGTTGGGGTTCTGTAACAACGCAGTTGTACATAAAATAATGGACTTTCATACATCATGAACTACCAGTGACTGACAATAGTTTGCATAAATTTCAACCCAATTTGGCAACAACATTTGTACTGGTGGTAGGCATGCCCAACTGTGTTACCACTTTTGGTACTGCCCAAGCAATAGTTGGGACAGGTTGCTATATAATTGGATGCTCCTCCCACTTGCTGCTATTGTGGGCAAAATACTGATTTCAGAAAGAATGTACCTTACATTGTGTAGTGTCCAGACACCACTTCTTTGGTTGTGTACAAAGTCTAAGTGCATTTTCAAAGTATTTTTTAACAAAAGTGGAAATGTTTCCCTGTCCCGAATGTATGTCTTTTCAACATTTTTGTAATTACTGACCTTGTTGAGATAACACATGATGACAAAAGTGGCGTCAGGATGCAACACTCTTTCCTTGATTTCACTTGGGCAAAACATGTAAGTAAAAGATGCCACCATGAACAGTGCCTCTTACAGCAAATGTAATATAATATGTTTTATGACATTGAAGCAACCTTTCTCGTTAAAAATCACTGAACAATGCTATTCCTTCTTGCATTTTAGATGTCTCAACTAGTGATATCAGCTACAGTCCTGAGAATGAGACTGCCACCCTGACATTCCCAAACCCTTTGGAGACAGGCAAGGGGGAGTTGCGTCTTGAGTTCACTGGGGAACTGAATGATAAGATGAAGGGTTTCTACCGAGGCAAGTACACCACACCGGAGGGAGAGGAACGCTTCTGTGCTGTGACTCAGTTTGAGGTAGATTTAAAAATTGTGACTTGGCATTTTTAAACTTGATGGCTGCATGGCATCTTAGGAGAAGCCCATCCTCAAGGGTTGAAGAACGCTTTCCAAATCATAGTGTAATGTCGTTTTGTATGGTAATATTTTTATTATTTGTTTCAAGTAATGGAACCAAAGATTCCTCAAAAGTCCCATGGTATTGTAGCTAGCAAGCATGAAGCAACCTATAGAGAGAAGAAAATGAAGACATGTTCAGAGGCAGGAGGAAAACCCGCCAAAATATCTTGGAGACATAATCGGAATCAGGCAGTGGCGGAAAACACAATCCAGCTATGGAAGTTCTATAATTTGCACCTCAATTGTGCCCAAGATTTGCCATCAATTTATTCTTTTTGATATTTGTTTGGGGTTGTTTGCCACAGGCCACTGATGCAAGAAGAGCATTTCCGTGCTGGGATGAGCCAGCGATTAAGGCCACCTTTGATGTGACTTTGGTGGCACCAGCTGATCGAGTGGCATTGTCCAATATGGTAAGTTGAATACCATCTGCCAAGTCTCTGAAAGCATTGGGGCAGGGTCCTCTCTTTCCATTTCATTTGTGTATAATTTTAAGCATTGCATCTTGGAATACGAGAATGAGGTACATTATATGGATTATACCATTTAACTTTCAATCTCGTCTGTGAAGAAGTTGGTTCTGCAATAACCAAGCAGCAACGTATGTTTTCTCTAATTTTCTAACAGTATTCTCTTCCTAATGTGTTAGTCTCCAAGCTGACCAATCTTAAAGCCTAAAAATATGCAGAATGTTGACAGTCCATTGTTATGTTCCACCAAAAGATTGTGCAGATGGACAAAGAGAACATAAAACCTGATTAAAGAAAACATTGAGACTTTTAATATTACTTTACCTGTTTCAGAATGTAGTAAGCGACCAGCCCAGCCCAGATGACCCCAAACTCAAGGTGGTGACCTTTGGCCAGACACCTGTCATGTCCACCTACCTGCTGGCCTTTGTGGTGGGTGAGTTTGACTACGTTGAGGGCACCTCGCTGGATGGTGTCTGTGTCAGGGTTTACACCCCTCTCTCCAAAAAGGAGCAAGGGCAGTTTGCTCTTGAGGTGGGTATTAGACCCTTTATTAAATTTCGTCCCCTCCAACCCCTTCCCCACCACATTCGGAAATTAATATGCATGTTTTATAAAAGATCAGAATGAACGTAATTGAATTTATATTTGAAAAAGCTGAAATTGCACACCGGAGAACATACGAGTGTCAGTCTGTAGTACAATCCAGGTGAATCACAACAGAAAACCTGCTTAAAGGGATACTACTTCCTGGAAAGTGCCCAATCAGGCTCCAAAAGGCGTTTTGATCGAAATTATGTTAATTGGAAAGACAATTCAAAAGTAACATATAAACATCCACACAACCATTCTTTCAAAACTGGGCGTTTTGGTGTTATTTCGTGCGAGAATGAATTTCGGGGTCCACTTTTGCAACCCCCAAAAATCGGCTGTTTGTGCTAGTTATAATATCTAGCCATAAAGTGTTCGCCTTTTGCGGACATGTAAGAAACCACATTTGTGCATTGGTACTGTGTGTAATATTTATGTGACAGAACAACGTGTATCATACATTGAATGAAAACTACAGGAAAAACGTATGCACACTCCGTCGTGTCCGCTGTAAACAACCAGGTTTTTTGGTCTTTTCTCGGGGACGGTAAATAAGACATTAGGATGGTTTCCTACTAACCAGATATTTGAAATAGGATTATAAAACAATCCAGAGCATGAAATTTTCGAGGATTTCGGGACGCAGTAGTGCCCCTTTAACATGCAGTGTATCCTGAAAAGATTTGTATTTGGTAATAAGGACTGGTAGTTTTTAGTTTTTCCTTGGTAGTGGCTGATTTCATTTGAATTCTTTCCTAAAAAAAACCATCAATAAAATATTCATGTGTGTGTGGTACAGCATGAATAGGATGTCAACCCAAACCATCAACAAAAAAAACCATACCGTCAACAAAAAAATGATTTCTGTAAGGCAAATGCTTGGTGGCATAGTACATTGTATTGTGAGTAACTACATGTATAATAGAATAATTTGCATGTCCCGGTAGACTGGTGTTGCAAAGTTGCGCCAATGCAAATTATTCTAAAGATTTGAAATAAAGTATATCTGAAAAATTTGACGTTTGAATCAGTAGGGAGCGACAACATTGATAGATCAACTGTTGCAATGATTTGGAATTACTTACAGGACTAGTCAGTAGATAAATACCTGAAATTGAAATGTTTGCAACCAAAATCTGAATATATTTGGGAAAACCTGAGTCATTCCTAATACTGTTTTGTCTGGCAGAACTCTGGAACTCTTTCACACCCTGAAGTGACTTTTTAAATATGCAATTGTTGATCCACCGATGTTTGTGCAGGTTGCAGTGAAGACATTGCCCTTCTACAAGGAATACTTCAATGTGGCTTATCCTCTCCCCAAGATTGATCTGATCGCCATTCCAGACTTTGCTGCCGGGGCCATGGAGAACTGGGGTCTTGTTACTTACAGGTACAATCAATGTTCCCTTGTCCCCTTTTCAGAAAAACTCATGGCTATTTCACGTCATTGTGTTGTTCTAAATGTGTTGTAAACAAGCCACAAATGTGTTTCTAGTAGCATGGAGGTAAATGTGTAAATTTAACTTTTATTCAGCATAAAGTGAAAGTTCCGTCCTTCCCGACATTGCATTACTGTCAGTGAAATGCCGCTATAAGGAACACTGCTCTTACGAACATTTGGCTATAAAGAACATCCCCTTTGGCTCCCAAAATGGTAAATTCTTTTACAATGCACAATCACTATTACGAACATTTTTTATGGACCCATTCATTTTCTAGAGAAAGTGCTCTTCTGGTGGATCCAAAGAACTCATCAGCATCAGGCAAACAGTGGGTGGCATTAGTTGTGGGTAAGTTTACATTGATAGATAAAATGGACACAAGTTTAAAAGAACACAATTGTTTTTCTTTTTTTTCTCATCATTATCAGGCTCATGCAGATTTTTCACATTCTTATGTGTGTGCAAAAAGCTGATCTTCAGTCATTCCTTAGCCAGCCTTCTCCATTATTCAATCACTGTCATTGTAAACAGAAAAGGTGATTAGTTACCCCTCAAACCTGACAGAAAGAGGAACATGACACTTGAACGCTATGGGCTCCGTGCGCCAACAAAGAGGGCACTTTTTACCACTTTTGAGAGCTCCATGGACGGGACACACAGCATGTGCGCACTGTACTGTACAGGTTCTCGTGTGAAGTACGCATGACTTCCTGCATGTGCCAAAGCTATTAGCCACAGCGTCTTTGCATGAGCGTCAGGTGTCGTCAGCATGTGAATATGTTCGAATTGAACTTGCGATTGTCTCCCGCCGCGAATAACTTTGGATCATTTGAAATACGCAGTGGATGGACGTCCATTTCCCACTGCTACAGTGAGTTGATAGTGTATTAAAGTGCATCCGCTAAATCCAAATCCATTTTTTGTTCCTGTGAATTTTGTTTGTTTCATCGTACAGGCCATGAGCTTGCACACCAGTGGTTTGGCAACCTTGTCACCATGGAGTGGTGGACCCATCTCTGGCTGAACGAGGGCTTTGCATCGTGGATCGAATACCTGTGCGTGGACCACTGCTTCCCAGAATACGAAATCTGGACGCAATTCATCACTACAGATTACACCCGTGCACTGGGGTTGGATGCACTGAAGAGTAGCCACCCTATTGAGGCAAGTAAAGTACCTGCAAAGTAAACACCAATCAGTGTTTTACTATCAATAGTTCACTATTTATTAGCATTGAAGAAGATCTTTTAAATCAAGGATCACACTAGGATGTCTGGTAGACTAGAGACCTGACGGTATTAGGTTGGGAAGGGTAATGCTAATCAACTTTTGGTATTCTAGGATCTAAACCTTAAGAACATCACAGTTTCTGAGAATCTGAGACTGCACAGTGGGTAGTGATTCTTCATTCATTTTTCCATTTGCTCAGGTGCCCGTCGGCCACCCAGATGAAATTGATGAGATTTTTGATCTGATCTCCTACTCCAAGGGCAGTTCCATCATCCGGATGCTGCATGACTACATTGGCGATGAGGTAATTTGAAGGATTAAGGGCGCTAGTGTTTTACTGCCTAAGTAATCGCTTCTCATTTTGCTCAACAAAAGAGCTTACATAAGGCCTTTTTCACTTTGCAATAGGACTGATTCACGTTATTTATCTCGACAGACTTTCAGAAAGGGTATGAACGTGTACCTGACACGTTTCAAGTACTCCAACACCTTCACTGAGGACTTATGGGAAGCCTTGGGGGAGGCCAGCGGCAAATGCATCAAGGAGCTGATGAGTACCTGGACTCTACAGATGGGATTCCCTGTGTTGAAGGTGTCCTCTGAGCAGCAGGGGACATCCAGAGTGCTGTCTATCTCGCAGAGCAAATTCTGCGCTGATGGACCCATTGAAGGTATACACTTTGAGATTGTTTTAAGCCTTTGCATAAAGCAGCCCTTCTGCTGGTGCATATTAAGTTTTACTTTTGTTGCCTATTTAGGCCTGGTCTAAGCCTTTACCTTTCCAGATTCTTCAAACTCCAACAAGAGATTTTGCGTGAAGAATTTAGAGACCATCCGGTATTGCATATCATTGGCCATGATATCCCAATAGAGTGTGGTGAATGTGCCATTGTTTCCATGCACATTGGAGGATTTTGAAATATTCAGAATGGTTTCTTACAAAAATATGATTTTAGATAACACTTTTCCTTTTGGTGGGTATTTCTAGGTGAGAGTCCTCAGTGGAAGGTCCCCATAAACATTGCCACCAGTGGCAATCCCACCAAGTCAGCACACACGGTCCTACTGGAGAAACCTAGCATTACTGTTACCCTGGAGAACGTTCAACCAGACCAGTGGGTCAAGGTAATATAGTTAAACAAGTACCAAGTGGTACAACCCATGGCGGCTGGGTAAAGTGTGAAGACGGCTTACGGCACCGTCCGTGTGCGCGCAACCCGGCCGTAGTAGTACCTCGAGAGTACAGAAAACAAAAAACAAATGGTGTGTGATCTAAAAAATTAGATGCATGCGTACAAAACCAGCCTTCGGAAGCAAAACTGTAATACTCGAGCTGCATGAATACAATATATCACCAAGTGAACTGTCCACCAACCAACCCACCCACCAACCAACCATCAAACATAAGCAGCTCAAGCCCACAGCGTGTTTCACACCCGCCGTGGGAAATGGTAACAGAGTGATTCCTTAGGCCTTGCCCACTGTACACAGAGACAACACCTGTGTTTCTCCAATACATGCACATCAGACTTTTGTCGGGCATTGATGTTTGCATTTGATCAAAACATTACAGGATGGACTGTATCCTTTAATCCTTGAATGTTCCCTTCAAGTTGGATCTCTTGGTATCTTACTTCGGTCATTCGTTGGGTGTGACTGAAGAAACGCATTCTCTTTTGTGTTACTATACCTCATACATATTCATGATCGAGAGCCGAACTTTCACTGGTCAATTCACCATCACGTGCCAGATGTTATTCTTGCTGTTTACCAAACGCGCGCGCGAGGATTCACGCACATTGTAAATACGCATGCGTAGTAGACTGTCGCATGGGTTGCCCGTGCGACAGTCTACTACACATGCGCTTTACAGAGCAATCGAGGAACTGTCGCACGGGTGCAGTACGCACGCGCGAACATCGCCCAGGAGATATGCATGGTTGCACGGTTCGCGTAAATGTTAATTTCCCGAGCTCCATGATGCCGTACTGGAGAAAATGTATGGACCGTGTACAAAAGAAAGTTGTACACATTGCAAACAACTGTATTTACAACTGTAGTAACTGTATTATATTGCAAACGAACCGAACGAGTAATTGAAGTTGAGCAACAATATTCTTTTGGTGAGCTGTACAAGTTTCCCCGAATTTTGTTTTAGGTGCATCATAATAAAACAAAATTCGGCAACTGAATATGTATGAGGTATAGTAAAACAAATATAACATGGTTTATTTCAGGTGGACAGTCGATATTAGCTCCCCTCGGTATTGGAAGTTGACAAACTAGTTCCCTCGGCTTCGCCTCGGGAACTAGTTTGTCAACTTCCAATACCTCGGGGAGCGAATATCGACTGTCCACCCTCAAACCATGTTATATTTGTATATTATCCTGTCGATGATTGTATGCCCGAGTCCAAGTGATTGACGGATTTTGGTGTTGCGGGTTTTATCCAGGCATGATACCCCGAGGATCTTTCTAAGGCACATCATTTCAAAGACGAGTAATCCGTTTTCATCTTCTTTCTTGAGTGTCCATGTTTCTGCTCCATATAGGAGGATGGAGAGTACGACATATAAACACTGTATACTCAGTGTTTTATGAAAGTTTGTTTTGACAAAATGTGACACCTTATCTCTTTTGTAAGGTCTGTTTGGTTCTGAGATCAATTTGCATAAAATCACTGTTTCAAAGGTAAAGCTCTTGGACCCGAATTTTGTGGAGCCGCTTTGCAAACAAATGAGCTAAGGACAGGAAATATTTGCCAAGCAGAAACTGGTTGCCAACCAAATGTCATAATGACCACATAAATTTGCTGAGCACTATTTCCTACCCAGTAGCTCCATGAAACAAGGCAGTGCTTGTTTCCTCATTCTATAATGACAAACACAACCTTCTTAAAGGTAGAGTAGACCGTTTGTCAGTGGTGCATTTTTTTTCGTTTGAGGCAACAAAAGTGCTCAAAATCTGAAGACAGGTGTTAAACAACTAACCTGGGCCCAATTTCACGGTGCTGCTTAACAGTTAGCAGAAAAGTTGTGCTTAGCATAGCGGAAAAATGTGCTAACCTTTAGCACGGCGTGGACGTGCTAACGGTCGTGCGTGCATGGAGATTTCTATTGTTACGTCACTAAGTTAAGCAAATTTTTCCTCTTGAGGTAAGCGTGCCTTTTGCTGTGCTTATGCTTACGGTCTCCATGAAATAGACGGAGGCTCTGTGCTTAGCAGTGCCGTGAAATTGGGCCCTGATGAAGCGTTAGCTCTGTGAATGTTTAGATTTCGAGAAAACACAATATTCTGGATCTCGATTTCAATTCCAAGGTTGCTGAGTCATGATACAATCCTGTGACTCTTTGTTGCAATTGGGGGTACTTTCCCATAATCAGCATTCGGGACATGATTCTCATTCAGCCTATTGTTGCTGTGTGATGTCATACACTGAACCGACAATTCTCGTTAAAAATTGCAACTGCGCGCACGTCGCCCATTCACAGATTTGCCCAATTACAAACCAACTGCCAACAGAAATTTCCAAAAATGCATCACGTGACACATCTTTGGGAATGACGGTCTTTTATTGTTTTTTTCAAAATGACAGCATGCTAGAAGGAATAATTTCACAGCGAGTTTTAGTGTCATTACTAACTTTAAACCAAGTAAGCTTTTAGACAGTAATTTGGTCGGTTACTTTTTGGAAAGATGAAAATGGTCTATTCTACCTTTGATGCACAAAACATATTACATGTCACATGATGCCTTATTTGTAATGCAAAGAATAATCCACTGATTGCTGTGTTGGCTGTTTGTATTCACTGTAGTTGAATCCTGGAACAGTTGGGTTTTACCGTGTGCACTATTCCAGTGAGATGCTGGATGCCTTACTACCAGGAATCAGAGATGGTTCCATGCCTCCGCGCGACAGACTAGGCCTGGAGAGTGACCTCTTTGCATTGGTAAGTACTGTATTCATGTCGAACATGAGTGAGCACATCACACATGCTGTTTTTATTATAGCAACACAGGACTTTTCAATATGGTCTATATATATGCTATTTAAATTCAGTGGGGATTTTGATATCAGTGTTGGAAAAAAAAATCACACTTTGTTTGTCCACTGTGGCTGCATAACCTCATAATACATGTAGCTTCATTAAATCAAAGTGAATCCCAATTTCCTCTGAAATGATGAGGTATTTCTGTGGACTACTTTTTAACTATTCCTTCAAGAAACATAGTATTGTTGAATGGGCCATGGTAAATCAAAATAGAAATTCCTAAAGCACCGCCAGTGGCCAAAGTGCAAAATTTTTGAAAGTCAGAGCAGTACCTATGTCTAATAATACAAGTTTTGAAAAATTGAAATGTCCAATTACTTAAAAAAACAGAAGTAAAGTATTCTGACAAGTTTTCCATTCATTGGGTTGATCCTTATACATTTGACCTGTTGTCGTCGATAATCCTAGGCCAAGGCAGGTCAGGCCAACACTGTGGACGTCCTGAAGGTCATAGAGGCCTTCTCCAACGAGACCAACTACACTGTCTGGACTGAGCTGGCCACCAACCTGGGAGCTCTGGCTAAACTGCTGACCAACACTGACTTTGGCCACCTGCTGAAGGAGTTCACTAAGACCTTGTTCAAAAATGGCTACGAGAAGCTTGGATGGACACCCAAGGATGATGAAGGTACTATATTTTCTCCTTGCTTATGTAACAAGTGTCCTTTGTTTGATGGAATGATAATGAAACACTCCATATGGGCAATGCACTTGTTCACGCTAATGGCACACGTATGCATGTGAATGCACAAATTGGTAGCGTTGTTTAGTAAGTATCAAGCAAATGCCGTTAGCATTGCATTTGCGTTGAAGAGTCTGCCTTACTCTGTGTTACTATTGGGGGTACTTTTGGATGGATTCGTATAAGGGCCAACATTTCATGGATGTGCTTACTTTTGAAGAAGAAAAGCCTGTTCTGACTATTTGAAGATTCTTAGAGGTACCTTTACGATGATTTCGCTCTCTCCACAGGGCATCTTGACTCCATGTTGCGGAGCCTGACCATCCGAGTAATGGGTCGTAATGGGCATGCTCATGCTGTGGAAGAGGCCCACAAACGCTTCAAGAATCACTGCTCGGGTGTGGAGCTGATACCAGCTGACCTGCGGGCTCCAGTTTATCTCACAGCATTGTCTCATGGCGATCAGACAACATTTGATGAAATTCTGAAGGTAATCGTACAATAAAGTCCAGAAGTGACAACTATTTTTTTCTCTGTTGAAGAACTCATTACTACTGATTCAAAATAAGGGCAACTTGAAACCGAGAATCGTCCTCTGTATGAAATTGCAAGGTACATGTACATGCATTCACATATTTTCATCAGCTTAACTTGGTCCTATTTTTTTCTCACAGCTTTTCAGGGCTCAGGATCTCCAGGAGGAAAAGGATCGTATCTTGAGGACTCTAGGATCCATCAAGGACCCAAGCTTGATGCAGAAAGTCTTAGATTTCGCACTCACGGTAAGAGTGTGTCTACTGTCACCCAAACAGTTCTACCCTATGAAGATTTTGAAATGTTGTGAAAAGAAAGATAGCACCTTGGCCCACTTCGGCAAAAAGTGTAAAGAGAAACTGTTATGCATGACTGTGGCAACCATTGTCATTGTAGAAGTTGATAGAGGTGTGATAAAGTCGACTGCAAGTCCTATTACCAGTCAGGCCCCAACGACACAGAATGAACAAAGGAATGCCTTTTTTACAGTTAATTCGAAAGGCTTGTCACTGGAATTGAGACTTTATGACTTCTGATTATCTTGTGATTGACTTGTGTTTGACCTGTGATAAGTTGTGTTAACTTGACTTGCGATGACTTGATTTCAATTCTTGCAGCTTATATGACTTGACTGCCAAGTTCATGTCAGTAAATTTCACTGTCAGTAAACTACTATGCGTTTAAAGAAAACGAAAAATTGGTTTTCACTTGCAGGAAGAAGTTCGTGCCCAGGACACTGTGTTTGTGATTGGTGGGCTGACGGGTACCAAGGAAGGCCAGCAGCTAGCATGGACGTTCTTGCAGCAAAAATGGACGGAGCTGATAACACGCTACTCTGGTGGCTTCCTGCTGTCTAGGCTGGTGCAGGTAAATCCAGTGTGAAATCACTGGCAGATCCAGAACCAAATATTTATGGAACCAAAAATAGAAGGGGCTGACCATCGAGTCATGGCAAATTTGAAAATTGGTTAGACCCTAGTTGGTGATGGAGGAGGGGTTGTGGTAGGTAGGGTGGGGGAAGAAAGAGGGATGTGGAAAGGAAGATCCATGGTCTAGAAGGTGCCAATATCGCTCTTGGAGCCAGAAATTTCTCTCAGCCCACAAGCCCTGAATTCACAATGACGTTTCTTGGAATGTTCAGTTGGGAACAAAAAATCTGATTCGTGACATTGAACTCAATGTCCCGAATCGGATTTTTTTGTAAGTTTTAACAGTAGAATGCAGGTTTTTTTCGTAAGTTATAACAGTAGAATGCAGGCACTGGCTTGCTGTTCAATTTGAAAGTGTATTATGCCTTGCATAGCGATTAATGGGTAAGACTACATGTATCAACACTTCACTTATTGTAGAAAAATCAAATTCACAATCATTGTAAATTCAAAGTAAGGAGGCAACACAATAGAATATGTCTTGGAAAGATAAATAAGTAACACTAGAAAAGCTATGGGACATTGTTGGGTTGGTGAAGCGAAGTTGGTGAAGGCTAAGACCAGTATTAGTGTGTAATTTTGAAAACTCCCTCTTTTGTTGATAGTACTGCACTGAAGGCTTTGCCTCCGAGGAAAAAGCCCAAGAGGTGGAGGCTTTCTTCAAGACTCACGAGGCTCCATCTGCCGAGAGGACAGTCAAGCAGTCAGCAGAGAACATCCGTCTGAGTGCAAGATGGCTGGCCCGGGATGCCTCCAACATCGAGGCTTGGCTCAAGACCAAATCACAGCTGTAGAGTAGGGTTTGAATCAAGTGTGGCTTTTTGAGTTGGGGGGGGGGTCCTTCTCTGCAGCAATTTTTGGGTGTAATTCTGTAAAGATAGTGCAAACTTTTGTAATCACAGTGAAAAAGCTGAGTGAGTAATTTTGTCAGAACGTCGGTGGTGAACCAAATATGTGGTGTCTAATGCTTAAGAAAAAAATTCAGTTGAAAACCAAACTTCGGTAGACGGCTCTGAGGATGATGTTTGGCAACAAACAATGATGAACATTGCTTCGCTTTTTGCAAATGTTGCCAAGGTTTGCTTGCGTTGCATTGACTTGGCAATGAATGTAGTTTTCAATGTAACACAGATGTGACACAAATATCATGTTTGACATACCATTGCAACTGGAATAGCTATTAAAGCAACTATACTAAAGTTTGTCAAATCCAAAGAGCATAGTGGATTTAAAAACCATATTTTCAAGAATATTAAGACTTTCATTTTAAGTATGCAATTGTATTCTAGACTTAAAGTCTTGAAAAATAATTGAAATGAAATTGTTCTTGATTGCAACACAAAGTCCAAAACATATACATGTATATCAAAATTGACAAACGACAAACAAAATTATTTTCAATCAGAAATGCTAAACCAGATTATTGCTTGCATTTTTAGTTCATTAAAAATTGATGAGAAATTGTTGAATCAAAGAGAGATGTTTCTGGAATATGGCAGCAGAATGATATGGGATGATCACTTTATGCAAGACTTGTGTGCCTTTTGATTTGCAGTTTATTCTGCAGTTTATTTTCTTTTGTCAGAATGAAAACATGCGAACGGTTCCAAGTATTTCCATAGTAACCAGCATTGAATTGTATTGGAAAACCAGGCCTGCCAATGAGGTCATTATAATTGTGGTCCTCAAAAGATGTCCTTGGTGTAGAACACCACTACAGTGATGCAAAATTCTTCTGATTATGTAACAGCTTTGATTGTTGGTGATTTTTTTTTCATCAGAAAATTCAACTTTGTAGCAAAGCTACTGCAAATAAATACATAGAAATGGTCATTCTCTAAACTTTCCAAATTCCATTAACATGATTAATACCATATCTAATTTGACCTCTCTATGAATCAGAAACGAAAATGGGTAGTGTTTAATCTGGTGTAATAAATTACCAACCAAATACAAAAATTAATTAAAGCATTCCAAGTTTGGCACTTAAAGATGCATTCCCCTGTGGTATAAGCGAGTTTTACCTCAAAAAATATTTGTCTTTATTTCAGTTTCTATTTTGCTAGAAATGTAAAAGTTATTCACTTTTGAATGAAACATTGGACAAAAAAATTCACCAACGTTTACTTATTGAATTATGTCTGCACAAAATTGGAATGATTGCATGGCTGCCAAACAATACTTGGGCTGTCGAGGGCGGAATCAAAATGAAAGCCCTCTTTGAGAGGGTTGCAGACGTCTGATATCAGAACATACAAATTTAAAATTTGTGAGGAGAAAAATCCAAGAGCACAGGGTATGCATCTTTAAGTGCTTTGATTAGTGAGTATCTATCTGAATAAAATACTTCACCAATGATTAAACATAATGTGTACATATCTGTTCTCTGCTTGTTTAAGGATTTTTTTCTTCTTCATAAAAGACAACAGCTCTTTAGCCTAGCTTACTTACTGCCAATTGTCAGTCACTATGGTTATGAATGTGCAACAATGGCTTCTTTTTGAGCTTTACCCTTTGTAGCTCAGGGAAAAGATTCTTGTATTTGGCAAATGAGGCAAAGGCCCATATGGACATTAAAAGAAACATGATTATGGGCTGGGAGGAGGGTGTGTCATGAATTCACTTTTGAGGCGCTTGTTAAATTTGCTGTATAAATAGCCTTCAGGGTTCAGTTTTGTCGTAATCATCATGACGCCTGAGGTATTTTTTAATGCGGGTCGGCAAGACGGAATATTTGGGGTTCGGCCAAATTAAGGGTGAGGGGGATTTATAATATGATGTAGGTAATTAGCTACATTCAAGTTTACTGTGTACATGTACACATTTAAATTTGAAACGAACATGGTTGATTTATACTAGTCTCCAGGTACCAAAGGAAAAATATGAGGAACAAATGATTAAAAATGAGATAATACTGCAGATTTGGTTCACTCGATGGAGGAATTCACATGACTGATCGCCCATCGCCCTGTAACCCCGCCCCTAGCCGGCCCTGCAGAGAAATGACGTCCACGTGACCGTCAGTTTTCAAAATGGCCGCGCTCTAGTGTCTAGGGCTCAGTGCTAACTCACTGTAAGTGTAATAAACTAGTGTGAAAGGGGAATTTTTTTTCAACATCGGGACCGATTCAGCCTATTCTTTGGTCGGTGCATGGTACGTGAGTATGTCAATAAGTATCAAACGGGGTAAAGGGGCAAACTTTGCAGCGTAGACGCGGTTGTCATGGTGGTTGTGTACAACTATTAACTAAGTACTACAAGAAGTCTTGTGTATCGTCAGTTCACCTAAAACGACGAGGATCTATTTCGAATTCGACGCACTCGCATTCAATTTAATGTTAATTTCTCCAGCCAGCAGCTCATCGCATCATACTCGGTCATACTCGTCATATCGGGAAAAATGTCGGGAATTCTACAGACCTATGGCGATTTCCCTGATGAGCATTAGCTTGAGTAACTTACTCCAGCTTAACTAGCCCCACTAGTGTGGCCGTCGGTATGCTGCGCTGAACCGGCCTAGGTTCAGCGCAGCATACCGACGGCCACACTAGTGGGGCTACAGCTTAACAAGCTCATCAGGAATTCACATCCTGATGTCGTGATGAGCATGATGAGCTTGTTAAGCTGGAGCACGGATCCTAGACACCAGGATAAACGACTGTTACTGTTCTGAGCTCTAGTACAAAATGCACTGAGCGTACTTGCCTTACATGCCTTAATTGGTATGCCCCAACGGGCATTAATACCCGTTGGCGCGCAATCGCGAATTTTCCAGATGTGCCATTGATTGTGTTGGGTTTTTGCATTCATAAAACTGTAAGCAAAACTACTTCTTATTTAAGATATAGTTGTTCCAAACAGATGGTATTGTGCAGTTTTTGTCGTCATAGATGAAGTATTTACCTGAGAAATAAACGTCAAATTTCGAGGAGAACACCGTTTACCCAAATTTCGTTTTAAATGAGGCTTTTATTAAAAAGTTTTAGAGAGATGTGATGCCGAACCGATGAAGCAAAAGCGAAATTTCATTGTTCATCTTAAAGCTAAAGATATTGTGCTCGGCATTACCATGGTTATGTAGTTATCACTTATCAGAATTCAATAATAAAGACCAAAAACGTAGACTCATGAATATTCAAAAATATAATTCGCTGGCTTGACAGACTTTGAGGCCAGATCGGGCGCAGAGCCTTGCAAATCTGAAAGCCACCGCGTGCAATGGTCTTTTTTAAAAGTAGGCCTATTCATGGTATTTGCCACCAGTACAGGCCGTTATCACGCGTCTAACCAGGAGTTGGGCCGAGTCGTTTATCCTGGGTTCTAGGATCCGTGGCTGGAGTTACTCAAGGTAGATGAGCATTATGAGCTGGAGTTTATACTCAAGCTAGGCCCTATCATCAATATCAATCATGGGGAGTCATTCAGTCAAGAACATTGTCAAAGTATTTCCTAACCTTTCTGGTACCATCTGTTGATGGGGGCGCTGTTCAAAACCGACACATTATGCACACTAATATATGGTGCTTTTCGGGGCGATACAGGCGTGAAATTAAAAAACGAAACCACCTGGAACGGCATACGGCACAAAAAAGGGAACCACTTCTTTTTAAACAGGGCACTTGTTCCGAAAAAAGGGCACTTCTTAAAAAAAAGGGCACTCTTTACAAATTATTGGGGGGGGGGGGGGTTGAGCGGTGGTGAAAAAAGGGCAAATGAATGGAAAAGGTCAGTCTTTACAAAATATTGCCGAAATATAGCCGGGGGGGGGGGGGGGGGGTTGGGTTCCCACTGACATTCGAAACATTTCTTTTGCATAGACTGAGAAGTTAAGTAATTTGCAAAGTTGTTATGGGTACTCGATTCCATAATCTGGAACCGGTTTCTGACATTAACGGTCGGGTACTCGGGTACCCGGTTCCCATGCACAGCCCTAGTATCATACATGTACTTCGTTCTAGGGTGCCTTCTAATACCAGAAGTTCTTGTACCAATGACCTTATTTGTAACGTGTGTCTCAAACTGTCAAAGGCAAGCCTAACGTTAGGGTAAAGGCATATTCTTTATTGGATATTTTGCAGTGGCCAGCAATATAGCCCAGGCGTACCTCCTAAGGCTATTTTGCCTTGTGGATAGTGAGATTGATCGTAAGATCCCTGGTTTGAATCCACCAATGCCAATTCTTCATCTGCTATTTTTCTTCTCCAAATTTATAGTTGGGATAGTTTTAATTTTAGGGAAAAGAAGAGTTCTAGAACCGAAGTGTCTTGCATTGATTCCATTGAAACGAGGCCTACTGACACGGGTTGTCAGAGCGCACTCACGGCAAATTAGCATTAGGAAGTACATTGTCTGTATTTCCGGTCACGACAAAATATACGCTGCCTTATTTGAATCCTGCACCAGCCATTTTCTGCTGTCACGGTGGCACCATGCAGGCTCATGCAATTTGTGCTCGGGTAGTACACACGCACTCCATGCTCCTTCGACCAACAGGAATACCAAAATGCACGTCTCCTTGTTTTTCAGAACGTGAGCATGTGAGCATGACACCACCGCAGACAAATTCTGGTGGTACGGTTCCACTATAAACTTGTGTGACATGCATTTTTATGGACCAGACTCGTGGCCATTCTAGATAAATGAAATTACAGTATCCAAGCACACGATATAACAAAACATTTATAAGGTCTATTGTCGGGGGGGGGGGGGGGGGGGGGGCAATGTGACCAATGCATCCCCCCTCCCCCACTCTCAAATAAAAAGTGATAAGAAATGACCTTTGTGATTTTTTTGCTTGACATGATAACAGCATCAATGTGCAGTTTATAAAGTGGGCAATATGCAGTTAATGTAGCTTTTTAGATTAAAGGCAGTCTAGTACAATGTATCTGGGTCCACTCATATCCGGCTCATTGAAATTGTTCATAAAGGTCATCAGGCATGCTGTTATCTGGTGTCAGAGTCTGAGGGTTTCTGCTGTTACACTCTGGCCTTGTTTCGTTATATTGATTAGGCAAAAAAAAAAAATAAGTCGGTCTCTGGTCAGCGCACGCGTCGATTTTAATCATGCGCGTCGATCTTTTTTTTTCTCCAAAATGTTCCGCGGTAGCTCCAACAGCGCCCTCTATTTCCGCACCTCCTCAATTTTTTTTACCAAAGAGCACCAAGGAATGGGAAATTGCACCAAGGCAAATGATCGAAAGCACCAAGGCAAATTATGGAGGACACCAATGTACATGAGGACACCAAAAAAGCAAAATAGTACCCACCTTGTCTGTTCAATCCAAGCTTGACGAAAAAAAAAAAAAAAGCAAAAAAAAAAAAAGCCGCGTGGCCGCGTCAATTCCGGAACTTTGGTCTGACCAGAGTCCGAATATTTTTTTTTTTGGCCTTACAGTTGTTCATTCACATCTCATATTTGCTTAGTGTGTGAGTCATCATCCTCATCCTAGATACTGTGCAGAAACCTCCTTTTGAGTTTACTCGTATGTTTTTCCAGAGTTTATTGACCGGCACTTTGGTATTAGGTCATATGACATGTACACGTAGCAAACTCATTGAAATTGTTCATAAAGGTCGTCAGGCATGCTGTTATCTGGTGTCAGAGTCTGAGGGTTTCTGCTCATTACACTCTGGCCTTGTTTCGTTATGTTGTTCATTCACATTTCATAGTTGCTTATATGTGTGAGTCATCATCGTCATCCTAGATACTGTGCAGAAACCTCTTTTTGAGTTTACTCGCGCATATAAAGCCATTCCAGTACTACTAGTAGCAACATGTTTTTCCAGAGTTTATTGACCTGCACTTTGGTATTAGGTCATATGACATGTACACGTAGCAAACTACGTGTATAAAATAGGTTTGCAGACGCCACATCTTAAGTTAAAAAGTCTGATCAGTAATAACTGCAGTTCTGACTGAAGGCGGCACGTGTATTTTGTATCTGCTTTGATTTCTCAAACTACATTTTTTCGTTTAATCCAAATAAAAATCCATTCAGTTGGTCTGTAGGCCTAACATACTTTTGTTCTGTTTAACAAAACAGCTTGGTACCGGTAGTATTAACCTAAATGGTAGATACATGTACTTATGTAGCTCTGTTCATCACCACATCTTAGGTTTTGATATATTTGCTGATTTTTTTTTTGTACTACCCTTTGAGCTTAAAGGGGCACTAGGTCCTGAAATCCCCCGAAAATTTTATGTTTTGGATTGTTTACTTAGCCTATTTCAAACAGCTGGTTGAAAAGAAACCAACCTAATGTCTTACCGTTCCCGAGAAAAGACGAAAAAACCCGCTTGTTTACATCGGACATGACGGAGTACGAAAACGTTTTTCGTGTCGTTCTGAGTGTACGATATACACAGTTGTGCGTCTCGGGAACAGTGGTGACCAGTTACCATCAGTGCAAAAAAAGTGGTTTCTTCAACGTCCGCCAAGATGAACACTTTACGAATGAAATCACAACTAGCATCCAAACAGCTCGAATTTACGGGGTTGCAAAAGTGGACACCGAAATTCGCTCTCGCACGCATAATACAGGAATAACACAAAAACGCCCAGTTTTGAAAGGATAGTTGTGTGGATGTTTATATCCTACTTTTAAATGTTATTTCCGATTAACATCATCTCGTTTAAAGTGCTTTTTGTAGCCCAATTGGGCTGTTCCAGGACCTAGTGTCCCTTTAATATCCACGCCAACTTCTTTGTCTCTTCACAGGTAGAAAAGCTTTTGTATTCGGACTGATTGCTTGGAGACAATGGCTTTTAGTGAATCCTTTGCAGTTCTGTGTGTGACGATTGTCACGCTGATCATCACGTCCAGCATCGTGGCCATTGTGGTGTCGTTCATTCAGAAACGGCGACTGGAGAAGGAGCTGTCAGCCATTCCATCGGCCCCTGACAGACACTGGCTCCTTGGTCATATCCCCAAGGTACAACTGTTCATGTAATTAATTATCTGCAGGAGTGTAACGTGTTGTAAACGGTTTGGGGATGGCGGTGGAGGATTGTAATATATACATGTAAATCAAGCCTATATTTACCAACTTTGTGGAATGTGATACATTTGTAAACCACAACAACAATCATATAAAACCTCACAATTTTTTTTCTTTTGGAAACCAACAAGATCCATTCATTCAAAACAGCAGTTTTTATTGAATGATTGATTGACTGATTGATCTTTAATTTGTTTAAAGCTTACTTTTGATGAGGAAGAACTCAAGTGGGGACGAGTTTTCGTAAGGAAAGCTGTCAGCGCAGCGATTTTGTGGATTGGACCATTTCTGCCGATTGTGACACTTTTTGACACTGACACAGTGAAAGCAATTCTCAGCACAGGAGGTACGTGTAGTTCGCTTCTATATTTTGAGTAAATGTTGTCCTAACTTCACCTGTAAATATTGACACAGATAGATACGAGCAATTTACGTTTATACAGAAAAGTTGCATTGTATAAATGGTGCTGCAAAATCTTGTCAGCTGATACTTAATTGTGCACTGGGCAACGAGGACTGGGCAATTGTTATGATTTTTTATGACAGTGTTTAATGCATACATGCTTTAACAGTTTAACTAAGATGAAGTAGTTTTTTGTGAATAGCAGTTTGTTAAGCACCGTCAATACCAAAAAAAAGGGCAGCTTCTTTTGAGGTGCTGCATTACTACAAGAGACCACGAATTCCAGCTAATGGCAAATGACAAAGCATCGCCGCTTGGCATTTCGCATGCTTTATTCTCACTCACGAACACAATTTGCTGCTGACTTTTATTACATTATGCAGCAAACGTTATTACACAAAGTAAATGCACCCTAAACGGGAGATTTATTTTGACGATAATCTAACACATTTTGATCTGTCGATATCATTCCTCAACATCGAGCTTTTTCGATATTGTCGATATTATTCCTTGATATATTTTCAATATTTCGATACGATTTAAAAAAAAGAGATCGGCGATATAGATCTCGAAACAATATGGAATAGTGTACTTCGCCAGTCTTTGGAAATCGGAATGCATACATGTAGTTATATAAATTTGTGTGATTTTATACGAGTAACAGCAGGCCAGTACATATGAGTCTATTGTGGACAGATCTCAAACTCACAAAGTATTCGCATGCCTTTACATTGTATGTTTGTCTAGAATCAGTTTGATGAGATTTGAAGGTTTGCACAGATAAGATAGCAACAAGATTAAATTCATGGTTGCACCATGTAACAACTCTCTTTTGTGAGTTTGTGAGGTTCTGATGAAGAGAACCAGGGCAACTCAACGTTTTGGACAGTATGCTCTGCTCTTATTAGAATTAGTTTGTCTAATTTTTTTTTGTCATAGAACCAAAGGCCGAGTACACCTACTCTTTTGTGCGCCCCTGGATTGGAGATGGGCTGCTGTTATCATCTGGGAAGAAATGGGCAAGGAACAGACGCTTACTGACCCCCGGCTTTCACTTTGACATCCTGAAGCCGTATGTTGGTATCTTCCAACAATCCGGAGACATCCTTGTTGTAAGTGAATTACAAATATTGTCTGGTGAAGGACTCTAATAGGTTTGCCCAGACATCCTAGTACTTCTTATTTTGTCTCTTCTGTTGCCCAGTCCTTTTTTATGTGCAACCAAATTAGCCTTATTGAGTTTTGGCCACAATCACACAACATTGGCATGGGTAAACAAAATTGTTTTTACACATATATCTAAACCAAATAGGGTGTCAGTTTTGATAGATATAACACAGTGATCATATCAAAATGATAGTTTCATGAATTTGAAACGTATGACAATTGAGGTGATCTAGTGCAGAGATCATTGATATCGCCTGTGGTATCAAGCTAATGTCCTTGCCTTAAAGTAAATGTGTGGGGTTATGCCTAAAAAATACTGTGGTATTATGTTTCAACAAATGTGTTGGGGATTAAACACTGTGTGTACTATCACTCTGTTCTTTTCATGGAGCATTTTGTTGTTTTACTGAATATAGGAGAAGTGGAGAGCAGCGTGTATTGGAGGAAAAACATCCATGGAGATGTTTGGTAACATGAGCCAGCTAACGCTAGACAGTCTTCTGAAGTGCATATTCAGTGTGGAGACCAACTGCCAAACGTGAGGAATTACATGTATAGAAAACATATCTGAAGCCTTTTACTGTATTAACAGAGATAAAACCTCCACTTCCCACAGTGGTGGAAGTTTAGGACCACTTCTAGACCTTTTGTTAAGAGTTACATTTGAGCCCCTCATGAGTCAAATATCAAGTCCAGCACTGGTCAAATCACAAGTCAGTCACAACTTTATGAATTTGTAGATCATGGACATTTGCAAAGGAACGCCCTTGTCACTTTCCACTTGAATATACTTTGACTCAGTTATTTTTTAAAGTTGGGATGGACTTGTGAGGACTTTTGCGGACTTTTTATGTCTTGACTTCAACTCTTATCTGCTTTTTGTGTGTTATATGCAGAGTTGAGAATCACCCCTACACTAAGGGAATTAATGACATAGCCAACTTGGTTGTGGAGCGCTTCCGCTTTCTGCCTTACCACATTGACGCCATTTACCAGTGGAGTCCCAGTGGCCGGCGCTTCCGCCGTGCCAATGAAACCGTCCACGACTACGCACGGAATATAATCAAGCAGCGTAAGAAAGCTCTGATAGAGGAGGCAGCCAACGGCAAAAAAAGGCAGAGGAAGTACATTGACTTCCTGGACATTCTGCTCTGCGCAAAAGTAAGAAACAGTGATTTTGGGGTTGTGCTTAGCCTTTATGAGATAAATTGTCCTCCAAATGTGGTACCATTTCTCAAAAAACAAATGTCGTTGCACCACATTAGCTAAATGCCAACCTGATTAGGTTGCTTTCACATGTCTATGTAAAATATTAATAGGAAAGTAAAAAAAAACAGCAGTATTTCAAATGCCCTGTTGTACAGAGATGGCATGTTAATAAAGCACGGGTGTCGATAGGTGGGGGCAGGGGGACATGTCCCCATTTTTTAAAGTGAGGTGGTATATAATTTGTCCCCCCCCCCCCACACTTTTTCCATCCCCGAACATAAATTGTAGCCTACAGTTGATTCTATAGCTCAGAATAGCTGATTCAGTGACTCCAAACTCAAAAATGATGTTTGAATGATGATCTTTTGCTTAAAACATTGGTTAAAGTGGTCAAAAATTGTCTCGGATCGTACCACAGAGCATCTACAATCCACAATTTTCCAGGGCCCTTCAGTGGGCCCCAAACCCAATGCCGTTGGGCTTCATGCTTTACGCTCGCATTAGTTTTGACAACTGAGCACCTTTACATGTGCTTTGCCTACATGGGTACAAACCATGTGACTGCCTTGGGTTTTTAAAATACACTCTGCATTAGCTGCCTAGTTAAAGGGAATATACATCATTTGCTTTTGCTGTAATTTTCAGAAATGGATGGAATTGGGGGGTTGGAAATATATAGCAAATATAGTTACACTGACTTTTTTTGAGGTTTTGCGTTCGAAAATGCTATAAAAACCAAGAAAAACAATCATTTTCCTGTAGTCTGGTTCCCTGACTCCATTTAAGAAGAAACAGAGCAGTTTACATATATTGGGGAATTGTAAGGTCAGGGAACCATTCTAGCTGGCTCATACCCGTTCATAGGTTTGTAATCGATTGCAAACAAGTGCGATGGTCAATTGGGGCCAGTATTTGAAAAAAAGCCTGTTTTTTCCAACGCTGATCGGCCGATCAGCGTTGGAAATTGATACAAAAATACCACTTTTCTTGAAAATGACAGTATACCAGGTGCCATGATTTTACAGGATGCTTTACACTGTCATTCACTAACAGTCCAGCAAGGTATTTCAAAATGATTTGGTAGTTTTATTTTTTGATGTTTGCAAATGTTGTATTTTCCCTTTAAGATCTATTGTTTTAGTTAGAAACAATTCAACAACCAATACTATTTAGACTTTGTGTGCCAATAGTGTTGAGGTTGTGTCCGTATTTGTTATATTGAAGGACAGTGATGGACAGGGACTCAGTGACCAGGAGATCTACGATGAAGTGGACACCTTCATGTTTGAGGGGCACGACACAACGGCCTCGGGCCTGTCCTGGTTTCTATACAACATGGCCAGACTGCCTGAATTCCAGGAGAAGTGTAGGCAGGAGGTGGATGACCTGCTAGCTGACAGGGAAAAAGACCGGCTGGTGTGGTAAGCATAGTCATTGGCCGTCTTGTTGACGTACTTATTTGTGGTGCATGTGAAATTTTGATTTCCCACTGGTTAATACTTGTTACAAAAGTGATGTAGCCTTGCAGTCTGGTATTTGTTGGCAATGCTTCAGTGGATTCCAGTGCAAGCCTGTTCGGTGCTGTGTGTGACATAGGTGTGATATTAACTTGCTTACATGAAATCATTTGAAATCGGTTTACAAATTTTCCAGAACCTTAATTTTTAAAACATTGTATTGACATCATCTATTACTATACCTCATAAATATTCATCAGGCAACCGTGGTATTTCATTGGTCCATTCCAGCAACTCAACCAGAAAGTTTTTACTATCAATCCGCGTCTTCATACGTGCGCGTGTCGTGCAAAACCAGGGAGGTACTATCACACACTTGGGTCGCAGCAGTTACATATGTTCAAGTACTGTATATCTCTTTACCAACGATGCATGTGCTTAACGTGTGTACCGTGGAGGACAGTTGCATGTGCCAGTTTATGACGGTGTACATCAAAATGGCGACCGGTGGTGCTCGCTTTTGCGATTTTAACCGAGGAGGAAGTGGGTGAAATTTTACACAATAAGAATAAATGCAGTGTTTTGCGTGAATGTTAAAGTTATTAAATGACACAAAATTAACTTTCTATTCTGTCTGTCTCCTTAAATTGAAATAATATTTCACTTTTAATTATCCAAATACTGCACGATCAAAAACATGGTGGAGTGGACGAATGAAATACCGCAGCTGCCTGATGAATATTTATGAGGTATAGTAAACAAATACAACATGTTTTTTTTGCGGGGAAATAGTGAAAACAAATGACCACCTCCTTATTGGATGATTGGGACTATCTCCCTCGGCTTCGCTTCGGGATACCGGTAGTCCCAATCATCCAACACCTCTGGGTGATTAGTTTTCAATATTTCCTGACAAACCATGTTGCATTTGTATACTATCCAGTTTATTAATGCAATATCAAATAAACTGTTTAATTTACTGAGCATTAGGGACCGCTTAGCAATTGCTTACATCTCACAATTTTTTTTTAAAGGGTAGCAATTTGTGTTTGTTTTTGTGTGTGTTTAGGGATGACCTTAACAATCTGCCATACCTGACCAAGTGTCTGAAGGAGAGCCTGCGTATACACTCCCCCGTCCCTAATGTCATGCGGGTGTTGACCCAGCCTGTGACCTTTCCTGATGGCAGGAAGTTGCCAAAAGGTCAGTTGTCAGTTATGCACTTCCTTAGACATTACTTTTCATAGGGCTTTGTGTCAATTTTTTTTAAGGTGAATGGCATGTGCCATTAATTTCAATGTCTTAATACTGACTCTGTACCTTCATACTTAACGGGAACTCACTCAGTTGTACAGAAGCCTGTGATCATCTATTGATACCAGATTACTCGTTGTGCCAAAAACTCGTACTACCTCTGGTGAAAAAGCTTCCAGGCTGCTGCCTCAAAACACTGGAACAATTTACCTTACATTATCCACCACACTAGCTCACTAGCACCTTTCAAACAATCTCTGAAAACTCATTTATTTGATGTGTTAATGCTTATTCTGTTTATATTCCTCTTGTTTTTGCTTATTTCATTTTGTGTAAAGCGCTGTGTTACTTTCTCTGATTAGTTAGAGCGCTAAAAAATGCTCTGAATTGTTATTATTATGTACAGTGGTGGATTTAAGAGGAAGCCAAAATGCCCAGTACTTGTATGTGTAGCATTAAGGCCAGATTCAATGGTGCAAAGGTGAACAATAAGTAAGTCATGGCATGAATTCACCAAAATTGTGCACATTCATTTCAAGTATTGTGATTTGCTGTGAAAGAATTGTGACATTAAATTTGTTCACATTTGCAGTTTTGTGAAGTATCAACCTGCCCTTACTGTTTAGTAGTTTCACTACATGGGGCATTGTTAATCATGGAGACCAAACAGTCTTGGAGTTCAGCTTTCAATTGCAATAGGAATAAAATGAGGATTACACATATGCCTTTATTTTTTTTCTTACTGCAGTTTGTAATAATTATAATAATACCAGGTTCTTGTGTAGCACAGCACTTTTAATTAAGATCAAAATGCTGTACATTAGTATTACCCCTGTCCCCTGATCATTGGGCCAAAGAAACATTCCAAATACAATTTCTGCTCCCTGGGAAGTATACAGCTTGATGCAGCCATTTGGGCCCAAGGCAGCTAGAATCAATCCCAATAATCGTCCCTGCCCTCACACTCACAGGTACCCATTTTACCCCTGGGTGGGGAGAAACAATAACGTGACAAAGTGCCTTGCCCAAGGTCACATGCACCACAACCCCAGGCGGGAATCAAACCTTTTATTTCTAACTTTCCTCAATATTTTTAAACTAACTTGTCTTTTCTCCTAATCTCTCAGGGACCCTTGTAGGGATAATAGTCAGTGCCCTGCACAACAATCCGCATGTGTGGGATGACCCCGACACCTTTGATCCTGAGAGGTTTGCACCAGACAGAGCCAAGAATATCCCACCTTATGCATACGTGCCATTTGCAGCTGGACCCAGGTGAGAGACAGTCCATTGCCTACAATGTACCATTCAAAGTTACTTTGTAATTGTCCACTCCCTGTAACTTGTGATATGACTTGATTGCAACTCCGACTCCCTGTTCAGGGTGACCTCCCAAAAACTGCTACCCCTGTGTATTTTTATGTTTGGGATATCACATTAAAGCCGAGAGATTTTTTTTTCTTCAAATACTGGAAAAAATCATAAAAAACAGCACATAGTTGCTGAGAAAATGCAGATTATGTAACACAACTCATTTTTGGTCCATTCCAGTGGCATTACCACAGTTAAGGGATTTGCACTGTACCTGGCACATTGTGTCCTAATCCTTACAAACAACATTACACATACATGTAATATGACAAGAGTATAAATGAATTTGATGGGAGTACCTTTTATTTTCCCACCTGCACAGGTATCTTATCCTGTTTTAGTTCAAATTTAACCTTTTCAGCATCATAAATATGTCAAAATATTCAATAAATTGCACAAGTGAAAGACAATTGCACAGTAGGCTAACAGTAACATGCTCCGCTGTTTGAGGCACCTTTGGAAAGGATAAAAAAATCACTTCTTTTACATAATTGGCATTTTCTCAACAACCCAATGTGCTATTTTCGTGATGTTTTTTTTCAGTATTTGAAAGAAACAGCTCTCAGCTTCAATCTGATATCCCAAACATAAACACACACAAATTCACAGATCACAGTTTTGAAAAAAGGCAAATGTTTCGGGGTTGCATTTTTTTTGGGGTCACCCTGTACATGCCAATAGACTGATCTGTTATGCCTACTGCGCACACATGGGGAACAACACGTACACCTCTCCTCTGACTCACTGCATGTTTCAGCTGCACGTGAAATACACATGTGCATGCATGTCTGACATCAATCACAGCTGTCATTGGTTTAATGGATAGGTCTAGTGAGAAGGGCATTAGATGTCAAACATTTACTAAAAATTTGAGCCTGTAAAAGACATCTCTCATGCACAAGTGCTTTATCAATTCAATGCAACATTTTCTGGGTAAGGGGCGACTTGCCCATCCTTGCCTACCCTTTCCAACGCCTGCAGATTTATTTTATCTATGATGAGTAACAAAACAAACAAGAAAATAGAATTATATAAATGAAACTTACTCATTACATTTCTCTGTGCATTTTCCCCCTTTGCTGCCAGGAATTGTATCGGTCAGCACTTTGCCCTGAACGAGATGAAGGTCATTTCTGCCATTATCCTTCGCAACTTTCACCTCTCTGTCGACGAATCCGTTCCCGTGCTGCGAACCAATGCACTGGTCCTGCGAGCCGAGAATGGCATTCATCTGCACATCACACCTCGCAAGCTTTAAGAGTCTTCCCTGCTAACCTTATTGTTTGTGATATGTAAATTCAAGTGCAGTGACATCTGCAAGTATATACCAAAGTTTTAAGCAATCCATTAAATTCCCTTGTCATTTAAATTTTTCACTTGAGTACAATTTTAACATTATGAATTTGAAAGGTTTCTAATCTGATAAGATTCCATTCCTGTAGAGTGTACATGTATGTATGTCGCTAGATTATTAATGGAGAAGACTATAAAGTGATATTTTTATTGTGTTCAATTATCATGATTAAAATCTCTACCTCAAAAGAGAAAATTTTTAAGTAGAGTTTAGAAGTACAATTTTAAAGGTTTTCAAAGTGTGTGTGGTCACAACATTGTTAATGCTTCTGGTGCTTGCTTGTTTTTACACTTCTGAGAGATTTCTTTTTGATATTCATATTCAAAAGGTAGAGTAAAATGTGTAATCAATGCAACATTAATTTAAAACGTTTGTGGTGGAAAATAATTTATGACTTTAATCAGTTTCTTTGTGAATATTAGTCAGAAATTAGTCGGAAAATGATATGGAAATGTAACATGAAGAATCTTTTTTTTACCTCCTATTCAAAGCTATAATCAGTTGGTTATTAATAAAGAAAACGTTTGACAATAATTATGTGCTTCTTATGAGATGTATACCTCAATATTTCTAATAATTGTACCTTCTTTTATCAATTTGCAACATAGTTCGGCGCTGTCTGTAAGAGGATCAACATGTCCTTTTTCATTGTTCCCAAAATGCTGTTCGTATTACATGTAGTAGTTGTTTTGCCAATTATCATCGTAGAGAGTATTCTTCAACCCTGTTTGCCGGTGTGGGGAGCGCTGCGGTTCTTTGCTCGCCTTCCACTGCTGTGACCCGGGTTCGATTCCTGCACTGGTGCACGTGGATTATATTTTCAGTCCCAGCTTATTCTGTGGGTTTTCCCGAGAATATTCTTCTGGGATTTTCCTCCCTCTTTAACTGTAATGTCTTCATATTGTCTTCTATCTACAGGTTGCCTAGAGCGCTTTTGAGGAATCCTTGGTTTCATTTCTTTAAATAATTAATAATAAAATAATAATAATAACGGCAATTTATAACGCGCCGGTATCCGCCATAAATGACGCTCATGGCTCAATACAAAAATTAGATCAAATCAGAATTAACAAAACAATTAAATTTAACTAAACAAGAATATTGTGAGTGATCTGGAACAAATAGGTCTTCAGGGCCACTTTAAATTCAGAGACCCTAGAGATATTGCGGATGGCGAGGGGTAGTTCGTTCCAAAGATGAGGACCTGCGTAAGAAAATGATCATCCTGCTGTCTTCATTTACAAATACAAGAACAATATTCTCCCCAAGCCTAACGCATTTCCCTTTTTCCTTCAGTTCGAAACCCTCATCGACGGTATTTACTTCACCATATCACACTCGGACCTGATCTGTTCTACTCAAGCGCATTTTCTATTCTTTCAAGACACTTTTGTTACGCATGAATCAATAACGACCGCGCGCTTGGCAATCAACAACAAAATCATCACACATAAACAAAAGAAAGATACTTTGCTATTACTATGGGTTATACATGTATTCTTTTAACCTTTTCAACTACATATTTACAGTGAATATACATTACTCAGATAACATTTTACAAAGCATTGTAGAAACATTGTCATTGAATTGAGAGCAAGAGCCGGCATTGGATTGTTCATTTGAGTTCATGATCATGTACATGTATGTACTAAGCTGCTTGTTTGCTTGAACTGGTGAAGAGACGACTCCTCGGGATGCGGTCTCGTTGCCGTAGCTCTGGACTTGACTTGACTTGACTTGACTTGACTCTTGGACTGCTGCCTTGAGTGAAGCGATGGCACTGCCTTGTACACAGACGAGTCTTGGCCAATTTTAGCATGCCAAGATCCAAAACTTCAGCTACAGAAAGTTAAGCTGAGATTTGAGTTTGATGGTCGATCTCCATGTCCTGGTCCATCGGTAGAAACTATCTGGCAATCTTGCCAGCAGAATTGAAGATTCTGGTCTCTTGCGTCAGTCCTTCCGGCCAAAGGTCTCAAAATCCCTCCTTAGACTTATTTTGCTCTCACTTATATAGCCCTATTTTGTGTTATGTAAAAGTTTACATAATTGTTATATAAATTCCAAAACAAAGAGTTTTAATAAAAATTGCTGTGTGTGCACATAAAAGGAGTAAAACAAAGTTACAATAAGAATGCAGCCTTGGAGCAGGTTGCATAAACCCAAAACTGCAGTATAAGCAACTTTTGGTGCCATCTTAAGAAGGTCACCAGATCCATGTTACACAACTTGAAAATGTTATTGTGTAGACAAGTTAAAAGAAAGTAAATTCATCTTTCAACAATTATCAACATTATTGATAATTGCTATTAATTAATATCCCATGACACTTTGGTTTTACGAACTTGGAAGTATCTCATAAAATGAGCTCTGTTGGTGAAGTGTAGGTTATTCCGTACCTAATAAAAGAACGGCCCTTACAAAAAAGTTCTATAGAATTCTATAAGAAAGAATTCTATAGAAATTCTATAAAGCATTCTATAGAATTTTGTCTATAGAAATTTTATAGAGTTTCTTTAGAAGTCTTCTATAAGGTTTTATAGAGATTTTATAGAGATTCTATAGAAAAATGGGCCATAATTCTATACAGCGGTTTATAGAATTTTATAGAAATTATACCTTTTCTATAGAACAATAAATTTTTTTTTATAGAAATAAGGCTAGTTTTATTTAGAATATTCTATAGAACTCTATAGAAAATTTGGACTTTTCTATAAAATATTTTATAGAACTCTATAGAATTTCATAGAGGTTTTCTCCAATTTCTATAAAAATATTCTATAGAACTCTATAGAAAATTTGGAATTTTTGTATAAACTATTTTATAGAACTCTATAGAATTTTATTCAAAATTTCTGTAATTTCTATAAAAATATTATATAGAACTCTATAGAAAATTTGGTATGACATAACTTACCAATTCTTCATACGTTTATTTTACATTAAATGTATTTCCCCATTTCACAAATTGTACATGACTGTTGGGTTTTTCATAGAACCGTGCAAATAAATGTGATGTTGAAGTGAACTGACGCGCACGCCCTAGCGAAGAACGTTTAATTAGAGGTATATTGTCGGCGCGGCGACGTTTGTAAACAATCAATTACACCAGGCGCAAAAACAACGCCAAAATTACCATAAAATTCTATATTTGATTCTATAGAAAACAGTTATTTTTTCCGCTTAAAACCACTCATCCTTGAGAAACTACCGTTTTTATACCAGCTACACATGTAGCTGAAAGCACGATTATGATACACCATGGCGTGCCTTTTAGAAAAAGGTCGGACAAGGACATTTTCTAATTGTCAATTTGATGAATAGAAAATGACCTCGACGATGGCGGTCGCTCCACTTCGCTTTGCCTGATTCCCTTATATAAGGGCTTTAGGAAACTCAACAGTCATTTATGGTTCTGTGGCTTGTATATAATAAGCGGTGGTGGTTTCGTATATGTCAGACAACTGTTAAATAAGGATCGATAATTAAACGAGGATGGATAATAATAATTACACAATGGATAATTCTTCGGAGTTGGTGGAGTTTTGTCCAAAGCCAGCGTGGTGCTTCGTCGATCTCGTGGTAGTCATAGCCTTAACGTGTCTTATTTTAATTGGGAACATCGGGACTTTAGTCGTGCTGGTGTCTACAGAGTCGCTCCGGAACAACAGTCACGGCTACGTTTTGATTTCACTGGCCGTAGCTGACTTTGGTGTCGGCGTGGTAGCGGCTATGGCGATTTACCCGGCCGCTACGTTCGAGGGGCCTGAGGCCTGGCTGTATGGGGATGCGGCCTGCGCTGTGACGGCGGTCTCCGGTCATGTTTTCCTTGCCACGTCAAGCAACTCGCTGACGGTCCTTAGCGTGGAGCGCTACCTGGCCATCGCTCATCCGTTGAAATACAGTCGGCTCTGGACCAAGAAAGCCTCCTTACTCTGCGTTGCTGGCTCTTGGGCCATGGGTGTGGCGATATACCTCCCGCTCGTCATCCTATCAGGATACGAGTATGTGCCCGAGTTGCATACATGCATGTCCATCTACAGGAGTAACTTCGTGATAGTTCTGGCCTTGGAGTTGGTGCTCGTCGTCCCTAGTGTTTTCACCATTGTGCTAACATCCTGTATAGTGAACCGTAAGCTGAAAGAAAGTGCCCGCCTTAGGGCAATGGCAGCCAACGCAGCCTTCAAAGACTCGGCGTCGGAAACATTAAGAGCTTTCCGGATGGTCCGAGTTTTGACCATAGCAGTGCTGGTCTGCTGGCTACCGTACGACATCGTATCGTTGTGTGAGTGGTTCGGAGTCGAAATCCCGAGAAAACTACTTTTCTTTGCCTACTGGCTCTTTCTCTCCAATAGCTTCTTCAACACAATCATCTACATCCTCATGAACAAGACCTTCCGTGCTAAACTCCATGATTTGGTCAGGTCGGTCGTACCCAATTTTTGTTTGAAACTTGGCCAACGCGTGGACCGAGAGTGCAGATGCTGCCAACAACTTCAAAGGACAGCTGACGAAGGCGGCCAACTAGAGAACAGTGTCCCCAAACGGCTGGATGACTGCCACCACGAAGTGAGCTGCAAACCTCAGTGTACCGTTTCTGAGACGGTCTTGTCACGTTAATGAATATCCATGTATAATCCATTCACCCATGCCCTCCAACGTCCATTAACGGTAACTCAGATTGGACATGTTCTGTGTAAACTTGAGATGAGCTCATTTCTCAGGACGCACTTTACCAATTAATGGGCCTATAGGGACGAAAGAGGTCGTCCTCGGATGTTTGCCAGAGATCTCCTCTGTTGCTAAATATCATAAAGCCAGATGGAAACAGATTGTGACCGACTGCTGTGCAGTCGATTGAATGATGACCCATTCAAAGGGAATTCTCCCCAAAACAGTTTGAGGTGAACTGATGAATAACCATCATCTTTGAACTCTAGAAATGCATGGTTATAAATTGCTGAGGTAACAAATTAATTAGGATCTTCGTAGAGTCTTGTTACATGATCACAACAAACAGCTCCAGGGACAGATCCAGGTTTTAATCAAGGGGTTGGGGGGGGGGGGAGGTTGGGAGGGTTTAGCTGCATGCCAAGAAGGGGTTTATAGCTGGCATTTACAATTTGTTTCTGCATTATTTCCCCTTTTTTATCGCGGTCCAATAAAGCGGCATTTCGGAGATTGTGTGTACAGTTTAGCAGAATATGTGCTGGACGCTTGGAGGAATATAAATTGTTTGAATTTTGAAATCAAGAAAATTAATGTAACTCGTGTCCTTACTTCATTGACCTTATAGCCTCAACATGCTCAAGTAATCCTCCATCAATAGTAAAATGGAAATTTGAAAGTATAATGTTTACACAATTCGAATGCAATTGCAATTGTCTTTTAATCCCGCTTTTCGTAACCGTCCTTGATATGTTTTTTAGTAGAAAGGTTTTTGGAAATGATGGTGGTCATTATCCATGCCATGGAGTGTTTCTCAAGTGTGACCAGTGATGGATTTTCTCCTCCGAATACGATCAAACGCTGTGCAATTGCAAATGCAAACAGTTATCACCGACGCACGGAAATTGTGTTTTCAATCAACTTGCCCTGCATGGCAATCAAAAGTTTGACTCGGAGCCATTTTTTCGTCCTTCCCATCGAGCGATATTAAATTACGATCACGTACATTCATTCCAAAATAGCTGCGTCGTCAAGGACGCGTCCGAGATATATGCGAGGAAATTAGTTTAATACGGAGCCTCTAAAATACGAGGCCACTGTAAGGGCCATGCCCCCCCCCCAAATAAATTACAATTAAATCATGTGCATTCAGTGAGGCTTATGTGCGTGTTCAATCAGACATACATGGACCTATGTATTAATTTTATAAGACCATGTTACATTTGTTTTCATATTGGATGTTGAGGTCACGTGCTACCAAATTGAAGCAAACTGTTCTCTTCTGTGCCGCATGTGTAGGCGAGCCGTCACCGCGTTATTATGGGAAAGTTTTTATTATTGTTGGGGAAATTAGGAGCGAGTTATAGGGACTTTCTATTGTCCCCATAGCGTCTTCGGTCCCCATAATAACTATCGCTCAACAGGTGTGAAGTCTCCACAGTCACGGAACAAAAAAATCTTAAGAATCTCTTAAAATGTGATTGATGTAAAAGTTGTGATGTAAACTGTTTAATGCGGGCAAAAACATGTCAAGGTTGCCTGTAGGTTGCCCGTTGGTATGACGTCACGGGTACCATGGTGTACAGCATCAACTTCCAACTTAGAATGGCAAAGCACCATGTAATCATTCGGTTGGATTCGAACCAACAAGAAACACTCTCCATCGGAAACTTGAGTTGCATCCCTTTTCTCTTTCTCTTGATCTTTATTGTCTGTAAAACCCTTAAATTATTGCGACGATCCACGTAAAGATAATTATGTTACCCAATAATGTATGTTTTAAATGCTTTTGCTTTTTAACTGCCGATAACGTTAACAAGTGGCATGGGTGGCTTGCGCGTAAAGCGCTCGCCTCTCACCAAGGTGACCACGATTCGAATCCTGGCCGTGGATCGCATCAAGGGCGGATCCAGAAGACAATTTTTAGGGGGCCAAAAATTTTTTTTGGTATCCCAAAAAGTGGGTCAAAAAATTACGGCGTGGGGTTCGGGGCCCGCCTAAAGGCCCCGAAAATTTTTTGGATTCTAGATGCTCTGTGGTGCGATCTGAGGCAATTTCTGACCACTTTTACCAATGTTTTTTTGAGGAAAAGATGGTGGTGTACTCATTGCCTGCCTTTATTGCGACGTCACTTAAAAAAAAAAAAATTGGTTTCGTTTTTTTTTTGGGGGGGGGGGGCCATGGCCCCCTTTGGCCCCCCCCCCCCTGGATCCGCCCTTGGATCGCATGTGAGTAGAGTTGTGCGTTGGTTCTCTCCTGTGCCACGAGGGTTTTTCTCCGGGCCCTCCGGTTTTCCTCCCTCCGGAAAAATCAAACACTTTCGATCTCAGGCTGTGCTCCGTGGTCATATAATGGGTCGATGTGGCTGGCAGCCATAGGCGCCTTTACGTGCTAGCGGCCCGACCACGTTTTAGCCGCGACCTTCGTAATTCAGCATACCAGCTGCGAGTAAGGATGATTAGCCTCCCAAAATATTATTATCATTATTATTAAGTGTAATCCATTCTCCCCATGTGTTCTAAAAAGTGCATCGATACATGTTTTGGTCTCAATATGTCACTTTGAGAAAATAAATGTAATACAAATTATGTAATTACTTAAAAAATACTATCATGTATCTAGAAGAGTCATGAGTCGTATTCTTAACGACTAGTTTGAAAGCTATGACAACTTTGGTAAATTACCCTGGATTAGACATTAATTTGGGAGACATTCCCATAGACCTGTGCACAATATTCCCTTGTCCCTTTTTTCACGAATTTCGGTAAGTTTACTAATTAGACCACGAACAACAAAAATAACGTATTTGCTACAGCAAAATTTTGCCACTAAAGGGGGGCTGTGACATTAGGGAGACATGAAAATGTCTCCCTAATGACCAATGTCTCCCACCGTTCGAAAAAATTACGATACCGCGTCTCCTTAATATAGTACATTTACACGTGTACCGTGACCGCTATACAGATAAGAGGGTGTATCATTAAATGTGTAATGGTTTCTTCAATGTGCAGAGGCAGAATAGAGACAGATAAATTATAACAAGTGTAGAAAGAAAACGGGAACTTTTTCAAGTCCTGTCATATCCAGTGTTTCGAAAATAACAGTGTAACGACAGAATATTGCTGAAATAATTCTTATTAATAAGTTACTTTATTTAACCTTGTGGATCATTCACGTACATATATATTCATATTAACATTTCTCAGAGATTGGATAATTTTATTTTTTTCCGTTTCATCATACTGTACACTATTTTTGCGAAAGTATTTCTTTTAAATTATTATACATCGAAACAAAATACGCCTCTGTGATTGGTATAGATTTGCGATTCGACAGTTTAGAAATATCCAAATTGTAACATTTTATTTGAAACAAGTACAACTGAAGACTGAACTTCTACTATATGATATCCCGAGAAAGACATTAGGTGTGATGCTGCTCAAGATTTCACGCATCCTGCATCGGAATGAACCGTTCATCAGAAAGTAGATAATAGTGTTGATGAAACTGCTGGACTGCAGCAGCCAGTAGGCAGTGAACACAATCAGTTGCTGTGCTTTTGTACCAGTGATTAGGGACACGATGGCAACACTGAAAAACGGCACCCAGCAAACGAAAACAGCCATCACCATCACCCTGACCATTCTGAAGAGTTTGACTGTCTTTGGTGAGCTCAGCTTACGAGAGTCCTCCTGGCTTGCTGTTGCTTTCGGAGATGACGTCGTCATGTCCGCCCGGAGACGAGCGCTACGGCTGAGTCTCCTGCTGACGATCACCGAAGTCGCCAGAATGATGAAAAAGCTGGGCGCCGCTAGGCAGAATATCAAGACCAGAGCGACCACAGGGTCGCCGAAGAACGAGGGTTGGCACTGGTACATCTCGGGAACGTAGGTAAAGCCCGTCAACTCGAGCAAGGCCGCCAGGTTAACCGCGGCCACAATCGTCCAGCAGGTCCCGAGCATTACCAGGACCACTTTCTTGGTGATCACTTGGGAGTATTTGAGGGGAAAGACCACGGCGATGTAACGCTCGATGCTGAGTAGTACTAAGGTGAGCCGGGATGTGCTGGAGAACAGCTGGCTACAGAATGCCGCCACCAGGCAGCCAACCTCGCCGTACGGCCAAGCCTCCACGGTGCCCAGGAACGTGGCCGCAGGATAGACCGTCAGTGCCGACACCAAACCGGTCCCAAAGTCGGCTAGGGTGAGGGAACTCAAGAAGAGTCCATGGCTGTTCCGCAGCGAGGGTGTGGACACGAGTACGACTAGGGTCAAGAAGTTCCCCAGCACGATCAGAGACGTTACGGCAATGACAACGGTGACCTCAAGGAAACACACGACATAATTTGGGCAAGTGTTCACCACCGATACGTTCAAATTAATCAGCTCGTCCATGATAATCTTACAAAGACAAAACTGAATTGTGCTGAATTAAATACGTGTGCATGCTAATTATTTTAGGATGGTATGCTTTCTTTATGCCGCCAAACACAACTGCGCTTGACATGCTTATGAATGAAATCGAGAAAGTTTGTCTAATTAGTTTAACTTCATTCTAAAAACCCTGCGACAGTTTGCATTGGAATTACGTACACGCATATTCTTCTTAGCGGCCATATCAAGAGGACCTTTGCCAAGGTCTGTGTAAATGTAATTTCAGAATACGAGGCCATTCTGCAATTAAATAAAAACACTTATCGTCCAGTAAATGACCCAACTTTTTACGAATTAATATTGAGAAACAAAAAAACAACAACTACAACAACAATATTAGAGTTGTCGGCGGGAAGCGAAACCGTTTGCGTTTGTTGCATTAAGATTGGCGGGGAATCGATGTGTCTCCAAGGTTGTCACCGTGCTTAAGGGCGCAACAAAATCTGTCATCAAAACACGAAAGAGAACATTGCTTTGTTTTGCTTATCTCTGAAGTATGCCTCGCAGACAACTTTAAATACGGAAGATAAATCAGTATGTACACTTAAAACAAAAAATACAGTTTTTCCAGTTTGTATGAGTAAAGAATTGAGAAAATAAAATCTTAAACTTTCACCAATGTTTTTTTTCTTATATTTCTCTATAATGCAGTGGTCACGTTGTAGTGTCTATAGGCCAAATCAGCCCAACTTTAAAAAAAAAATATTGTCGACCAACTGAATGTGTGTTCAAGTTGTTAACACGCGACTATACAGCGCTGTTGTTTGCATCAGAGTCATTATCACATGAAAAAGACGGGCAGATGATTTGGCAAAATCATTCTGTAATACAAACCAAGGGCGGATCCAGGGGGGGAGGCCCAAAGGGGGCCATGCCCCCCCCCCCCCCCAAAAAAAACGAAACCAATTTTTTTTTTTTTTTTGGTGACATCGCAATAAAGGCAGGCAATGAGTACACCACCATCTTTTCCTCAAAAAAACATTGGTTAAAGTGGTCAGAAATTGCCTCAGATCGCACCACAGAGCATCTAGAATCCAAAAAAATTTCGGGGCCCTTAAGCGGGCCCCGAACGCCACGCCGTAATTTTTTTTACCCACTTTTTTGGGGGACCAACATTTTTTGGCCCCCCCCCCAAAAAAATTGTGTTCTGGATCCGCCCTTGATACAAACAAAGTCTTATAGTGGACGTGGCCACGGTCCTCCCGCCTATAATGTTGAAAATCAACAGTTTATAGATATCAAAAAATTATCCGTATTTTGTCGGATTCTGAGGGAAGTTGGCCTTCCCTTTTAATGGCATGTCATAGCAAACCGTTCGACATTTTTTTCGGGGGTAAAATGTATTTGCCATTAATGTAGGCCCATTAATTTACATATTAATAAAATTTCAGAAATTGTTATCCCGTATCCACCAACAGTCAAATATTTTTTTCTCCATAAATTAATTTGGTGACTACTAAATAGAAATCATTGCTCAAAACAGTAGTACATGACTGTATTTTGGTTCATGCAAAGTTAATCATTAGTTTACAAATTACTGTCATGGAATTTTACGTTTGCAGATGTGGCCACCGAATTGCCGTTGGATGGTTTACTGGAGTTCGCTATGGTACTCAAGTTATCTCTCGTAGAGTGGCTGTCAATTTTCTCAACTCTGACGCCCAATCTTGCCGCAATCAAACCCAAAAGTTCATCAAGTCTCGCCCGGAAGGCCGCGTTCATCTTGAAGTAGATCACGGTGTTAAAGAAGCTGTTGGCGAGTAGCAGTCAGTCAACACCGAACGCAACCACCTGCGGCACGGAGACACGACCCACTAGGCCGACGAGGAATGTAACAAAGAACGGCACGTAGCATAGGAGGAATGTTAACGTCATGATCTGGACCATCCGGAAGGCTTTTATCTTGAGACCCCTGCCTGAGTCCTTCATGCTTCCCTGGAGAGCAGTGCGAAGACTCCTACTGACAATACAAGATGTGATCGTGATGATCAGTATGGGAGCTACCACGGTGGAGAGCAAGGCACAGGCGAGGATGGGCTGACTAAAGAGCACAGGCAGACACACATACAGGGTGGGAAGGTATACTTATGTTCCGGAATACCGGCAAACATGGTGCTGAACACTATGATGGAAATAAGCCAGACCACACCGATGAAGATCAGCGTGACCCGCTTGGTGACGAAGCGGGAGTAGCGGAGCGGGTTCACCGCGGCAAGGGCGGATCCAGGGGGGGGGGCCAAAGGGGGCCATGGCCCCCCCCCCCAAAACGAAATCAATTTTTTTGTTTATGTGACATCGCAATAACGATGGGCAATGAGTACACCACCATCTTTTCCTCAAAAAAAAAAACATTGGTTAAAGTGGTCAGAAATTGCCTCAGATCGCACCACAGAGCATCTAGAATCCAAAATTTTTCGGGGCCCTTAAGCGGGCCCCGAACCCCACGCCGTAATTTTTTTGACCCACTTTTTTGGGGGGACCCAAAAAATTTTTGGCCCCCCAAAAAATTGTGTTCTGGATCCGCCCTTGCACCGCGGCAACGTACCGCTCCATGCTCAGCAATGTCAAAGTGATGCCGGGGTTTGAGATTCCCACTTGTTGAAAGTAAGCAGCGATCCACCGACGGGTAGATCGATAAGGTAGCCACTAGCCCCGTCATCTGGTCAGCCAACGAGAGCGATAACAACAGGTAGCCATGGCTGTTACGAAGAGCAGATATGGATAGCAATACTATCAAGTTCAAGACATTCCCAATCATTAAAAGCCAAGTCACCGCAATGATATCTCAGGTACCCAAAAGTCATCTTCGGTTGTATTTTCCATCTTGGTTTGTCCATTGTCCGATGTCTATTGCTGTTTCGTACGAAATTACCTCCCATTGTGTATATAGATCCGTTTAATACTTGCATCATGTCAAATGCATTGAAAGTGTTTACCAAGGCTACTTCTGCCGGTATGCCCCGACCTCGTAGTATTTTGATCAAATGGGATATGAAAGAATTCGCCCACGTAGTTTGTTCGTCACGGAAACCCATTTCATATGATAATCGTGTTGATTGTGTGATGTCGCGTTTATTATTGGAATACTCTACTAAAACCTTTCATTGTGCAAAATGCTCAAGGATACAGATTTGTATACTATGTTTTGGAAGGTTGTCGCGCTGCATTACAGTGGCGGATCATGATGGAGGGGGATGCGCTTGGGGATGCGCTTGCAACCCCGTTCAGCCGCTGAAAAAAATAACTATTATTTTTATGATTCTCGTTTATTGGAAGTTTGATAGCAAAATTACATGGAGTGAAACAGATAAATTCAAACAATTAATCCGACATTAACAACAGACAAAAAAGGCCTACACTTTTAAAGTTACATTAGACACACAATTGAATGAACTAAAAATATTGACCCATCATTTTAGCAAAGAATAGCAAACGAACAACTGAAAATGGACAAACACAACAACAGACCATATAGGACAGATACATAGATAACGATGGACAGAAAAACCAACAAACAGGCAGAAACAGACAAACAAACCGACCGACTGACCAATAGATAGACACAGATATACAAGGTGACCGACTGACTGAGACAAAAATGGACACAGCCCGCCTGACAAATATGTTTACGATACCTATTTGATAAAATTATGAGTTGAAAATGTTTGATTCAAAGTTCCTACATTTATTCTGGAATTGCCTTGAATACAGGAGAAAGCATCCTAGATGTCAAAATTGGAAAATAAAATAAACATGATCAATGTTTGTCGGATTCTGATGGAAGTTGACCTTCCCTTTTTATGGCACGTTAGAGCAAACCGTCAGACCTTTATATTATATATATATATACTTTTTTTTGGGGGGGGGGGGGCTAATTAATTTGCCAAAATGTAGGCCCAATTATTTACATAGGCATACTTATAAAATTAGAGAAATTGTAATCCTGTATCCATCAACAGTCAAATATTGTTTAATTAAATTTCGTGACGAATAAATATAAATTATTTCTCAAAACAGTAGTACTACACATGACTGTATTTGGTTTATGCCAAGTTAATCATCAGTTTACAAAGTACTGTCATGGAATTGTACGTTTACAGATGTAGAAGATGTGGCCACCGAATTGCCGTTGGATGGTTTACTGGAGTTCGCTATGGTACTCAAGTTATCTCGCGCAGAGTGGCTATCACTTTTCTCTGCTGTGATGCCCAACCGGGACGCCACCAAACCCACAAGTTCATAAAGTCTCGCCCGGAAGGCCGCGTTCATCTTGAAGTAGATCAGGGTGTTGAAGAAGCTGTTGGCGAGTAGCAGCCAGTAAACACAAAATACAGCCACCTGCGGTATGGAGATACGAGCAGCAAGGCCGACGAGGAACATAACAAAGAACGGCACGTAGCATAGGATTAATGTTAACGTCATGATCTGGACCATCCGGAAGGCTTTTATTTTGAGACCCCTCCCTGAATCTCTCGTGCTTCCCTGGAGTGCAGTGCGAAGACTCCTACTGACAATGCATGATGTGACCGTGATGATCGGTATGGGAGCAACCACCGTGGAGAGCAAGACACCAGCAAGGATGGGCTGACTAAAGAACGAAGGCAGACACACGTACAGTGTTGGAAAGTACAAATGTTCCGGAAAACCGGCAAAGATGGTGCTGAATACTCCGATGGAAATCAGCCAAACCAAACCGATGCAGATCAGCGTGACCCGCTTTGTGACGACGCGGGAGTAGCGGAGCGGGTGCACCACGGCAACGTATCGCTCGATGCTCAGCAACACCAAAGTGATGCCGGAGTTTGCGATTCCCACTTGGTGAAAGTAGGCCGAGATGAGACAGGCTGTGTCCCCGTATGGCCAGGAGTCTGGGCTGGCTCGGAAGGTAGCCGACGGGTAGATCGATAAGGTAGCCACTAGCCCCGTCATCAGGTCAGCCACCGAGAGCGATAACAACAGGTAGCCATGGCTGTTACGAAGAGTCGGTGTGGATAACAAAACTATCAAGTTGAAGACGTTCCCAATCATTACAAGCCCAGTCACCGCAATGATAATGGTCGTTTCGATGATACAAATGGCAGGGCTAGGGCAAGGCGGCATATCAGGCACCCAAAAGTTGTCTCCGGTAGAATTTTCCATCTTGGTTTGTCCGATGTCTACCGCTGTTCCCACTGAAATGACCGCGAATATGCTTTTGTATGTCACTTTCACCAAGGCCGCCACTGCCGGTATGCCCCGACCTCGTAGTATTTTGATCAAATGGGATATGAAAGGATTCGCCCACGTGCATGCGTTTGTTCGGGGAAACCCTTTTTCATATGATAATTGTGTTGTTTGTGCGATAATCGTGGTTATTATTGGGGTACTTTACCGTGCAGCCTGACAAAAAAATTGTCCCCGCTGCTCAAGCAAGGACTTGCTTCATGCATGCACCGATGAAAAACTAAAAAAACATGTTTATGAACGCGACCTTGTTCTTAGTATGGTACGATGTTATGAACAAGAGCAAGTGTGATTGAGTGAGTAAATGAAAGGTTTAAAGGGACACTACGTCGTGGAATACGACCAATTGGGCTACAAAACACGTTTTGACGAAATGATGTTACGTGTAATCGGAAAGAACGCTTAAAAGTAGGATATAAACATCCGCACACTCCTTTAAAGCCTGGGCGCTTTGTAGTATTCTTGTGTTATTCGTGCGAGAACGACTTTCACTCAGGGTCCACTTTGTCGACCCCAAAAGGCATGACGTCACTCAGAAGTCTTTGACTTGTTTCCATAGCGAAATTCTGTTTTCACAGAGTGCTGGGAAATCTGTATTATACCCGGCTTGGAAGCCAAATGATTTGTATTTCATTTACCGTATTCTTCCTCGTCGTGCCGTCACATACCGCCTCAACGCCACACATTCAGTGGAATTGTGACATCAATAATCTTCGGGACATGTATATTCTCTGACGGAGTGCACAAAAAATAAAAAAAAATTGTTTCAAAAGTTGGAACATACAGCTGTTCAAAGGACATTGATTGATTACTGTAACGTCATTTTGGTGAACGTTATTTTTATGAAATTGTGTTAACGTTGTCCTTTTTAATATAACACAATCTGGCAAAGTTTTGTCTAAAACGAACAAAGGAAACCGTTGCAAATGCCTTTTCATGATACACAATTAAACAACAGCAAAATTATAATTTTATCTTGATGATGGGATCTTGAACGAACATAGATGCCTGAGAGTGGTTATAAAGAAACTGAGGTCAAACCATTTGCCAGGTCAATTACCCATCAACACATATTGTTTGAGTACCCACAATCACCAGACAAACCCCCCCATCCCATGGACCACGATTACCAGTTTTGGTTGCACTTTACCACAGTCCAGTTCATCTCACAAGACCTGTACGTCCCCACATTAATTGGAACAGACGTCTTGCGAGCTACACAGGGTATCATCTGCGATAAGGAGAGGTAAGAAGCTTTTTAAAAATTAGTCACTCATTCATTCAATCAATCGCTCAATTACGTAGAGGGAAAAGGGGCCAATAATAATTATCATAAGACTGGCCGGCGATCGGGATTCCAGCCGTGCATGGTTATGGGCAATGCATCTGGCTTTCACGCAGGATATCAAGTGGGACCTCATGTACTCAAGACACATGGACCAATTCGTACTAAATCATTTGAACGGTTACATGTTTTATCCAGTCTGTCTCAACGATAGGTTTGCATCGCTTTGTTGAGGGAGAACGTCCCCTTTCAGTAGGCATTTGTGAAAGTTATAAATTAGCAAAGGTATCTGATGAAAAAGGACTGCTCCAAAATTTCCGGACAATTATTTTTTAAAAGAATGGACTTCGTAAAATGGTAATTTGACAAGCGGCATACCGAGCCGCATGCATACCACGTACACGCATATTGATGGCGCCATCTATAGATTCAGGGAAGAGGTGTGGTTCTGAAACGAACTGGGTGGGAGACGTATTCTAAACGGACTTCATTTGGGAAAAGCTAGCCTTAATTTCGGAAACACTTAAGGGGAAACTTGGAAGCCTAATTTTAAAAGAATATTAACGAAGTGCAATTTTAAAATTCCGCATTGCGTATACATTATAACAATTCTAGGAACAATAAGGCTTGAACACAAAACTTTTGTGAACTTACTAGATGGACACGAGGCATGTGGCAATATCGCACATGCAATAACTGCTGCTACGTCTGTCTAGTTTTCTTAAACAGCGCCCTCCATTGACCATCTTTATAGCCAGTTTTTCTCACATGTGTAACGCTTCCAGACTTTTGTAAATCGTAATAAAATAATTGCCATCTGATCAACTGCCATCCCCGTAATTACCTGTGAAAGTATTGTCTGCTTGTCTGTAAGTTTATGTCATTTTCCGCTTTCATTTTGTAGCTAGTAAAGTAGAGGTATTTTAGGGCTATTTTTGGACTCGGTCATAGTCATATTGTTTTATGTAATGCATGTCTTAATACTCTTATGAGTTCAGCCATATCGTAACTGGTTAAGAGCATGGCCACACGTTTTGCGTACGTGTATAAGTGGGTGTCGGACGCTTCGCCCCATTTCCACGTCGCCCCATGTCACTTCGCCCCTAACCACTTCGCCCCATCCCCACTTCGCCCCATCCCCACATCGCCCCATCCCCGTTTCGCCCCATCCCCACATCGCCCCATCCCCGCTTCGCCCCATCCCCGCTTCGCCCCATCCCCACTTCGCCCCCAAGGGCGGATCCAGGGGGGGGGGCCAAAGGGGGCCATGGCCCCCCCCCAAAACGAAACCAATTTTTTTTTTTTTTTATGTGACATCGCAATAAAGGCAGGCAATGAGTACACCACCATCTTTTCCTCAAAAAAACATTGGTTAAAGTGGTCAGAAATTGCCTCAGATCGCACCACAGAGCATCTAGAATCCAAAAAAATTTCGGGGCCCTTAAGCGGGCCCCGAACCCCACGCTGTAATTTTTTTAACCACTTTTTTGGGGGACCAAAATTGTTTTTGGCCCCCCCCCAAAATTGTGTTCTGGATCCGCCCTTGTTCGCCCCATGTAGATTGGTTCCTCCAAGAGTGAAATTAGGATGTCAAAGGTATTGTCGTTCTCAGATAAGTGGGAGACGGGTTGGTATAGCCATGGAGGATTATTCCTCCATGGTATAGTCGGGTCTTTTTAGGCCAAAAAAAAATAAATATTCGGTCTCTGGTCAGACCAAAGTTCCGGAATTGACGCGGCCACGCAGCTTTTTTTTTTTTGGGGGGGGGGCTTTTTTTTTCTTCTTCAAGCTTGGATTGTAGCACAGACAAGGTGGGTTACTATTTTGCTTTTTTGGTGTCCTCATGTACATTGGTGTCCTCCATAATTTGCCTTGTTCATTTGGTGGGCTAATTCTTTCCGTTGGTTAGCAATTAGTGTATCTGTTGGAATTGTTTTTAAGCCAATAAAATTGATGAGATGTTTTGTTACTTTTTACATGTAACGGCTGGGGCGAAGTGGGGATGGGGCGAATTGGGGATGGGGCGAAGTGGGAATGGGGCGAAGTGGGAATGGGGCGAAGTGGGAATGGGGCGATGTGGGGATGGGGCGAAGTGGGGATGGGGCGAAGTGGTTAGGGGCGAAGTGACATGGGGCGACGTGGAAATGGGGCGAAGTGTCCGACATTCGACGTTACAGAAAATCCGGCCTAGGTTTATTTCACGCTTTACGTTATTGCTAGTACAGTAGCATAGTCGGAGTAACTAGGACTCTACGGATCGCTTTTTTAACATTTGGACACTAATATCGCCCGACCATTGCATTGGCATTGCCGACCATGTCCAAATGTTAAAAAAGCGATCCATAGAGCCCTAGCCCACTAGTGTGGCCGTCGGTATGCTGCGCTGAAGGCCACACGCCGTGGTCCGCGCACTACTGAGGACGTTTTCATAAAATTTGCAGGGAATTTCTTAGTCCGAGTAACTTGGACCCAACTTATCACCTTTTTTAACATTTGGACATGGTCTGGCGATAGTGGGGTCCAAGCTAATACCGCGACCTGGACAACATCATCCTGTCACTGTCCATAAAAACCAACATTTTCCAACAAAAAAACATCAGATTTCACCTTCAAAACGGCCTCCAAATGACTAGATATGCCACCTGAGGTACAAGTAGACATCAATAATTAAGATGGTTGTACTGAAGTTTACTTATGATCCGGAAAAAAGTGAAATTTTCCGTTCATTTCGGATCGCTGCCCTCGCGATCTTGAACACGTTAAATTTCCGATCGTGTTTAATGTTTGAACGACGCGATTTCTTCTACATGCCCAGCGTACATTCGATGGTCCCCATATCCCGAGTGCGATTCCGTTACCGAGCGCGCGCGATGCATCGATTATGATAATGAGTCACGTTTGTAAACACATACATGTGCATTTCGAACTGTAAAAGGGAATGGGGAACCAGCTTGAACTGGTACCCGCCATAAAAGCTGCGCTAGTTCCCGACTCCCTATTATCGTTTGAAATGTGTTTACAAACGTGATCCAGTCTACTCATTATCATAATCGATGCATCGCGCGCGCCCGGTAACGGAATCGCACTCGGGATACGGGGACCATTGAATGTACGCTGGGCATGTAGAAGAAATCGCGTCGTTCAAACATTAAAGACGATCGGAAATTTAACGTGTTCAAGATCGCGAGGGGAGCTCTCCGAAATGAACGGAAAATTTCACTTTTTTTCCGGATCGTAAGTAAACTTCAGTACAACCATCTTAATTATCGATGTCTACTTGTAACTCAGGTGGCATATCTAGTCATTTGGAGGCCGTTTTGAAGGTGAAATCTGATGTTTTTTGTTGGAAAATGTTGGTTTTTGGGACAGTGACAGGATGATGTTGTCCAGGTCGCGGTATTAGCTTGGACCCCACTATCGCCAGACCATGTCCAAATGTTAAAAAAGGCGATAAGTTGGGTCCAAGTTACTCGACTAGGAATTTCTTACATATGGTTGTATTCTACGATGTCCCATCTATCACTTCTGGGATGCTTAGGTGTAATGATGTTCAATTTTCCGAGATATTCTTGAATCTTTCTGGAGCCCATATGCACTCGTGAAACGTCCGGTGATGGCAGCCATTTTGAATGTGACAAGAGATGGCCTCAAGCTGTGACGTCGCGTTTATGCAAATTTAGACTAAGTCAACTTTGAACCGTGTACGATGTGTCTAAGGCATAAGCATTCATCAGGTTCATAGCCTTATTTAACTTCATTACTTAGTGCATTTTTCTATTTCTTGTCACACTTTTTACTCCTTTTTCACTGATGATTAAAATTGAAGATTGGACGGTACTTCCTGACTCTCTCATTGTTTTGTTTTTTTATAGGAGTTTGGTTCTATAAACACCTTAAGGAGGACAGTTCATTCGTCGCTACAGTGTGATGCTGCTGGTAGTTGAAACGAATTACGCGAGTGTTGTCCTTCCCATGCACAAGCAAAGCCTGAATCATTAGCCAATGCCGACCCACAATGTCTTGAGCATATAGAGCAGTGTATGATGACCCGTGCTGAAGATCAAAGTGTACCGTACCCGAATGCAACATCAAACAAGCGCGTCATGCTGAGATTAACGTATCTGTCAGGTTTGAGCTGACGGGAGTTAGTTCATCACACCGTGGTAGAACCTTTCCAGGGCCAAATCTACGTCAAGATCAGAGAATAGGTGCAACGGAAGGATATAGACTTCTGGAGCTGTCCGCAACGTATCAACCTGAGGGTCGATGAGTGGAATAAACTGGTGGAGATTATGACTGCCATCACTGATGCCGTTAAAGAGCTGGAGGTGAGAAATAAAACATAGTTGTTCTCGCAGATTTTTTTTTTTTCTTCACAGATACGTGTTGGTTCAATTCCAAACTTATCACATACTTTAATGTTAAAAAAATATCATTACAATTTTTTTTTCAGAATCAAGAGAGCAAGAAGGTGAAACGTGACAGCGATGTTTAGGGTGATGCTGCTGGCCCCTACACTAGTCGTGGATTCGGATCAGGAGGATGACTTTCCATGGGGGTATACGGGTGACACTGTACCATACACCAAGCCCACTGAGACACAATTAACATTATTCAGTCGATATTCATTCCTTGGATTCTTAAGAAAGTAGAGGAAATTTTTAGGAAGCAATGTTATGGATGTAATCAGCCAATAGTTGAAGACTTCACCTAGAAGACTTTATGCTATCATTTATGGGTTCAAAAATATGAGCAAATAAGCAGGGAAGTGAGTAAAAGACTGAGCAACAAAAAGCAACGACTGAGTAAATGAGCATCAAAATGAGTAAATGAGTAATAAAAAGAAAGAAGTGAGCAGCAAAATGAGCGAATGAGCAACAAAAAGAGCAACGAATGAGTAAATGAGAAGGGCAATGAGTAAATGAGTAACAAAAAGAGCAGTAAATGATTTTGTCCGTTTCTTGTCATTCAGAGTACGACCTTCAAAGATTCAACATGAATGATATTTCTGCAGTCCAACCCTATGCTTGTCACCAGTGTTGTAGTGCTCGTACTCGGTACTCTAACTCTGTACTAGTACTCGAAACGACAGTACTCGTACTCGGGTAGCAAAGTACTCATACTCCACATGTCGAAAGTGTACTCGATTAATCGAATAGCAGTATTTGAAAAATAAAATCAAATCGAATAGCAGTATTTGAAAAAAAATGGTATAGCTTGTTTTACCACGGCCTTATTTTATTATCGATACTTTCAGTTGGAAATGGTTGATTGTTTGCAGAGAAATTAAAGTTTCTTGATTTTTCTATGTGCACGGCCAGACAAATACAATTAACAGCTAGCCGTGAATGGTTCTGTATATCAGTCCGACTGGGCCTGGCCAATTACGCACAATGAACCATTTTCCGTATGGCCGTATTTGGAAAGTACTCGCACTCGTACCCGGAAGTACAAGTATTCATACTCGGAGACCTGAACTTGTACTCGGAAGTACAAGTACTTGTACTCGGTAACCTAAGTACTCTGCAGTACTCAGTACTCGGAAAAAGTACTCGAATACAACACTGCTTGTCACCAGTGTGGCAAACGGAGGAAGATTTAATGTCTTGAGACAAGTGCGTGGCCACTTACAGCCCATTGTCCGAGGAATTATCGGCCCCCACTACAAAACACACGAATTATGCCTCGCATGTGTGCTGCCAATTACAGTCCATTGTCCGAAGGTTATCTTATGCAACAGCTGGCCATTACCATAACCGTTATTGCGCAACTCGTGGCAATACGATCATAACTATACTGTATTAAAATTTTATATTTTCTTCCATACATTATGCAATCTTTCCATACAATAGGTCAAACTGTACTCGTTTTTTTAAAACCCTTTTCCCATATTCTCATCCTTACAACGGATCAAATTGTGCCCGAATTTCTAACCCCACAAAAGCCTACTTCATATTCATATCGTACCCCGTGCACACAATATGGACAGAGCCAGCTTGGTTAGGGGGTATTGGAACACTATTCTGTAATATATTGCTAATAATCGCCGGACTTGAACAGCGCCCCCACTGAAAGTATGGTACGAGCCCCCCCCCCCCCCCCCCCCCCCCCCCCATATTGATTTTCGGAGGCCAAGTGTCCGGAGGAAAAAAAACATGTCTACATTTCAGAGTTTTTTGCTGATGAAACCCTCCCCCCTGCGAATATTCCTGGATCCGCCCCTGCCCCCTGTATCTAGTGTCTTGAACTTAACATGCTGACAAGGATCCGGCGATTCCGGGCAACAGCGTAATTACCAATCATTAATATACATGTACTTCCCTCCAACCTCAGGTAACATGTAATCAAACAAGCTGTCAATTTTGGAAAAAAAGACGTGGATAAATGGTCACCATTAGTCAAGCACACCATTAATCAAGAGCCATTAGTCCAGCACACAGGTTGGCTGACTCACGAAATAATCAAGGCTATATAGACACGCGCGCGCGCAAGATCGATGGAAACCAAGTTTCGAAGGGAAAACAAATAGCAGCTTTAGAGGAAAGACACACGTTCTTTCTTGTTTTTGACTGATTCATTGCACGAAAACAGGAATGCATTCGGTTTTCGGGCCGTTAATGAAATTCACAAAACGCTATAAAGTGTACTGCAGAAACACTCCTCCCAAGTCCATCTCTTTCGAGTGACCCGTCATCCCCTAGCCTGCAATTTAATTGAAAAATGCCCACAGAAATAATTGATGTTTCGCATCCATTATTCACAATAATGTGTGAATAGTTCACGTTAATTCCAGTATACGCGTTAAGCTCTTTATTTGCTGCTTGATACTTGTTTTTCCTATAGCACTTAACGACAACAATTTTGAAACAATTTACCCATCAAACTAAATACATTAGTACAAATCCACCGTTAACAGTTAACCATAACATTCCGGAATCCTCCAATTTTCTAATGATTTGTCACACCCCTCAAATGCTTTAAGGAATATTCTGCTATAGGCGTATAGGCCATACACGTCAGGCCCTCCTAACGTCACCGATTCGTCAATGTGTTGGGTATCAAAATATAAGCACATGAGATCTAGTATTGGCGTAGGCCTGATCCCTAAAAGTCCTGTGAACAGCAACATAATCAGAAAATAAGTGGAGTTTTCACTATTTTGTAGTTCTAGTTCCAATTATTTAGAAAATCGTTCATTAATTCATTTATTTGTTATTGTTATGACATATTTCCCAGTGTATGTTAATTAGAAAGGGGTACACAAATTCGTTCAATAATTATACAATCTTGACAACTGACAAACAATACTCTTAATTCACGATACACAAATACACAATACTAAACCAGTAAACTGCAGTACAGTCATAAAAAAACTCGAGGAGTTTAGGTAGTATAGGTTTGTGGGTAATGTGGGATGGGGGAAGGATGGGGCTAGGACAGGACAGGACATGGTGGAACAGATCAAGCAGGGTACTAGGTGTAGGTAGGGGCATCAGGGCAGGGTAGAGTTGGGCATGGTTATAATTATATACATGTATAGGTCGGAGGGCATTAAAACGCAGGAAAGACACTGCGAGGGGAGGGATTATACACCGTATTGGACGAATGGGAACTTTATCGGTGAATAGTCTAAAGTAAAGTACATGATGTAAAGCATGTGACCGCGTGTTTATAATTCAAAGACGGTTGACTGCCGTTTGAGATTCATCTGTTTGATTTTCTGCCAGGGAGGTTTTGCTGTCTTGAAATCCACCGTTTTCGATTCCGTTTCCTTGGTCCTTCCTGACCGCAACAAGTTCCATATTTTGATTTTCTGGAGTCTCGTATGATGATGAGGGAGTAGAACTACTTTGTCTTTTCCGACACCTGCAGGTGCAGACTAGCCTCTCATCGATTTTCCTAAAGCAATGGGGTAAGAGTTTGTCGGCAATTTCGTTCACTCTTTCTCGAAACTTGGTGGTCTTCAGGTAATAGATGATGGTGTTGACGAAACTGTTGGCGATCATCCACCAGTATGAAGCGAATGAAATCACCTGAGGAATCTTCGTGTCACTTAATACGGTGATACTGATTACGATCAGAAACGGAAACATATGCAGTATTACAGCAATGGTCATGATTCTGATCGTGCGGGATAGTCTGACGGCTTTTTGAGAGGTACCTCCAGACAAGTTGGAGTCCTGGCTGGCAGATGATGGCGTGATGGCGGGTACAAAGGCAGCTCGTAGACGGGCACTCTCCTTCAGCTTCCTGCTGACTATTGCCGATGTGACCAGCACGACAATCACGCTGGGGAGCGCAGCACCGAAGATGAACAACAGAGTGAATACCGGGACCTTTGTTAACGACTGACAGACGTAGAACTGCGGGGCGTACGAGTGGGGCGGGAGGTCGGCGAAAACTGTCGAGAACACCGAGGCGGTTAGCAGCCAGCACAACGCGATGGCGATGGTAGTGGCCTTTTTAGTCACCAACCGGGCATATTTCAAGGGGTGGGCCACGGCAATGTACCGCTCGATGCTGAGGAGCATCAAACCCAGACCCGAATTCATCAGAACCAGCTGGCCGGCGTAGGCCGCGATGAGGCATGCCGCGTCGCCGTATGGCCAGGAATCGGTCGAACCTTGCAATGTAGCGGACGGGTAAATGGAAAGGGTCGCCACGCAACCCACGCCAAAATCCGCCACGCTCAGAGATATTAACAAATAACCGTGGCTATTGCGAAAAGCCGATGTCGAGAGCAGAACCACCAAGTTGCCCGTGTTGGAAAGCAAGATGAGAGACGAAACCAAGATGACAACCACCACTTCCAACAGGCAGACAACATCATTGGGGCACGAGTACATGATCGAAAAGCTACCGTCTACTGTTAAGTTATCCATTGCGATCGCGTGTAGGCTCACCCAGCTTCCACTGACAATCTGATTCATAACAGGAAATGCTGCTTTTCTGTTTCCACACGGTTTAAGCAACGAAACATGTAGGGTATATAGGAAACACCAACGCTTGACCTGCACATTTAAATCAGTTTTGTTTTGGTACATGTGGAGGACGCGTTTACCACAATAGACAGACGTCCTTCAAACACGAGTGCACTCCAAAACGTCTGTATTACAAAGAGCCCATCGATTTTATAGCCAGTTATCGGTGTACATGTACTCCACTTGTGACCACGGAAAGATATAGACCTTGACGGCCAATAGCAGTGTCTTCCTTTCATTAACAGTCCGCTGTCTATAGAACTGCTAGTCCATGGCAGTAGTTTCGGATATTGGCTGTGCCCATGGAACTCCATGAAACCGTTCAGCAGATAATTATTTTTTTGTTAATTTTAATCGCTAATTTCATCGCCTAGAAATGGTGATGGCACTTTCGATCGCAGAAAACTAATAGCATTGTGGTTGCACTGTGCTGTGGGGCATGTGAAAATTTTGGTTGCTTCGGATTGGCCCGCGAGTAGTTATATTGATCGAGTTACAAATTAATCTCCACTGACGTTCGCACTATCGCGCAGAGAATTGCACTTGAAGGTTGCGCCGAACTATTATTATTAATTCCGTCGCCGATCACGTAAAGCCCACCATAAATAAATTAGAATTAAACAAACCAAACAAAATTATGTAGTTGGGAATGGCGATGCTCAATTAGCAGCCAGTGGTCCATAACTATGTTGTTATGAAAACATCTGAATCCGCTAGTGCCAAAAGAAGGGCCTCAATATTAAAATAGTAGACCGTCCAATGAGGGGTATTTATCAGGCACCAGCTGTTGCTAGGTAACACCATTATAGGATTTTTTTGTCAACCATGGTGTATAGAGACCAACCGTGTCCAGGGGCGGTTCCAGGAATTTCCGCAGGGGGTTGGGGGGTTGGTTCATCAGCCCCCAAAAATCAGACGTGTGGACAGTGATTTTCTCCGAACACCTGGCCTCCAAAAAAAACCCCAATAGGTTTGGTGTGTGGGTGGGTGGGGTGGGGGAAAGGGGGGGGGGGGGGCTCTCACCATACTTTCAATGGGGGCGCTGTTCAAATCAGACGATTATTAACACTATATCACAGAATAGTGTCCATATACCCCCTATTAACCAAGCTGTCCGTGTTTTGTGCAAAGGCGGACATTATTGCCAGTAAAAACAATTGTGGGTGTGTCAGAGCAGGGGGGCCGGGGTACATTTTTTTAATGAATTTCTGTTGAAACATTTTTTGGACGGAGCTGGGAGGATTTTACCCCCCCCCCCCTCTGGATCCGCGCCTAGTGTCACCTTTCAAGACTTAAGTTAACTATAGCTGACCACAATTGGGGTTCATTGGCATTTCAAACATGAAATCCCTTTAAAAATTCGTTGCTTTTATTGATTATCGAATAATTGAATTTCAAACGATTTTGCTTCAACAAGCCCTGTTAATAAAATAAGAAAAATGGACATGACCTAGAAACGTTTCATCATCGATATCAATAATGTTCAAGCAAATCGATGACAAAACTTGTATGTAGATAATAGGGGGCGCACTATACAATTAACGACGATTTTTTTTTAATATGCGTCGGAGACGACTCCTTTTTTAAATCCCTTCCAGCGCCGATTTACACATAGAAGGTTGTGGTCGAGGGGTACATAAAATGCAATGCATGGTGTCAGAAACGGCTCGTGGTTCATTTAGTGACTCGCAAATTAATTTGGTCCCCTCCTGTCTTTTGCAGCAGCCATATGAAGGAATCCCAGTGGAATATTAAATGATGACGAGTTTACCCAAGTTGCCAAGTCTTGAGGATTGCTGTACTTTTTTATGCGTGTCAGGAAGAACTGTAAATCAATTGATAGACACAGATCTTCCGGCCTCTTTTTATTTTCATTGTGATTTTTTTGAAATGTAATTCCGGATTTTTTTGTTTTAATATAGTTGCTGAATCATACCCTGATGCCAATGCATGGTTTTAATTTTGCCATTAGGCTTATCTGCGCCTGTGAGATGTCAAGACGTTTACTTTACTTCCTCGCTATCTGGACGTCCTTGATATTTCCATAAGTTGGGAAAGGAACGATGCCTCAGCAGATCATCGGTTGTTTTATCATTTCCAGTGTCAGAGGTTCCAGTCTTGAAGAGACGGGCTTTAGTTACTGCTAGTTGACTCGCAAAGCAGCACTCCTTTTGTCTGGCGGCTTTTTGAGGAAAGTCCATAACCTTACTTTTGGAAGAGAATAGTAATCAAGGCTGAAAAAAATGAAACCACAGGTAAGTTATACATGGTATGGTCTGAAGAAGACTAATTACTTTGACCCCACGATCAGAGTGGACATCTTTTCATGTTGCCTCACGGAGTGCAGTACATGTACATGCATGCATGGGATGTATGAGGAGATATTAACGCTTCAATCAAAGATAGGAGCTGCGATTTGGCATTATCAGGCAGGTTGTTAAAATGTGACCATCTCTTGTCTTTTTAACAATGGTGGTGTGAAATTTAGGCCTTTGTCATAAAAAGACATTGTTTAAATTTAAGGAACGGCCGAGGAGTGGGAGGTGATTTGATATGACATGTCAAGGCGCCCGAAGCAAGGCAGAGTAATGGCCATGTGACTTGAAAATTATTACGGTAATTTTTCTGTCATCTGTCGTCGTGATTTAGGAACTCTTTCCAACGGGTATGCCGTTGTTTTCGTATCAGATAAAACGATTTTTTTTTAAATCGAATATCTTATAGCCTTACAGTTACAGGTTTGTTTTCGTATTTAATGTACAGATGGAGTGGAGACGTGCTGCCATCCGTTTTGTGTGTCTGCTCTGGGTCTGCAGCAATAGCATCATTGCCGGCCAACCAGCAGAGTCTGAAACCTCGACGTCACCTGATAAAGGATCATGCTGCAATCTTTGCCGCCCTGAATGTCAAGTGGGGTCACTCGGCCATCCGGGGATACCTGGGATGCCCGGGAACAACGGAAATCCGGGCCCGAGCGGTCCTAAGGGAGACCAAGGATTGGGCCTACCGGGACCCAAAGGGAACCCGGGTGACCGAGGACAGGCAGGAGATCAGGGTGAGCCGGGGTTCCGGGGTCCGGCGGGGAAACTTGGGCCGCCTGGTCCGAGCGGCGAAAAAGGACTAAAGGGGGAGCCAGGAGAAACGACCGTTGTGACGCCAACACCGCCCACTATCGTCGCCTTCAGTGCCGTACTGACTTCGCATTTCCGCGGAGGTAGTGGTGCTGACGTAGTCTTTTCAAGCGCCACGACAAACATCGGGGACGGGTACGATTCGCAGTCGGGCGTGTTCACCTGCCCAGTTGCCGGCGCGTATTTCGTCAGCGTCAATCTGATGAGTTTGGGCGACGACAGCGGGGTGTATCATCACTTGAAGCTTAACGGACAAACCGTCATAACACTGCATGACAATCAAGCACGTTTCCATCACCAGTCTAGCAATTCGGCCATCATTATATTGGCTACAGGTGATAGGGTCTGGCTTGAGGCCGGTGCTTCGGGTCGTGGTGTCTATGGTGACGGACGGCATTTTTCATCTTTTTCGGGTTTTCTGATCAGCGCGATGTAGGGGCCTAATATAAGAAAACCTTTTTTCCCCTCCAATTTAATCTTTTCTTTTTATAATACGAGAGAAAGAAAATCCAGAATCGATCTCCATTTACTTTGCCGATGTGGTCGCTTTCACTTTTCTTATGGGCCGTAAATAAGAAAAATAATGTAAAGCATGAGCGTCCTTATTGCCGAAGCTGACTTGATGATGCCATGAATGGATAAGAAACGATAACCTCTAAAAACTTGAGTGAAAATGAAAAATGGGATGATTTCGTTGGCTGAAGCAGCAACGGTTGTTAAAGGACGCTAGTGTCATTTTCATATGTTGGCCACATTTATATTTCACAAGTCATTCAAACGAGAACGCATATATACGCATTTTAACAATCTTAGAATGATCGTATGTATACAAGCACAAGATAAACAAAACTTCTCATAATTTTATAAAATATCCAAATTGAAGTGATTAAAGAGACCAATAACTTTTTGAGTTAACTTCCCAATATTTCAAAGTAGTTTTAACTGCATTGAACTGTAATTGCCTGCATGGAATTCAATATAGTCAGTAATCATAATAAAATATATTTAGCTTGCCAAGAAAATGAAGGTGTTTCCTAGAACATAAATGCTTGAAATTTACAAGCTCCAAGACACTGCTCTTTACAGCTGGTCTCATAATATAATGTGAATGTTTTCGTTATCTATTGTGTATGTGTAAATCGTGACATTTTTTACAAAGCACGGTAAATGCAAGTTGACACAACCGGCCTCTTCTAGACAAGGAAATGTCTTTGAATTACCAAGCACATTATGATCTGTGTGTCTACGTGTGCACTTTCCTATGGAGCCAGTGGGGGTCCACGGTGCACTGAGGATCCCCGACGTCTAAATTTGTGGTCGTAAAGTTAAGTTCTCAGGAAGCCTTCACGTTAATTAACGAAAAGAAAAACCCAGACCATGACTAAGCAAAGCCTTGTCCTCGTCAATACAATGTGCCTTCTTAAAGAAAAAAGCCTAGGCATATATAGACTTTAAATTCAGAAACAGGGTATTACATTCGGCATAAAATTTTTCAAAGGGGAGCTTCGATTTAATAAATACAAAATTTCGAGAATAAGCACCATAGGCAGTTTTTATTGGTAAATACAACATCATCTGGCAACACTCAAAATGCGGCGAACACATATCCCATAATCAACAAAAACCTGTTTGGAAAATATCAGATGTTTTTGGAAACGGGAGGAACTCTGCCTGTATTGGTCACGTGGTATTTACGCCTACATGACATAGTCGTCAGAATAGTCAGAATATTTTGATGTGGGAACAGACTGAAATGTTATATCTAAAAAAAAAAATTAAAAAAAATCGAAAATACTAAAAAAAATACTGTTTTTGGTTTCTGATTTGCTCTCTTGCACTGCTCATATCTCGGCCAGCATGAGTTCATAATCATGAAAGTTATCATCGATAAGTCTTGCAAGGAACATCGCCCATCCACAAAAGGGAATGGAAACGTCTTACTTAATTATGTTCGTTTTCACTATCAGCATGATTCAGACATCTCCAATTTACTTGCAGGACACTGAACCACGGTTCCATCTTCGGAGATGTACTTACGCACTTGAAGATAATTGAAGATAATTCTCAAAGATTATCTCCGACAATGTTCAAGTTAATCAAATCTGTCATTCTGTATAAACCAAATCAAAAAAAAAAAAAAAAAATCCGTTTACTCTGTAATTGTCAGTTCAGTTGCGGAGCACTGCACTGTAAGTGTGGTACGCCTTTGTTTTTATACAAAAATGTGTCAAAAACCTTGTCTCTTGCCAACCCGTAGGCGTTTCTTTATGGCTTTAACGTACCGTCTTGTCGGCAATCTTGAAACATGTGTGATGTCTGAAAGGACGGAATTAATGAATAAATTGATTAATTCAGATATCGTTCTACAATATGGTACAGTGAAGGCATTTACCCAGCTTATGGCTTTGCAAACAAATTTCACGAAAAATAACCATAGACTCTTTGCGTATATTATATTAACGCACGCTTAATATTGATGTATGAACTGCGCATGTGCAACAGGGCCGACATTATACGATGATGTCATCCTTCAGCTAAGTTCCATGGTTTGGATTGTGTTTGACGCATTAGATGGGATGCATGGACAGATTCTGCGGCAGTCTTTGCCGGTTAACTGACGAATGATGGATTCCAGAGTTTGGCAGACAGTTGGTGAGTTTACAAACATAAGCAGTGATCGTCGGGTAGGTCTACTATGCGAACCTGATGAAGATATCGAGCTTTTTGCCCGACCAGTGGATGCAGTTGTCATCTTCGTTACTGCCGTCTGCATCCTGGCTGCCAATGCATTGAACTTTGCCGTCCTCGCAACCACACCTTCGCTCTGCAATGTCCACGGGTACCTATTGACGGCTCTGACGGCGGGTGGTTTCTGTCTTGGCTGCCTAGCGGCTTCCACCGTTTACCCAGTATGGGCCGGCTGCTGGCCCTATGATGAGACAACCTGCGTTGTATCGGCCTACTTCGCCAGTGCCCTGACGATTTTTAACGCCTTCGTGATAAACCTGCTAAACGTCGAACGATACATCGCCATATGCCACCCGTTGTGGTACACGGCCTGGGTTACCAAGACACGTATTTCTGGCGCCGTTTGCGTGAGTCTTTTTGTATCTTTCACGCCGCTGATCCCTTTGATGATCACAGATAAACTGAAATATGTCTTCATTGGCAGCGGCTATATTTGTATTGCAAAAGCCCGTGATGCTGAAAATCTCACTCTGTCATTGGTGTTTGCATGTGTTGTAACGATCCCTAGTTTCGTGATTGTCGTCATGACAGGCTTCGCGATGCTCCGACGTCTGTCCAGGCGTTCACACCAGCTCCGTCGCCTCTTCGGATCGGTTGGGATGGGAGTCCAGTCCGGCCGGTCTACAATGCAACGCCGCAACGCCCGACTTCTCGTCGTATCTGTGCTAATCATAATCATTTACGTCATCTGCTGGATACCCCTGACCGTCATCAATATGATTCATAAAAGTCGGACCTCTCGGTTGTCCGGCGAGACGCCTGCCCTCCTGCTGTCGTTGTGGCTGGCAGTCTTTGTCAGCCCGATGTGCAACACCGTCATCTACTTGTTTACAATGGATGTGTTCAAAGAGCGCATCAAGTCGCTCCTGGTTGCATTCTTCCGTAAGGTATGCGGCATACACTGCAAGTCTGACAGCAAACGTAATACACAAAATGATTTCGTTTTGTCGGAGACAACACTCCGGTCAGATTATACCTCAGGCTATCCCAAGGCTCTGTAGATGTGCCACTGTGTCGAATCTTTTTATTATTGGTTTGTCACAGTCATTTTCTAATAAAGACTGCGCAGATCCGCTGCTTTGCAGCAAGTTTGAGGCGCGTACTTTTAATTTGCTCCACAAAAATCATATTGTAATTTTACACAAGTCATGTAACAGAATTACAGCAGCAAACAAACCTCGAATATTGCTGCTGAATGCGATGGTCTACCGGCTGTCGTATATCATGCAGGAACAAACAAGATTATGTTTCACAACAGAAGAAACGTAGTATGTAATGGTCGTCTTGATATGGTCAACCATGTATTGTTATCCAGAATTGAACGTTCTACCAAAACCCAAAACACGATATTGTTGTTTCATGCAAACCTTGTTGTTCACGCCTCGGTCTCTCCATATATGATTTCATTTTGTTCATTGTATATCAGATGTCTTTATTTATAAGAGATACATCAGTGCAATGTTCTCGTGGCCATTATAACATGAAATAAGCGGTTGTTTATAAAATGTATGACAACAAAATGCAATGAACATCGTTGGTTGCAGGGCTATCTGAGACATTGCGCTCAAGTAATTTGTTGTTTTTAAATACATTATCAACTTATTAATGCATAGGCCCTAACGGTTGTATAAATTATAAATGAGCCCAAAGAATGGTGATACCGGCATTAAATTTAGGCCTACACAGGAATGATGGCTACGCCTCGGAAGGGGTCTCTTTACAAATTTACTGTCGGTGAAATTTTCGGGTTTCACGCCAAAAAATTCTGATATTCAGATAGCTATTTCCTGCCAACATAAAATTTGCTCACTTTCACTTGTGGAATTGTTGCTTAGGTTATTATTTACGTTAGGCTGATGCCCGCCCTAATAAAAGCAAACCTCCAAGTTTTTTTCCCAGTAGGTTACAGAGGTTCGAAATATTAGTATTTTTGGCTTAAACATACATATTGGAAACTCAGAAGAAAAAATTAGGGCATGGAAAGTACATGCGTGGTTCTGAGAATAGTCAATGACTGGACAGTTTGAAAACCGTGCTGCCGTGCTCCTCGTTTTTGTCCTGACCTAAATTAGGCCATCAGCCTGGGGGTTTTGTCGGTATCAAATAAGGGGAAAAATTGTCATAGTGATTTTTGGCAAGGTATGCACCCCTGTAGTTAAAGAAATATGTGATAGCATTGCAGCGGTTGCAGCTTTTTGGGTGATATCACTTTTTTCTTTTTTTAAATGGCAGCCATGCTTGTTAGCCTACCCATTACAATTAATCCGGTTCAAGCATATCTTTTGAATTTTTTTTTTAAAGTGATAACACCCCAAAAAACTGCCACCGCTCACGGCTCACACTACAAAGCTATCACACATTTTTCCAATTCTAGATGTGTATAACCTTGCCAAAAATCGCTATGAACATTGCTCTTTTCGATCATTTGATACCGGTGGCCCAAGTTTTGGACCGAAGCTGATAGCCTAAATTGAGTTCATAATTATAGGCTTAGCTATAAATGGGTCATAAATTGTTCTGTTGTGCCGTGTATATGATTGTACAATTACTGCAGCGAAGTGTATTTACTAATGGTTATACATAAAAAACATCTGTTCTGTTAACTTGAATCCTTTCAAATGCGACGAATGATTGTGCAAACACATCTCTGCTGTTAACACACAATCCCACACAAAGACACGGGACATTTTAACGGTGTCGCGGGAATTTTGTAAGCGAACGACATTAATTGCATTCTTTTTTAAAGGGTAATAAATGTAGTTGAAACCGACCATTGTTTAATTAGGCGATCGGTAACTAAACGTGCTACATTAAGTTTATTTCATCAGCAATACAGCTTCGTAATTGGATGTAATACGCTTCTAATAACCTGCCAAAATCCTGGTTAATGGAGGTGCGCAGTTCTTACCCTTTAATACTCGTGATAGGCCTACTTTCCCTGATACTCACGCGTATCATTATTAAAATCGGACAAGTAAGCTCCTTCAGTAAGAGGCTTTCAATGCACTCCATTTTGTGTGTGTTCATTCATCTTTATTCAGAATTATACCAAATGATTCTCCAGCAGTTTTTGATTGTACATACTGTAATTATCCGCATGATTTTCAAACTGTAGTGAGCGTATAGCGTTCTTTAATATAAATATGAAGTTGATTACCCTGTTTCGTCAATTTCTACAAATGATTGTTGAATTAGAAATCTTTTGGTGATAAATGATACATTTAAAATAAGTGCTGATTCATAAATATATATTATTTTAATTGTATTTGACATTCTAATGCTTCAGTATCTTTCATTACGTATGGATTCCCATTGTTAACAATATTCCTGCGGCGACAAAAGCGATAATGATCATAGTAATAATAAGTACATTTTCCCCAAAAACTTTTTGTTTCTTATTTAGTAGTAAGCGAGATTAAAGCACTACTGGGTACATTTGCTGTCGTATGGAGTAGTAATTTTTCTCGAGTTAATGTTACTTTTTTTGTCTACAAATTTTAAGTTTGAACATGATTCTGACATTGAGACTCAGACAGTCACAGTTATTACGCAATTAAAACTCTTATTTCTTCTAGCTTTTCGCCGTGATGATATTAAATGGGGTCATGTCGTTCTGCAGAATTTTTTTTTACTCTTGTGACCTGCTTGCTCAGGATTCCTTTTTTTAAGTTGGGCTGTTACTGTGCGCCTCATTTGGTCTTGATCACTATTCGGCATTTCTTTCCAAGAGTCACGAACGTATCGAAACTGTGCATGTTACTCTCAATCTCTCTCTCTCCCTCTCAGTGTCCTCTTTCCATCTGTTGTTGTCCCTTCAATTGTTCTCTCTTTGTCTGCCTGTCACTTCCAGCTCCTGATGTGCGGACGAGAAGACGGAATGAAATGCACAGAAGACGGGGAAAGACAAAGTAACGCAAACGTTTTTCTGGACAAGAAGAGACAACAGTGTAGTGATTCACAGACAGACCGACGTAAACTAAACGTCCGACAGATGACGGGCGATAACAGAGAAAGATGAGAAAAAAGAGGCAAACGAGTATCTGCTCACTGAAGAAAGAACAACCAGCTGACAATAATCTCTCCTCGATTTATTCGTTCGCCTGTGTGCTCTTGTAACATCGGACTGCAAGTCTGCTGATTTCTCTCTGTATCTGTGCCTCTCTTTAACTGTCTTTGTCGGTTACACATTGCCCGTTGTTCGTTGTTCATAATATATCGTTTGTTTTGTGTTTGTCAATGTTTCGGCCTGTCGGTCTCTTGAGATATCTCTGCATCCATCTGTCCACCTGCCATTATGTCAGTCTATCTACTTCAATGCCAGAACTGAGGACACCGCGACAGCAAGACTGACTGACGGACAGTCAAACACGGCAACGCAGTTTGTGCACTGGTGCTGGTTGGGGTACTATTGCACCAGATTCCAACACCAGTTTGAACCACGTCGATGTTGGTTGTCTGTCAGTGTTGGTGCTGTTTGCTGTCTTCAGATCTGGCATCGAAACAGATAGACTGGCACAATGACAGTTAGACGAATGGAACATGGATAAACCAACAGACCAACAGGCCGAACCACTGACAAACACAAAACAAACAACATATTATGAATTTGAACGAAAGGCAATGTATAACTAAAAGGACAGAGGGAGAGAAAAACAGATACGCAGAAAAATCAACAGACAGGGAATAAACTACAAGAGTACACAGGCGACCGAATAAATCGAGGAGAGATTATCGTCAGTTGATTGCTCTTTCTCCAGTGAGTAGATACTCGTTTGCCTCCTCACTCTCATCATTGCCTGTTTTCGCCTGCCATCTTCCGGACGTTAAGTTCACACCGGTCTATCTGTGAATCACTTCACTGTTCTCGCTTCTTGTAAAGAAACTGTTTGCTTGCCTTGTCTTTCCCCGTCTTCTGTGCATTTCATTCCGTCTTTTTCGTCCGCACTCCAACTGATATTTGTCATGCTTTTCATTTAGCATCGCCACCGCCACTACAATCATCCTTTCTTTATCAACTCGATCACTACGCAACATAGTTTGAAGATTCTGTTTCCACTCTTGCCTCACGCTCTCTGCCAGTTTCCCTTGTTTGGATTGAGAGAAGTTCCATTCTGTGATATTATTCTGTTTTCGAATGTTGAATGCGAACTCTGACTACCTTGACTAGTGAATTTGAGACGCACAGTATCATCATGGGGCGCAGCCAGAGGGCGTTTTGTAGTTGAGTTGCCGGAAGAATGATACAAGCAAAAACATTTCCAGAGACACCTTTTATGTTGGTAACTATATCCTTTTGAAATACTGACCACGCCCCTGAGATGCCCAACCTAAGAAGGAATCCTGTTCTTTAAGGTGCTTGTGATGGGGCTGATACTAATCCATTGGTTGCACGCAACAGCAGGCAAAGATGAGAGCAGTGAACTTAGATGGTTTCTTCTTTTGTTTCTTCACGTTGTCCCCAATCTCAACCATCTCCATCTTTGTCTTCTTCTCCTTCTTGCTGGTGCGCCTGCTGAAAATCCTGGCCAAGAAGCTTCTTTTCTTGGTCTTCGGGCATATCTCTTCAGAATATGTATCTGTTTAGTATTTAAATGGAATATTGCAGAACACAGTTGACAAACGCGCTAGGTGTGTTGCTCCATCATGTTATTTACCAAATTCCATGAGACTGAAATAGTTGAATGATCGAGGGGCCCGTTGTGACCCAATAGCTTTTGCAGACTCGCTTTCCTATTTGGTACTGTTTCTATTGTTGGTATCTTCTGTTAACAGTTGTCGGACAATATTATATTCAAACAGAATCCAAATGGTATGAAAAATGAAGAAAAAACCTAGTGACTCCAATTTCACATGTTTGTCCAATTACATGATGACATGTGCCCTGATTACCTTTTGCATTGTCCTCCTCAGCAGTATCCTTGCATACCTCCTGACGGATGTCCTGCTCCTCCTTGTGGGTTGCAGTTTTCTCATTCAACTCCTTGGTTTCCAAGGTCTCCATCTTCTCCTGTTCCTTTGCCAAATCCATCTCACCTTCCTCCTGAATCCCATCTCGCTTCCCTTTGTTATTATCGCCAGTCATTACCTTCTCCATCTTGGGATTGCCATCCTCCTTGGCATTTTCTTCCCTAGCCACCAGCCCTGCCTCCTGTTCCGTAACCTCCAGTTGTTTGTCCTCCAGGTCCTCAGTCATCCTAGTCTCCCAATCCTTCCGTCCTCCAACTGCCACTTCCTTGTTTTCTTCCATTCCACCCTGTACTTCTTTCAAACCATTTTTCTTGTCATCTTTCTGATCTCCGTCCTCTTTCACCACTGCTTCCCCCTCCCCCTCCTTTCTGTACTCCACATGCACCTCTTCTCCAACAATCTCATTGCTTTTCTCATCCTTCTCGGATGCCTCCTGATTCTGTTTTTCCTTTTCTACTTCCACTTTCTTCTTCTCAATCTCTGTTGCATCAATTTCCACTTCTTCTTGAGGCACACCATCCCAGCCAGCTTCCACCTTATCCCGATCTTCATTCTGATGTTCGATCTTCAAATCTTTCATCTCCTCCTTTTGCAACTCCCCATCTCCATTCCAATTGACTTCGGTTTGGATCTTCGTCAAATCCCCAGCTTCTGCATTCTCGCCCGCCTGCTTCTGCATATCTCCTTTCTCCTCTACCTGCTCAACACCTCTCTCTTCCCGCTCCTCCTCCAAATACTTGATCTTGTCCTGTTGCATTTCCTCATCTCCCTTCTCTTTGCCTTCGTGTTCCATCTTCGTAAAATCCTCTACCTTTGCCATCTTATCCCCCGGCTTCTGCTCATCACCTTTTTCTTCTAACTGTGCAGCTCTTTCCTTTTCCTGATCCTCGATCTCTAAATCCTTGACCTTCTCCTGATTCAACTCCCCATCTCCGTTCCCCTTGCCTTCATGCTTGATCTTCGTGAAATCCTCAACTCCTTCCTTCTTATCTCCCTCCTTCTCCAGTTCATGCCCTCTGACCCCATGCACCTCTGAGCCACCCCCTTTCTCTTCTGGCACACTCACATCCTGCCCTTCGAGCTCTGCCTTCTCATCCTTCTCATCTTTCACCTGATGGTTCACCTCCTCAGCCTCTCCTTCTTGGATGACGTCTTGCCCTTCCTGTTCCTCAACACACTTTTCAAATACCTGTTGTTTCATAAGAAAGGTAAATGAAAAGCATAAGTTTCCTTCATCTGTAGTTGAAAAATAATTTCGAACAAATTGTACAAGTGGACATGAATGGCATGAATGTTTTCATTTTCTGGTTGCTATTCAAATAAGTTCCAATGAGTTGCCTTCTTTGAAATACATGTTGTCTAGCGCATCTCTTGATGCATACGCTAAAATGGATTAAGAAGTGTTTTGAACCGACCTTTGCTGTGCATCTGCCATCATTGATGTCATCCACAATCACCGTGGTAACTGCATCTTCCGATCCCTGGTAGGGCACGCCCCCATCGAACGTCACCATGCTATCCTCTTTTGCCTCCTGGATCAAGCGGGCAAGACCGGCCTGCATGATCAGAGCACAGATGGAGTTGGGGTCTTCCATGGCCAAGGCGGCCCGTCTGGCTGACTGGGCATCCAGTGCCTGAGTGTTCTCCTCCGGGAACACCTCGAAGTCATCCACGGCCTGAATCCACGCGTTCACGCGTTGTACTAATCGGTGTGAAACAACATATGTCGCAAATAATTCATGTAAAAGATGAGCAAATCAATTTCGATAAGAGTTTATTTATGTAGAATAACTCCGGTAAGTCTTTCAGTTCAGTACAAACTGGTGCCTTCACTTCCCCGACTCGAGCAGAGGGAAACATTTCGTGTTTTGCTGATGAAGTCTTCTTCATTTTGTTGAAGTTCAATATTGTGCCATAACTTTTAATGATTTTCTCAATGGATCTTACCTCCTGGATTGATATCACTCATTTAGCTTTCGGTTCGTGATGCGATTTTGCAGAAAATGTCACGTTCATCTGAACACGAACTTTCGATTTAACTGAGAAGGTTTTGAAAGCTTTGTTGTTCAGCGCAGCAGCGAGCTCCGTTTTGTGACGATCTTTGTACGCGCGCGTATATGGTTACTAACGCGCAAAACAAACAGCGCCCCCTTCTGATCAATGACAAATTTGAATATTAATATCCATAGACTTCTACCGATCGCCTGATCACTTTTATTTAAACTACAGTAGCTTGTCGTTAGATCAGAGGGTATTATATTGGGTTCAAAATCTGTCATCACCCCTTTTCATAAAAGGGCAAAAATATTAACTGAGTAAATAAAGAAAACGATTACAATTTAGCATGTGTACGGAGCAGTGACATAGCCAGGAGGTGCAGAGAGCGGCACAAGTGCAGTTTTTAGCTCGAAACGGTAAAAACTGACTCATAGGCCGAAATGCAAAGTTATACGAACGAGGAACGTTCACGCGTTGTACTAATCGGAGTGAAACAACATATATCGCAATTCATCCATATCAAGCAAAAGATAAGTAATTCAATTTTGATAAGAGGTTATTTATGTAGAATTACTACGGTTAGTCATTCAGTTCAGTGCAAACTGGAGCCTTCACTGTCTTCTCCGACTCAAGAAGTGGGAATTCTTCTGCATTCTGTTGAAAATCAATATTGTGCCATTACTTTTAATTATTTCTCAATAGATCTTACCTCCTGGATTGATATCACTCATTTCGCTTTCGGTAAGTGTTTCGATTTGTTGAAAAAGTCACGTTTATCTCAACACGAACTTTCGATTCAACTGAGAAGGTGCACCAAGCTGTGTTGTTCAGCAGCAAGCTCCGTTTTGTGACGATCTTTGTACGCGCGCGTCTCATTCTGCGGGTTACTAACGCGCAATACAAACAGCGCCCCCTGCTGATCAATGACAAATTTGGATGTTAATATTCATAGACTTCTATACCGATCGCCTCGTCACTTTTGTGAGCTACGTGTCGTCAGATCAGAGGGCATTTTCAAAATCCGTCATCACCCCTTTCAAAACCTGGGCAAAAATAATAACTGAGTTTAGAATAAAATTACAACTTAGCATGTGTACTGACCACTCGACCAGTGGCATATAGCCAGGACGTGTAGTGTGGCATTGCAGTGCGACGGGCTAGATATTTAAAATGCAACACGGGGACGCTGGTAGAAGCAAAATCGGGACGGTAAAAATGGACTCGTCCGTCTATATGCAAAATAGTGCTAGTGGCATATGGTCGGAATCGTGATCGACTGGTCCAAAGCACCAAACTTGGCAGATAAAATAGCCCTAAACATGTCTAAAACGCAAAATGGGGACGCTGATAGAAGCAAAATCGGGACGGTAAAAATGGACTCCGTCGTCGGCCTAAATGCAAAATAGTCAGTTTGCGATATTGTCAGAAATGTGATCGACTGGTCCAAAGCACCAAACCAGATATTTAGAAGGGTGACACCTGGAATTCGTATGGGAAGGGTACGTGTCTAATCTGCACAATTCGTTAATACCTGCGTGCAATATATTTACACGCATGCTAAAGCAGATCTTTTTTTTTAAACCATGAATGTTTACCATGTGCATTATTTAGTCATAAATGTATAACGGTTGTGTTAATTAGCCCAAAGGATGGCGATACTGCCATTACATTAAGGCCTACACAGGAATGACCGCAACGCCGGGCAAGGGATCTCTTTAAAGATGAACTCTCGGTGCAATTTTCGAGTTCTAAGCCCAAAATTGATTATATGTAGATTGCTATTTTCTGCCAACATAACAATTGCTCAGTTTTGAAGCCCAGTTGTCGAATGTTTATTTAGGTTATTATTTACGGTGGGCTGATGCCCGCCCCTAAAAAAGGATTGATAATGTTGGGACGGTAAACCAGTCTAAAAACCGGTCCATTCGCAGGGCAGATCTGCTAATGGGCAAAACAAAACCTCCCCCCCCCCAAAAAAAAAAAAAAAAAATTAAATAAATAAAAAAAAATAAAAAAATAGTGAGTTGCAGACGTTCGAAATATAAGTGTTTTTTTTTTCTTCCAAAAGTAAACATACAATTGAAAACTCAGGAGAAAATTAATGTCTTAATTCCGCTAATCATAATTACGCTTGGTTCCGAGAATAGCCAGCAACTGCACATTTTGAAAAACAAAACAAAACCACCCATTAAATTGCCGCCGTGCTCTTCGGAGTTTTTTTCCAGACATTAATGGAGTTCATGGTCTTATTATAAAGAGATCACAATTTCATAAATTGCTCCGTTGTGCCATTTGCACTATGGTGTACAATTACTGCATAAAAATACATTAAAACATGTGCTCAAATGTTTTTAATTGCGACGAACGTTTGCGTAAACAGATCCCCGCTTTTAGTCAGGGATATTTTAACTGTGTCGCGTGAATTTTGTAAGCGAACGACGTTAATTGCATTCTTTTAAGGGTAATAAATGTAGTTGGAACCCGACCATTGTTTAATTAGGCGATCGGTCACTCAACGCGCTACATTTTGTTGTCTGTGCATTTCATCAGCAATACAGCTTCGTAATTGGATGTAATACGCTTTTAATAACCTTCCAAAATCCTGGTTAATGGAGGTGCGCAGTTCTTACCCTTTAATACTCGTGATAGGCCTACTTTCCCTGATACTCACGCGTATCATTATTAAAATCGGACAAGTAAGCTCCTTCAGTAAGAGGCTTTCAATGCACTCCATTTTGTGTGTGTTTCATTCATCTTTATTCAGAATTATACCAAATGATTCTCCAGCAGTTTTGGATTGTACATACTGTAATTATCCGCATGATTTTCAAACTGTAGTGAGCGTATAGCGTTCTTTAATATAGATATGAAGTTGATTACCCTGTTTCGTCAATTTCTACAAATGATTGTTGAATTAAAAATCTTTTGGTGATAAATGATACATTTAAAACAAGTGCTGATTCATAAATATATATTATTTTAATTGTATTTGACATTCTTATGCTTCAGTATCTTTCATTAAGTATGGATTCCCATTGTTAACAATATCCCTGCGGCGACAAAATTGACAATGATCATAATAATAATAAGTACATTTTCCCCCAAAACTTTTTGTTTCTTATTTTGTAGTAAGCGAGATTAAAACACTGCCGGGTACATTTGCTGTCGTATGTGAAATAGTAATTTTTCTCAAGTTAATGTTACTTTCTGGTATACAAATCTAAAGTTTGAACATGATTCTGACATTGAGACTCAGAGTCACAGTTATTACGCAATTAAAACACCTATTTCTTCTAGCTTTTCGCCGTGATAATATTAAATGGGGTCATTTCGTTCTGCAGAAATATTCTTATTTTTCAGTTTTTTTAATCTTGTGACCTGCTTGCTCAGGATTCCTTTTTTAAAGTTGGGCTGTTACTGTGCGCCTCATTTGGTCTGGATCACTATTCGGCATTTCTTTCCAAGAGTCACGAACATATCGAAACTGTGCATGTTACTCTCAATCTCTCTCTCTCCCTCTCAGTGTCCTCTGTCCATATGTTGTTGTCCCTTCAATTGTTCTCTCTTTGTCTGCCTGCCACTTCCAGCTCCTGTCTCTGTTATACTCCGCACAAACAGATGGGTTGATGTGCGGACGAGAAGACGGAATGAAATGCACAGAAGACGGGGAAAGACATAGTAACGCAAACGTTTTTCTGGACAAGAAGAGACAACAGTGTAGTGATTCACAGACAGACCGACGTAAACTAAACGTCCGACAGATGACGGACGATAACAGACAAAGATGAGAAAAAAGAGGCAAACGAGTATCTGCTCACTGGAGAAAGAACAACCAGCTGACAATAATCTCTCCTCGATTTATTCGTTCGCCTGTGTGCTCTTGTAACATCGGACTGCAAGTCTGCTGATTTCTCTCTGTATCTGTGCCTCTCTTTAACTGTCTTTGTCGGTTACACATTGCCCGTTGTTCGTTGATCATAATATATCGTTTGTTTTGTGTTTGTCAATGTTTCGGCCTGTCGGTCTCTTGAGATATCTCTGCGTCCATCTGCCCACCTGCCATTATGTCAGTCTATCTACTTCAATGCCAGAACTTAGGACAGCGCGACAGCAAGACTGACTGACGGACAGTCAAACACGGCAACGCAGTTTGTGCACTGGTGCTGGTTGGGGTACTATTGCACCAGATTCCAACACCAGTTTGAACCACGTCGATGTTTGTTGTCTGTCAGTGTTGGTGCTGTTTGCTGTCTTCAGATCTGGCATTGAAAAAGATAGACTGGCACAATGACAGTTAGACGAATGGAACATGGATAAACCAACAGACCAACAGGCCGAACCACTGACAAACACAACACAAACAACATATTATGAATTTGAACGAAAGGCAATGTATAACTAAAAGGACAGAGGGAGAGAAAAACAGATACGCAGAAAAATCAACAGACAGGGAATCTGATGCTACAAGAGTTCGCAGGCGACCGAATAAATCGAGGAGAGATTATCGTCAGTTGATTGCTCTTTCTCCAGTGAGTAGATACTCGTTTGCCTCCTTTCTCTCATCATTGCCTGTTTTCGCCTGTCATCTTCCGGACGTTTAGTTTACACCGGTCTATCTGTGAATCACTTCACTGTTCTCTCTTCTTGTCTAGAAACTGTTTGCTTGCCTTTGTCTTTCCCCGTCTTCTGTGCATTTCATTCCGTCTTTTCGTCTGCACACCAACTCATCTGATATTTGTCATGTGTTTCATTTAGTATCGCCACCGACACTACAATCATCTTTTCTTTCTCAACTCGATCACTACGCAACATATTTTAAAGATTCTGTTTCCACTCTTGCCTCACGCTCTCTGCCAGTTTCCCCTGTTTGGATTGAGGGAAGTTCCATTCTGTGATATTACTCTGTTTTCAAATGTTAAAATGCGAACTCTGACTACCTTGAATAGTGAATTTGAGACGCACAGTATCATCATGGGGCGCAGCCAGATGGCGTTTTGTAATTGAGTTGCCGGAAGAATGATACAAGCGAGAATATTTCCAGGGATTAATTTCATGTTCGCAACTGCCGTTTTGATATACTGGCCACGCCCCTGAGCTGCCCAACCTGAAAGGAATCCTGTTCTTCATTGATTTAAGGTGCTTGTGATGGGGATGAACCTAATCCATTGGTTGCACGCAGCAGCAGGCAAAGATGAGAGCAGTCAACTTGGATGGTTTCTTCTTTTGTTTCTCCAGTTTGTCCTCAATCTCAACCCTCTTCACCTTTGTCCTCTTGTCCTTCTTGCTGGTGCGCCTGCTGAAAATCCTGGTCAAGAAGCCTCTTTTCTTGGTCTTCGGGGTTATCTCGACTGAACATGTGTCTGTTTGGTATTAAATGGAATATTGCAAAACACAATTGACAAACACGCCTGGTGTGGTGTTCCATCATGTAATTACCAAATCCCGTGAGACTTAAATACATTGCATGTCGTCGGTCCCTTTGTGACCGACTAGCTTTTGCAGACTCTCTTTCCTATTTCCTTCGGTATTCTGTCGTTGGTACTGTTTACATAATTACGCGATATGCTCATAATTATGAAATCTCACCTTTGCAGGTACTTTGTGGAATAAACCCCTCTGATGGATGTGGGTGTACATTGTCAGTGATCATCAAATCGTTACTGGGTGTTTTCATCGTCGCATCATCTTCAGTGACGATGTCGGTATTAATAGAGAAATCTTGTTTCTCTTGGTCTATAAAATTAAACAAGAAGGAAATAATTATCGCGATGAATGTTTCTAATCTTCTGTTACAGTTGTCGTATAGTGTTATAACATTAAACAAAACACAAATATACTTGAAAATGAAAGGATGTAAAGACTACATTTAAGATGTTTGACCAATTTCATGATCACACGTGCCCTGATTACCTTTTGCACGGCATTTCTCAGCAGTATCTTTGCATTTCTCTGGAAGGATGCCCTCCTCCTTGTGGGTTGCAGTTTCCTCATTGAACTCCTCAGTATCCAAGTTCTTCATATCAACCTCTTCTCTACCAAGCTCACTGCTGTCCTCATCCTTCTCGGATTCCTCCTGATTCTTCTCCGTCTGATCTTCCACCTTCATCTTTTTTATCATCTCTGTTGCCTCCACCTGTAGTTCATCTTGCGGCAACCTATTCCCACCCACTTCTATCTTATCCTGACCCTGATCCAGATTCTCAATCTTCAAATCTTTCATCTGTTCCATCTGCAACTCCACATTTTCATTCTCCTTGCAATCGGGCTTCCCCATCTCTGTTGTATCCACTTCCACTTTTTCTTGAAGCACACCATCCCTACCAGCTTCCACCTTATCCCAAACTTCATATTGATTTTCGATCTTGAAATCTTTCATCTGCCCCTTTTGCAGCTCCTCATCTCCATTCTCACCTTTGGGCTTAATCTTCGCCAAATCCCCAGCCTCTCCCTTTTCGCCCGCCTGTTTCTGCTCATCCCCGTTCGCCTCTACCTGCTCAACCCATTTCTCTCCCTGATCTTCCTTCTCCAAATCATTAATCTTGTCCTGTTGCATGTCCACCTCTCCCTTCTCCTTGCCTTCGGGCTCCATTTTCGTCAAATCCTCAACTTCTGCCATCTTATCACCCTGCTCATCTCCTTTCTCTTCTACCTGTCCAAGTCCTTCCTTTTCCTGATCCTCCATCTCCGAATTCATCATCTGCTCCTGCTGCAACTCTCTATCTCCCTTCGCCTTGCCTTGAGGCTTTATCTTCCTCAAATCATCAACTTCTGCATTCTCATCCCCCTCCTTCTGAACGCCCCCTGTCTCTCCATGACCATCCATTTCCAAACCCTTGACCTTATCCTGCTTCAACTCCCCATCTCCTTTCACCTTGCATTCACACTTGGTCTTCGTGAAATCCTCAACTCCTGCCTTCTTACCCCCCTCATCCCCTCCCTCCCCTAGCACCTCATGTCCTTTCTCTTCCTGCCCTGCTTCTTGCCCACTCTCATCCTGCTCCCCGAGCTCTGCCTTTGATTCCTTCTCATCTTCCTCCTGATGATTCATCTCTTTATCCTCTCCTTCTTGGACGACATCTTGCCCTTCCTGTTCCTCAACACCTTCCTCCTTCCTCTCATCCCTTATTGCTTCACCTTGCTCCTCCTCAATGGCTTCAACAGAGCAAATACTTGTGACTCGCTCATTTTCTTTGCAAACGGATACATCAGGCAACTTTTCAAATACCTGTTATTTCATGAGAAAGGTAAATGAAAAGCATCAATGTTCATCTTTATTTGAGAATAATTTCGAAACAAGTTTTTTATAGCTTTATTTAAACAATTTATGAATGTTCTGAATATTTTCATTTTCTGGTAGTAAATCCAATAAATTCCAATGAGTTGCCATCTTCAAAATACATGTTGTTAAAAGCGCATCTCTTGATGCACTAAAATGGAGTCAAGGTGTTTTGAACCGACCTTTGCTGTGCATCTTGCATCACTGATGTCATCCACAATCACCGTGGTAACAGCATCTTCCGATTCCTGGTAGGGCACGCCCCCATCGAACATCATCACACCATCCTCTTTTGCCTCCTGGATCAAGCGGGCAAGACCGGCCTGCATGATCAGAGCACAGATGGAGTTGGGGTCTTCCATGGCCAAGGCGGCCCGTCTGGCTGACTGGGCATCAAGTGCCTCAGTGTTCTCCTCCGGAAACACCTCGAAGTCATCCACGGCCTGAATCCACGCGTTCACGCGTTGTACTAATCGGTGTGAAACAACATAATTTCGAAATTCAAGTAAAAGATGAGCGTTTAAGTTATTAATGTAGAATTACTTCAATAAGTAATTCAGTTCAGTACAAACTTGTGCGCGCCTTCACTTCCCCGACTCGAGAAGTGGGAAACCTTTCGTGTTTTGCTGCCGACTTATTCTTAATTTTGTTGAAGATCGATATTGTGTCATAACTTTAATATTTTCAATGGATCTTACCTCCTGGATTGATATCACTCATTTTTCTATCGGTTAGTGATGCGATTTGCAAAAAAAAGGCACGTTTATCCCAACACGAACTTCCAATTCAACTGAGAAGATACACAAAGCTTTGTTGTTATTCAGCGTAGCAGCAAGCTCCGGTTTGTGACGATCTTTGTACGCGCGCGTCTGCGGGTTACTATACGCGCAATACAAACAGCGCCCCCTACCGATCAATGACAAATTTGAATATTAATATCCATAGACTTCTACCAATCGCCAGATCACTTTTGTTTTAAACTTCAGTAGCTTGTCGTTAGATCAGAGGGCATTATATTAGGTTCAAAATCCGTCATCACCCCTTTCATAAAAGGGCCAAAATATGAATTGAGTTAAGAAAAAGGTTACAATTTATAGCATGTGTACGGACCAGTGGCATAGCCAGGATGTACAGAGTGGCAGAAGTGCGACGAGCAAGATATTTTCAGTGGAAAATCGCTGAAGCTGATAGAAGCAAAATCGGGACGGTAAAAATTGACTCATTGGCCTAAATGCAAACGTATAGGAACGAGACGAATCTCTATTTCGCAACGGGCAAACAGACCTTGGCTACGCGCCTGGTACACCGTACGGACAGTGCCAAGACCATCGGGTGAAAACACTTGAAGGCCCCCGCCCTCCCCTCTCTCTTTTGGTTTATTCGATCAGAAGGGTGCACTTTTACCCCTGTATAAAAACTCCCATAGACACCAGTGGTAAATGCCCATTCTTCAAAATTCTTTTTAAATGATACTCATAATCTCTCACAGGTGAGGCTGCACAGAAAAATGACGATCCGAACATGTCATCTTTTATTTTATTTTCCATTTTTGGTGGGTTGACCAACGACTTTCTGTTAAAATTCTCACACAAAGAAGACCACCCCTTAAATGAGTGATGTTTCCCAAACTGGAAGAGTAGTCATCCTGAAAAGGGATCCCTCCACAACATGGCTAAATAGCGCCACTTTCGTGCCCAATTGCATCCAAAATGCTCAGAATTGCCTATCTCTTCAATTCCACAATTCCATGGCTCTCGGAACTCTCTAATATAGAAAAAGTTGAATGTATAACTTATTCATGAGCCCGATGGACGGATTTTTGGCGTGTTTATTGTACCCTTGCCCTTTAACTTTCACCGCCATCATATTTTGGGAGTATTGAACGGCGCCCTCGTGCGGCAGATGACCACTTTAAAACATGTTCCTTGCCCGATGCCGACCTAAATTTTGGCGGATGAATGGGAACTGACCAGGGTTACCGTTTTAGCCGACTTTCGGCTAGATCTGACAAATTAAAAGAAATGAATCTTGCGGAAAATCTAGCAGAATGAAAATTTTAGCTGATTTCTAGCAGAGTTCTGTAAAATCGGTGATCCTAGCAGAAAAATATAGCAGATAAGCTTCAGTCACTTCAAACAAACCCTAGAACATCGTGGATAGGCAGACCAGTCTAAGCGTTGAGGATTCCTAACGTTATAACGTGTACGACTATACAGTAAAGAAGGCCTACTAGACATTGGAAGCCAGGCTAGACACACGCCAATTGTTTTAAAAATATATATAATATTTTATTATTTTAGAGGTAATGTTATTTGAGTCATTTTTAAAGAAAGTTTTATAACATCTGCATGTGAGGGTAAGCGTTTTTAATGTGTTTCGTGTAATTCTGGGTGATGAAGCAGATTTTTGTTAAATCTAGCAGATTTTTGAAGTGCATCTAGCAGAATAATTTCCACACGGTCGCCCTGGAACTGTCATGACACAAGATGGCGCTTTGCACCGTTCAGGGTGCAGACCAGTAAATCGGTCCGAAATTGCCTGCGCCGGCCAAATCACGATTTGCATGCCCTCAAAATCTTCGGTATTTGAGCATGCTGTGGGCCATGAACTTGAGGGTTTGTAAAAAATATGGGTGGAAGCCGTGCACAGGACTGGGAGCTTGCAGTTCTGTGTAATTTTGATGTAATTTGGACCCTAAAAGCGCTCTATTTTGCAATGGAGTGTAGGCATCGTTTTTCAAAATGGCGATGGGCTTCAGGACTATTTTCATTGGTGATCATCTTCAGATGGAAATTTCTCCTAAAAGTCATCAGTTGACCCCCCAAAAATTGAAAAGAAAATGAAAGATGATGAAATAAGCTTTAATTTGATGTGTGTCTCGAACACCTTGGAGAGTTGTGAGTATTTTTCCCGAATTTTTGAAGTGGGAGCATTTACCATTGGGGTTTATGGAAGTTTATTTACTGGTCTGCTACCTATAGGGTGCAGACCAGTAAATCGGTCCGAAATTGCCTGCGCCGGCCAAATCACGATTTGCATGCCCTCAAAATCTTCGGTATTTGAGCATGCTGTGGGCCATGAACTTGAGGGTTTGTAAAAAATATGGGTGGAAGCCGTGCACAGGACTGGGAGCTTGCAGTTCTGTGTAATTTTGATGTAATTTGGACCCTAAAAGCGCTCTATTTTGCAATGGAGTGTAGGCATCGTTTTTCAAAATGGCGATGGGCTTCAGGACTATTTTCATTGGTGGTCATCTTCAGATGGAAATTTCTCCTAAAAGTCATCAGTTGACCCCCCGAAAATTGAAAAGAAAATGAAAGATGATGAAATAAGCTTTAATTTGATGTGTGTCTCGAACACCTTGGAGAGTTGTGAGTATTTTCCCCGAATTTTTGAAGTGGGAGCATTTACCATTGGGGTCTATGGAAGTTTATTTACTGGTCTGCTACCTGTTCAAGGTTTAGTTGGTTATATTACGCACTGTGCACGGGCGACGGGTACACGGACCTTTTTGTCAAAGGTATAGAAAATATAATACAAATGTACAAAAGTTTAGCCACTTCGTCACCACTATCGCATAAGTTTTAAAAACAAGAGATTATAGGTACAAAGTAAAAATGCCCCACCCAATCTCGAGAAGTCACCAGGAATAAAAAAAAGCAGATTTTACTGTATTTTTAATATCTATTACTTTTCCCAAAATTACACATTTACATGTATATTCAATTTTTGAATGTCAAATTGACCTCCCCCCCCCCCCCCCCCCCAGTTTTTGCAGGGTAGAATGGATCGCGCCACCCCCATCCCTTTTAGAAACGATAATTTGGGAACCGGAAACTAACCAGTCAAGGGGGCCGGCTTCTCATATGGTGGATTTGTTTGTACTCGTATCATCAGTAAGTAACCCAAAAATAAAAGCCTTTTCCAGGGCCAGGGTTGGTAAATATCAGATCTCCAAAATAGAAAATAGACGACTTTTCGCTTGAAAAGATAGGTGGCCTACTTGAAAACTACGAAGGCAATGTCAACTATATTTAAAAAAAAAAACACAAGTAGCGGAACTAAAGGGGGAGGGTCGCACCCCCCCCCCCCCGTTCATCAGTGACTTATATGTTATGATGTTAAAATGGGGCCAAAAATAATAAATGGAATGCTAAAGTTCCTAATTTTTCTCCTTTTGCCTTAGAATGCAAAAGAAAGCATAGTTGATTTCAAAACCCCCGCCCCCCGCGTTGAAGCGACTTGTGTCACGGTTGTTTCACGCACTGGCGTCCTACTCAATCTCGTTCTGAAACTGAAAGCAGCGAATCACAGCATTTGCAAAGTACAATATGGTAATACACGTTAACAGTACTGGTTTTGAAATGAAACTCCCTTGAAATTAATTCCGTACAGATATTGCCTTTCCCATGCATATGCTACACCGCTTTCTGCAAACCGAACCAATATTATTTTGAAACAGAGTCGAGGTGTGAAATACATGTACATGTAAAGGGTAAACACGTATACCCTCCAGCAGTCGAGGATATGTGTCATTTACCCGTTTTTATTGTTTTGATCACATGACGAGGCCTAGGCGTGAACCAAAGTGCGGTTCGTCTCGCCAAAATGTAGTCTGACGTCACGTACATTAACCGGTGTCTCATAAAATTTGTAACCGTGAGTTTTCAGAAAGTTGTACGCAGCGCACACACTCGTGGAACAAAAACATGCGAATGTCGCAAAAATGAGCGATGATGATTCCAAAACTCGAGCTGACTGCTACTCTTCAGGGAAAAACGTACAAAATTATAAGCCCATTAGATCGAAAAAGGCCCAGAATGTTTGGGTTTTAGAAATTAGGGTCTCAGTTTTGTGCAGGACATTATTGGATGCAACACCGACCGGATATTTATTCAAGATGGCTGCCCCTACGTAAAAGAAAGTGGGGAAAGTCGGTCGAGCACTGCGATCAATCTTTTGTTGAACTTGTTCTACAGATCGAATGGGGATACATGATTAAAAAACAAATGGAAACAGGGAAATTATGTTTAGCTACTTAGCCAGTCTTAGCCAAGCGTAATTCTACCAGATAACTAAACACAAGCTCGAACTACGTAACGTTAGTTTTTGACGCAGCTCGTCGAAGAGTACAGAATCAACGTAGCCTAGGCCTACAACATTGCTTGGCAAGCTTGGTGCTCAGCTAGCTGGAAGGACGTTTTGTCAAATCAACATGGCCGAACACAGGATAGACTCGTCTAAATTACCACCTAATATACGCGAGAAGTTGTCCGAACTGGAGCAGGAGTTGAAGGAAGGTAGGGTCTTACATTTTCTCGGTAGATCGGATGGATAAATCGTGTTGGTGTAATTAATAGGCCAAACAAAACCCACGACTCAGATCAGAATGAAAGTTTTAGATTTGCGTCCAAAATTTTTCAGATGACAGGAGGCTTTTTTTTGTTTTTCATTATTCATTATTTTTAGTGAAAAATCAATCAATGCGCGACTTCTTTTCTATCGCTATAATTGAGGGTGAGTTAGACCCGTGAAGGTGGCGTTGTATACAACGCCACGTTGTTGTGTATTTTTGAACCTAGCGAAAATCGATCCACCATACATAATTCCGTATGCATGTTGAGTACTCACCTAGAAATCTAAATTTGCCCGTCCGATTGTTCAGGCTGTGTAATTTCGACGAAATTTGCCATCAATAAAGACCCATACGAACGTGTAGAAATTTCATTTTAACCCGACAAGTGACCCTGACAAATGACCCCGGACGAGTCGCTTGGACAGATTGACGGCTGTTTCATGTCGCCACCCCGAAAAAAAAACCCCGCACCCGATTGGCTGCTCGGCTCATCTCGTGTACGTGTGTGCACATGCACGTGGGCGCACATGCGCCCGCGTGCGGTGCGGTGAGAGAGGAAAGGACTTGAAACCTGTCTAAAACGATGTCTCTTTTAGCTGCGACAGTAAACAGCCGTCGAATTATACGAAACAGGACGGTACAATAAAACGCAATGCGCATGCGCCAGTTGGGAGAAAATGGCAGCTAGCAGGACTTCATAAACTGGGGCCAGAATTTTCCTCAAATTTCGTCAAATGCAAGTTTTGATGTACAAACAGATTTCAAGACAGCTTCATATGTAAGTACTTATTACATTTGCAAAATAACGTCCAGTGTGTGTAACGGAGGGAGTCAGAGGGACAGTTTCGCCAGGTTCGGAAATACACAACAGCGTGGCGTAGTTTACAAGCCACGTTCACGGGTCTAAGGGTGAGTATGCTTCTAAAGCGTAAATAAACTAGGCTACAAATAAAGTCTAAATGTGAAAATCAAAATTTGACAAAGTTGGAGATGAAAGTTTCCATTGGTTGACTCAGTGAGTGCCACAATCAAAGGACCAATCAGATCAAGCGGTAGAAGCAGTGCTTGGTAAATATGCCAAATGGAATGGGGAAACCCGAGGAATAAAAACCAATGCTGCGCATGCCACACACAGAATGTACCCGTGATGTGTACTGATGTGTACTACGGGATTGATGATCGTGAAGTTGCGGGCTGGCCTCCGTCTCTAACATATGGCGACATACATGTACATGCACCCCTATGTGGAAATATGCCTTAGTATCTCATTTTTATGCGACTGAATTATGTTTTTGTGTGTGTCTTTTGTAATTGAGAATAGAATTTTTAGAAATATTGAAAGTTTTGCAAAATAATGAAATTTTCATGCGGTGAAGCAGACAGGGCTCTGGAGTGCTCTGAAACGTGCAAAACTAAATCAGGCCCAATTTACTCACAGTTTAGACAGCAAATTTCTCCAAAAATTCCACTGGGGCAAACAAAATGTCCTCAGTATTTCACCAACCAAGTTTGCAGACTCAATTCAATTTTTAAAGGAGACATTTCTTCAATATTTTGCACTTGAGAGGGAAGTCAAGTGATTTCAAAATGGGGCTAAATACTAGACTGGTACATGTCAATCCATGGTCCAACTATTTGAAAAGACTGACCTCTTCATTCAGTGTCAATAGTCTGGTGGCTTGACTATAAAGAAATGTGTAGTAAATTGAGACTTGTTCCCGCTTCATGCCACACAATTCTCATGCTGCAGTACTGAAGCTGTGTTGGACTGGTTGTTTTACGTGCCAGTCTATTTTCTTGTTTTGCATGTTTTCAATACCTTCAGTTTTGGGACTCTCATACTTATTGAGAGTCCCAAATTTTAGGACTAGCGGTGAAGGTGCGGGCGGTGGACACAAATCTAAAACTTTCATTCTCATGGCCTTATAGTACTCAGTTGCTCATGTGCTATTAATACGGCAGCCGTGACGCTATTTTCAACTGCTATTGTTACGTACGGCATTGTCTGACTCCCTGACCAAATACTAAGACTAGAGTATTCAACGTCAGGATATACTATCATTCAACCGAATGGTTCGCGGACTTCAGGCCTATTTCCCTTTAAAAAAATGCAGTGACTATCGTTACGGCAGCCATTTTAAAATGCGAATTTCAACTGTTATTGTTACGGACTCGTCTGGTTCCCTGACCTACTCAACGTCATTATCTTTGGCTGTTGGAACCAGACTATCAACCAAACGGTTCTTGCACATTTTTTATTTCACTTTTAAAAGAGTACTCCAAAGCAACGCCTTACAAAGAAGAAAATGAAATCTACTAAAATAAAAAAGGATGATTTGATTAAAAACATAAACATGACAAAAGTTAAGAAAACAATTCCACAAAAAAAAAAATGCACCCCGTCGCTAAACTAGTGGCTAAAGATTTTACCAATCGAGCTACTAAAGCGTGCTGGTTGGAAGGGCAGTTATAATATATTCGCAGTTGTGTTTTTGCAATACCGTAACGATTGCACTGTAAGCAGTTGAAAATTGGCTGCCGTAACAATAGCTACTACGATGTTAATATTTTTATAATAATATCCAAATCAATTATTTTAAGGTTGTGGGTATTTGATCATGAACCAGTCCCCGATTGTGTTCAGTATTGTACCAGCACAGCATTGAACATGCGCAGTGACTGTTTTGTTTTTGCGACTTAACAATTTTCACCATGACGAATCTTTGTCTGGTTCCACGCAAACATTGTCGTTGTGACTTCATTTTCAAGAGCCTCCAGAGGCACGAATCAGAAAAAGAAGATGAAATACTCTGCAATTAAATTCAGGATTCAATTTTAAACAATGAAATAAGACAATTCTTAATTTTTTGGACAAAAAATAAAGTTTCAAAATCATTGGTCACGCTGGGACTCAAAATCAAGCAGCGTTGCTTGCGAGGCAGGCACGCTATCCACCAGGCCATGGGTTGGCTTGATGAGAAATGGTTATTTACATGTAATATCTTATATGATGTAGACCTACTCGTATACACATGCATGAGGGCGCTAAATGATCTACCATTAAAAACGGGAAAAATGCGAGGCTGGTTAAGGCTAAATAAACAGATCGATTTAATTATCATTGACTGGAGCTTTGCCCATCAAAGGATTGCCCAACAAAGGATAAGTCAGTCATGAGATTATTCCTCTGCAAAAGAAATAACAAAAATTATTAATCAATGTATATTCTTTTATCAAATCATATTGCAGCATAATTCACTTCTGTATTTTTTTTCTTACCCCAGGGGACATTACACATAAAGGTTATGAAAAGAAGAAGCATAAATTGATGGAGCCCTTCGTGCATCAAATAGAAGGTTGGTTCTCTCCCAATTAAATATTTAAATCAGTTACATGTAAACACTTATAATATTCCAAATAAGAAGTGTACATGTACACAAACTTTCATGTACTGATGTGTTGACTGTTCAGCTTGTGTATGCGTGATTGCAATTTATACTGCAACATTACACAAATAAAAGGTTCATGTACACATTTTTACCTGTGAATATTTTGATATACTTATACATGTACATGTACATTGTGAACTGTTTGGACAAGTGAATTCATTGTTCAGGACAAAGACACACAATTGAGTCACCTCTTTTGTGGTCCAGTACAATATATGACCTTGCCCTGACAAACAAATGAATTTTGCAGTGACTTGAAACTCGACTCTAATGTTACACACTGTTCAGTAAAGGTGGCCAATATATGAAATGTACATATTGTATGCAAATCAAATGAGAAAGGTTGAACTTGTATGACTTTGGACAAAAGAATATATGTATACTTATATTAACTTAAAAGTGCTCTTACATGGTTATATTCTTGTACATACAGTACTAGTACATTGAGGTACCCAATATTTAAAAAAGGAAACCACTTTTCATTTGTAACACAGTAGTGGTACAAAACACTTAAAGAGTGAATTTGTTTCAGTCTTACACATTTACATGCTGTCATTTAGAAGACAGTTATGTGAACAGTATACAAATAGACTACAAATTAGTATGAGTCATAACTGATACTTCAGTTGTAAACTTGTGCACATGTATATGAAGCATGTCTTATGAATTTATGATACATATTTGAGTTGAAGTACAACGCTGTGACCTGATGAAATAGTTTGTTCATACATGTGTAAACATTGCACATGCTGGAGGTGATAAAGCTATTCAATTTATAAGGAAAACAAAGGCATAAATTCAAACTTACAAATGTAATGAGCAGGTAATATATACACCTTGCTGACATTTCAGGCTCCTGTTATTGAAGAGTAAAAAAAATGTAGTTCTGTGAGACCACATGTGTTAAAGAAACCATATCCCCTGTGTCTCATTATATCACAACAAACACAGATTTTGAACATTTATACATTTTTTATCTCACCCTTTAGTTTCAGAACAGGCAAGTGCTGCAGTGGCCCTCAAACGCAGCGGTAAAAGTCGCCGATATGAGCATCATGAACCGGAAAATAGATATCGCTCAGGTAAATGTCCTTATTCAGTGATTGGTTGAAATGTGCCTTTAACACTTCAAAACTCTTCAAGTTTTGGCTGTAGACAAGTTTTACCCATAGATATGCATGTAGAGTGTAGCTAGCAACACACATTTCAAAACTGTTTGTGTGAGTACATGTATGTTTAACACTTCAAAACTAATGAAAGGACTTGTACTTTGGTGTGGTAATTATATAAGCTCAGGGCAATCGGTTGGACTCTGCCATGCTACTGCATGCCAAATTTGCTCTGTTCAGTGCAATTTAAGTATGAATTCTACATTTAATTAACACTTCATAACCCCACACATGCAAAAACTGAAAGGATTTGTTTTTATCCCCTTGGCTTTTAAGCCAAGAAAGGGGGATCTTGCGATAGTGTATTCCTTCTGTGTGTCCATGTGTTCCATTTTGGTTAGGTTAACAGTTTAGTGTTGTCATATGAAAAGTCAGACTTCAATCTCAACCAAACTTGGTGACAATAATCTTTTGGTAGGAAGAATTCAGATCACTTCAGACATTTGAGGTCAGAGGTCATCTAGGGGTAAAATGAGGTCATTGACTTTGTTGTTTTTGGTTCAGGTAAACTGAATAGTACTGTCATATGAAAAGTCAGACTTCACTCTCAACCAAACTTGGTGACAATAATCTTTGGGTAGGGGGACATACATGTAAGATGACTTGAGACATTTGAGGTCAAATGTCATCTAGGGGTCGAATGAGGTCATTGTTGATTGTCAAATGAGATCAACTGAAAAGTGTGCTTACTAACTGTATACAGTCATCTCTTATTAATGCAAACTCAGCAGGACCTAGCCAAAATGTTTGTTATAATATCAGAATTTTGTATTAAAGTGGAGTGCCAGTCCTATTCACTGTATACACTAATGCACAGTCTGGACCAAGGCTTTATATTTGTTATAACCAGACATTGTATTAACAGTGTTTGTACTAATGAGAGTAGACTGTAAATACTGCCAGCATGCCAGGGGGGTCGCACTAGTTTGACTTGTAGTACTTTTACACTTTGAACTGAATTTTGATTTTCGACCTATAAAAGAGTTAACAGGCATGCAACTTTTCCTCGGATCAGTTCATTTCCTCTTATCTTATTTCCATGTCTGCCATTGAAAAGCGAAAAACACTGTACAGTCTTCTTAATCTTGTAGTTTCCTCTTTTTTGTGTGGTGACCTTACAGTTGCATGCCTAAGTCAAGTGGAAGCCTTTTTTTTCATTACATTGTCACCTGTTTCATGTATGAATTCTTAGTAATCAGGAATACAAATGTGATACAACTGTACATCAATATGAATGACTGACTTTCTGAAGCTAAGTAAAACTAATAGTGAAATAGAAGTTCCCAAGAATCTTTTAAGCAGGATCCAGACACATGTGCACAGGCTTTTGATGTGTGTTTGATACTGTCTCTGAATGCAGATGTTCGAGAGGAGGCTGTCAAGGTTGCACTGGCTAAGCACCGAGAGCGAGAGATGCCTCTTCCTATGCCATCCAAACGTCAGTCTTTCCACTCCAGTGCCGTGCCCATAGAAACTCCTCCAGGTATAGTGAATCGGAACATGTAGCCTTTGTCACATGTCAACTGAGTAACGAGTCCTGAAATATTCAACACATTTACCTTACATGTGCACGAAGGGACATACATATACAAGTACATATACCAATATGTATGTGTACATGTACATATATGTACATGTAGTATACATTTATCTTTGGAAACAAAACAATTCTACATGTACCTGCTAAAAGGAGTAAGTTTGCAGTTGCGCCATGTGATAAGAAATCTCTTTCGTGAATTTTGTGTTGGTCTAAATAAATCAGTTGAAGCTTAACTACTTGCTCATACATTTCCATGTGCTCCGTTTAAGTCATCAAAACTGGCCGCTATAAAATTATAAAAACTTTCTTGAATTAAATGTAAAATCCTGGCAATCTTGACTACAGATATATAAGGAAAACTTAAGTCGTGTAAATCACTATACACTGTATGCAGTACCAAAAAGCAGGTCTTGTGTGGCCTTGTCATGCTTGTAGTGTCATTAAAAAGGCAGTAAAGCCAGTTTGGATAACTTTCATTTTATGGAGCACATGAAAATATATGAGCAAGTAGACTGGCAGAGCATACTGTCTTTTTTGAAGATTTCCACACATTTTTTTTTCTTCTGCTTATCGACCTCTAACCAAAACATTAACTCTTAGATTCCGACACGGATGACGATTCTCGATCCTCGACTTCATCGCTCAACCGCCTCGGGGATCGGAAAACTGGCAGTCGGCCGACATCTGCAGGGAGTTTCCGCTTGCCTGGAATGGAGCCAGGATTCAGTGAAATGGTGAACCGGCAGGCTGCTGCCAATGGCCACCTGGCCAGGGGAGGTGCAAGGAGATTAGATGTGGCTAGTAATAGTGAGTATCACAACAGGCTTGGAATTTCTTACACTCAATAAAACAAGTACCCTCTCAATGTTGACAAAGACTGACAGACACCGTAATGCCATTGCTGCCCTGCAGCACTGAGGCAAAAATGCCACCGGTTTCAGGTGACAAAGAATGACAGACATCTAAATGTCATTTCTGCCCTGCAATACCGATGCAAAGATGCTGCAGGTTGGGCAGATTCAGGTGACAAAGAGTGACAAACACCTAAATGTCATTGCCGCCATGCAGCACTACAGCAAAGATGCTGTAGGTTTGTGCACATTGAGGTGACAAAGAATGACAGACACCTATTGCCATAGGTGCTATGCAGCACTGAGGCAAAGATGCTGTAGGTTTGTGCACATTCAGGTGACAAAGAATGACAGACACCTAAATGCCATTGCTGGATTGCAGCACTAAAGCAAAGATGCTACAGGCTTGTGCACATCCAGACGGAATTAGTTTGTGTATACTCAGCAAATCCACACATTCTTTTGTGGGTAAATAGCTACATGTTTATACATTGTATACATATGTAGCAGTTCCAGTAACTAGTACAAGATAACTTGTACCTTCATGTAGCAATGACATTCCTTTTTTTTTCAGTGTTAAAAAGTGTTATTTTGTGATGAGGACTTCAACATACTTACATGTAGCTATAATGCTCTCAGAACTGTCACTATTACAGTAGTATTGGTGTTTATACATTTGCAACTCAAAAATGGCATGGACAGTAGCGTACACATGTACATCATTAAGATGCAAAGCATAATGGTGTTGTTTTATTATCCTTATCCAGTGACGAGTTCTTCCATGCCTGCCTCCCAGCCCCCTCCTGATGTCACCACTAGCTCAGGCTACATCGCTGCACGGCAGATTGAAGATGATGAGGAAGAAGATGAGGATGAAGAAGATGGTGCATCATACAGTAAAACACTTTTTTTTTTTTTAATACAAAAGTTGAATGTTTATACAAGAATGGCAGAAAGTGAGTTGCGTAAGACATCTCGTGACCACACAATTGACCTATCTGGTGCGTTATTATTTGTAATAATTGTCATGCGAAACCTCTCTAATGATATCCTTCATATATAGGATCATTTGCTTTCATGCATTTTGTTTGTTTCCAAGTATAACACCACTCAAACATCCAAAGAAGTATGTTCAAAATCTAACCTGTTGAAGTTTCAGCTCAGTGGATAGAACACATGTTGAGAAAGCCCATGCACATTGTTTTTATCACGAAACATGATTTCGTCCATAGCACTCTTTTATTTCCAAAAATTGACTGATCATTGGAAATCACGTACATTTGTTGATTTTTTCCAAATGATAGCATGCCAGACGGAATCATTTCACGGGATGTTCAGTACCAGTATGATATTTAATCCAAGTAAGCTTTTGATAATAATTTGGTAGGTTACTTCAGGGGTAAAGGCAAATGATCCCGTATGCCTTTAAAAGGTTTGTGTCATTACTGGCAAATTGATTGCAATATCTTGTGGTACTACTTTGTCTCAGGGCCCATACCAAACAGCAAAGTGTCGGCCAAAATTCAACAGCTATTGAACACCCTCAAGAGACCAAAGAGGAAACCTCTGCAAGAATTCTTCCAGGAAGACGATGACGAGTTACAAGGTAAATGTGTTAATATTCAATTTGAGATGAAAAGTTACTTGACAACTGAGCTAGTCGCTTAAAACTTGTTCTACCTCATGTGAAGGCAATGTTAAAAATAAGAAACACACAAATGGACAATACGAAATTAAGCTGGTAATTGTTTTTGAGGCATTAGTTAAACTCTGCCATGGACTCTTATTGGGCGTGTGAAATTGTTAAAAATGAGCTTCAATATTGGGTTTTGCCCTTCACTCAGTGCTGTCCCAAGTAATTGTGAGACAAAAACAACTTGGTGGGACTCGAACCCACAACCTCCTGCTTACTAGTACTGGTGTCTTACCACTCGACCGCCAAGCTTGCGGGGGTCGGCTGGCTGGTTCGATTCTGATATAGCAGATAATAGCAGATGTAGTAGATAAATATAAGCGTTATTCAGTAGTGTAAAGAAAAGACTTTTGGTCTAGTTCAGTCACAGAAAGCACAAGACCGCTGCTGAAATCACTGGATTAGCCTAGTGTGCGATTTTTAGGACCTGTTCTTTGTGAGTCATTACTCACAGTTCAAACAAGAACAGTGCACTTGCAAGCATATCTACATGCCCAAATAATACGTGGATCAGGTGATGTCATGAGGGTTCATTGGGAATTTTGCCAACAGTGCTTACTGCCCCTGATAAGGTCCAAATGATATGTGTTGTTGAAAAACGCTATCGATAAAAGTAGCCAATATACGTGTGTCGTGGCTTGTGGAATATGGCTTGACTTGTAGACCGCAAAAACCAGCATGCACTTGCAGTCCATAATCTTATGAGTTTTTGTGGTTAAGTTCATGAGTAAGAACAATCCCGAAGGAACTATAGAAGAGAGAATTTGGTCCCAGTGTCAGTGCAGCTGAAGATTTTGCATCCGGTAGGAAGATGATGCATTTCCTCTCAATTTTGGAGTGATTTTTACATTTGTCCTTTGAATTTGGTAATTGTATAATTGTGCCTACAGGTTGGATTCTGCTGTTTCATCTTGTTTCTGTAAGCTGCGTGCACCTTGTTATCTGTTTTTGACAATACAATTTTCGCAATCAAGTACACATTGGCTGTAAATGCTAACAGTGTACCCAGCACAAGTTTTATGTAGTTGTAATTAGCAATTACATCAAAACATGCTAACTGCACACTTGGACTCGACTTTGGTAGCGGAAACTAGTTTGTTCACGCCATCACTGAAAAAAACCCAGGAACACCTGATTCAACCATGATGTTGCTGGCATTGAGCCATCTGGACATTTACACAATATCCCTTGAACCTGAAAGTGCAGTGAGTTTTAATAATTCTCAAGCAAAAAAGGAAATTTGTTTAATGCACAACGTATTCAACAGCAGAAAATCTTAAGATGACAGTTTCTGATTTTTGTTTTACTTTCAGTGACTGAAATGGACCCCAATGCTCCTAAACCGGAAGGGAACACTATTACGCCAGCCATAGGAGAACAACTCAACGTAAGTTCCATAGATTGTCATAGGGTCACACTGTCATTCTGGATAAACAAAACCAATGATTTGTTCGTTGTGGTACTTTCTACAGTGGATTTTGTTTAGGGCCATATGTAATAAATGTTAAGGCGAGAAGTAAACTTTGGTACTTGTAAAGACCGGTTCATACTCGGCGTGAAAGCGAACGTTTATGTGAATTTGTGACGTCAGGGCAAGTTTTCACACTGTGAATTCGCAAAAGTTGAACACATTTCAATTCTGGCGAATTTCCCAACGAACCCTTCGTTACATCAAATTCGCATGGCATTCGCATGAAGTATAAACTGGCCGTCGGTCGTTGGATGTCTTTATTCTGAATGACCTTTGACCTGAACTACTTTATTGCATTTGAACGAAACAATGAATTGGTTTATTGGAACTTTGGCATTTTGCAATGCTACACACGGTAGTCCAGAGAATACAACAGTGTTCAAGGAGTCTTTGTTTTGCCGCTTGAACAGATACCAACAGGCTTGCCAAGAAACCTGGAGTCTGCCTTACAGAGGTATGGCACTGCACATCAGAAGGCCAATGTGGTCACCTCGCTGGATGCCAACGGCAAAGTCAACTGCACACTGACATATGGTTAGTATCTGGCATCAAGTACAGCATGCAAGTGCTCTTCGGACTATGTGTACAAGTACCATCAAAGGTTTTTGTGAAAGATGGCTTTTGCTTACATTTACCGACAACTTCCAACAGAGAGCTTGCAGTTTTACATGCAATCCGTATGTTTAGTAGGCCTGTGTGTACCATAAGAATGCAGGAGGGCAAGAGTGTGATTTGGCTGATGCAGCATGGCATTGTGCACTGCTGTGTGTTCATGATGGAAAATACTTCCTTACTTCCGGGTTTGTTCCAGAAGTAACGGCGGTTATGACAACAGGTTTCCAGTTTAGAAATACCTCTCATTTCAGTCTCCAGCTACACAAATTCATGTATTGCTTTGTCAGCTTTGCAATAAACTTCTGGCATTCATGTAACACATCATTTCCGCTATCATGTAAAAATAGAGTATTAGGGAGGTTTCGCAAGCGAACGGATACGCTTACACTTACGCTTAGCTATCCGTATCCGTTTTTTACTTACGTGTAGCGAGCGAGATATGCGTGACGTCTGCACGTTTAGCGGATAGTGAGTGGCGTATGACGTCATACGTGCAGACGACACGCATATCTCGCTCGCTACACGTAAGTGAAAAACGGATACGGATAGCTAAACGTAAGTGTAAGCGTATCCGTTCGCTTGCGAAACCTCCCTATTATCAGAGATGTAAGTCCTCCTACAGATTTCCCGATTTCAGGCTTTTTCAATTTATAAATAATATATTGCCACCATACATGTGTGTGTACTTAAACATCACAAATTTGATAGGACTTCAGGTACACACATACAACACGCCACTGCTGAGTTAAAGTAATATCAATTTGCTTTCTGGGAGGGGTTAACGTTTTTAATAAGAAATATCATGATAATTGTGTAAGTTTAACTTTTCCCTCAGGCAAGCTGCTGACCAGAGCCAACAAACTTGCTTTTCACTTGCTGCATAAGATCGGAGGGAAAGGAGATCCACAACTCAGACCCGGTGACAGAGTAAGAAACGTCTGTCATTAAAAATACCACTCTAGTTCTTATTTCTTTTCCTTTTTATTTGGTCATGAACTTATAAAAAAAAAGCCATAAGCAGTTGTTGAAAACTGTCTTGGCATTATAGCATCATTTTTTTCAAAAATTATATCAGCCATGAAGTCATCTGGACCAATGTGATTTTGTAGTGTGTAGAATAACAATTTGTTCACTTGATTGTGCCTTGTTTATGCAAAGGTTGCCCTTGTGTTCCCAAATTCCGACCCTGCTGGATTCATTACTGCAATGTACGGATGCCTCATCGCCAACGTCGTACCTGTAGCTATTGATGTGCCGCTTTCTCGAAAGGTTGAGCAGAATTCTTGTTTCCATGTTGTATTTGACATTCCAGTGTAAAGCTAGAACATAGATCTGTTCTTGCTTTCTTACATGTCATGTTTCTTTTAAACCTGGGCTAATTTTGATAACTTTCCCTCGCGTTGCTTCGGATTTTCAAATCAGTTCAATTGCATAAAGTACTGACAAACAGTAGTAAGCCTTAACATTGCAGTTAAAAGTCTTATAAAGTAGAAGTGCTATGGAATTGACAAACCTCTTTCACTATATGTACAGGATGCTGGTAGCCAGCAGATTGGCTTTCTGCTGGGAAGCCTTGGTATCACAGTCTCCTTGACTTCCACCGTGTGTCTGAAGGAGCTGCCCAAGACGCAGCAAGGGGAAATCATCAGGTTTAGAGGTCAGGGTTAAGATTGTTTTTCTTGTCAGTCAGGGAAAAAGCAAAGAACTAGAATGTATTCAGCCAGTTGTAACGTGGAATTCTTCTGATCGATTGAAGCACAAATGATAAGTTTATCTCATTGTTCATTCCCGACAAGGATGTTCCATCAGAAAGCTGTGATGGGACTTTGTGTTTTTAGAGCCACTTTCAAGTCGTAACAATCAGTGAAATATTGCTTAAAACCTAGAGATGAGGCAACGTAATTCAGGAACTTAGTGTAATATAAAATATGTTTTAAAATATACTGTACTACATTTCACCTTAACGGGTAATACAAAAATAACCTTTTTTTTCAGAGATCATAATTGTGCAAATAATAATTACCGATAATTGGGTATTAAGGAGACATTCCCATAGACTTGTGCACACATTTTTTTCCAACTTTAATGACCCCTAACCCCAATTTTACCTTATCCTATCGGCCCACAAATTTCGCTATTTTTACTAACTGGACCACGAGCAATCGATCTAGCCTATTTGTGACAATACAATTTTGCCTCTAAGTAGGGGATGTGGAATTAGGGAGACATTGAAATGTCTCCCTAATTTGACGTGTCTCCCAAAGGTATAACTTATGATGCCAAAGTGTCTCCCAAAGGGTTTGACTTGTTATTAAGTATTTTGCTAATAATGAATTTAATTTCAATGTACAGGATGGCCCAAGATGAACTGGCAGGTCATAGATCATTTGAACAGACCGGCCAAGGATTGGCAGATCCCACCACGGATGGCTGACGATGCACCTGCTTACATCGAGGTGAGATTGGTCTGGTGCCACTCGGTCCCTACATAATTATGAGCTGGGCCCAATGTCAAAGAGCTACTAACCAGAAAATGTTGTCAATCTGCTCAGCAAACATCCGCTGAGAACCAGTAACATAGCACATACAGTGCATGAATTTTGGCTGATATCCTGTTTTTGCTAAGCAAATATTTCCGTTGCTTAGCTGTTTTTACACTTGCTCTATAAAATTGACATTTGCGAGTTAGCCACGCCCCTTAGACAACCCTAAGGAGTTTTGTATGCTATGTTTTGTTTGTCTCGGATTTTGCGCGTTCCGCGTCCATTTTGTATATCATGTGATTGGACAATATTTCACTAGCTGCATTGACGCGATTCTACTGCGATAAATCAATAAGGCCCTGAAGGTTGTATTTTCCCCCATGAAATGGCTCTCTGTTTTAAGACAGTCCCGATGACTGACTGACTCACAGACTGTTGCTTCTGCCTTCGTATGGACTTATTTGGCAACGGCCATTTTCCGTGGTGGTACCAGGCTCGTGCGAGTCACGCTCAGGTTGTATGCGTTCGCTCCGGGTTCCTCCGACGAATAGTGTGAACAAAACGTGCGCGCCTTGTCTTCAAGAACGCATGCGGCATGCGTGCTAACGTGGCTCCACCTAAAAATGGCTCATAATTCTGTTCTCCGAATTAGTCCATAGGATTACCACGTAATGGTTAAATCTGTTCCATTGTGTACAGCAGTCCAGTGTATAGCCATTTTGAACCACTTGAATAGAATGTTTAGTGCTCTTAGACCAACTTTACAAGCCTTGGCCTGTCTTTACCTTTTTCTTCACGTCTTGTCCTACAGTACACCACTGACAAAGATGGCAGTGTCATGGGCGTGACGGTCACAAGGAAAGCCATGCTGTACCATTGTCGCACGCTGACTGTGGGTTGCAACTTCTCTGAATCTGAGACCATGGTCAATGTGCTGGATTTCAAGAGAGATGTTGGCCTTTGGCACAGCATACTAGCAGTGAGTATACCCTCCCCCTCCCTACTACAATGATAGAGCTTAGACTTTATATTTCATTTCAAGAATGTGAGAACTTTGATAACATAGGCATGCAACTTTTCCTCTGATCTGCTGATTTTCTTGTCTTTAATTCTCATGAATGCCATTACAAATTGAAAAACACTGTACAAAGTCTTGTGTGGTTTGGAGTTTCCTCTTTTTCCACCCTAATTTCTCAGTTGCATGCCCAATAACAGTTTTTTTGGTGGGGGATTGAATTATTTTTCATTGAACCATTAAGGTTTTATAGGGCATGATATCTGTTTATCTGTGTGGAAACACATGTATTACTATGGGTAATACAGTCAAACCTAGTCACCGAAGGGACTGGTGGAATGTGGCCACTATGAACAGGTGTCCACAGTGGACGGTCGTGTAATACATGTACAATTGTTGTCGGGTCCTTGCAAAGGTGGCCAGACTAAGCAGTAAAGAAAGTTATACTAACATAATTGTCAAATTTGATTTGATTTCCTTGTAAACTTGATATGTTGATGTTTTCTTGTTGCTCAGAGCGTGTTTAACGGAATGCACGTCATCTTTGTGCCCTACTCGCTGATGAAGGTGAATCCAGCTTCTTGGATGCACATGGTCACCAAATATAAAGGTAAAATAACTAAAGTAAAAGCAGTCATTTAAACCAGACAACTCAAGCAAGGACTCAGTAACATTTGTAATTGTCATTTAGCAGTCCTGCCATCCCTGCCAACACCCAGCAAGGATCTGATAATATTCATGTTTAACGCTTTCACAACGTTTGAGCAAAACTCAGCCTCTTGGAAGATTTTTCGCAGAGTTTGTGTGAAGCTGTTGGCAACAAACTGTGTTGGATTCTGGGTTTGCAAATAGGACTAAAATCCTCACATTCCACCTTTGTGATCCTTGCTTATATCTCACTTGTAGGCTGACATGCGTTTTGGGTTTTTAGTCTCTTCCCGATTCCTTGGATTTTCTTAGAATATGTTTCCCCCAAATGTGCATTCTCTGCACAGGTTTCTTCAAAATGACAAGCAACTGCAGATTTGAAGATATCCTTGGTTCATAAACAGAAATAAAAAAAAAAATGAAGATAAGAGAAGTTGATTTATTCACTTTCTTCAATCTGAGGTGCATTCCACAATACAGGAACAATGAAAACCTTCCAAACCATTTCGCATTGGCTTCTCACCAAAAAAAATTGTAAATGCTAGCAATGTTTGCTTGAGTGGAACTCACTCCCGATACACTGCTGTCACATTTCTTCTTTTCGGTCTTGTTTCAGCATCTCTTGCCGTGGTCAAATCCCGTGACATGCACTGGGGCCTGATGGCACAGAAGGAGCATAAGGACATTAATCTCAGTAACCTACGCATGCTGCTTGTGGCAGATGGTGCTAACCCATGTAAGTTGATTTGTTTTGTCTAAACAAAGTTACAGCAGTACACTTTGCATTACATTTTGGCTGATAACCTCATTTTGCTAGGCAGGTATACAGATATAACATGGTTTGAGATAGTCGATGCTAGCTCCTTGAGGTATTGGAAATTAAGAGACTTGTTCCCGAGGTGAACCAAGGAAACTAGCTTGTCAACTTCCAATACCAAGGGCAGCTAATATCGACTATCAACCCGAAATAATGTTATATTTGTTTTACTGTACCTCATATATGTGAAAAACAACTTCCGATGAGTTACGCATCTGTTATGTGGGCAAAACGTTGCTGTACGTGTACCGCCATCTTTTCATGTAGGTAGGGTAGCGTGATGATTGCTTAGTAGAATCTCACACTGGTAACCCATGCGATAGCAAAACTAGCAGCTGACACATGGTGGTGAATGGACCAGTAAGAGTTCGGTTCTCAGTCATGAATATGTATGAGGTATAGTATACAAATATTGAATGCTTCGAGTGGTGAAGTAAAACTAGCCTCCCGAGGTTATCCATGGACATTCTATTTTCCCGAAGCAAAGCTGAGGGAAAATAGAATGCTCCATGGATCACCGAGGGAGGCTAGTTTTACTTCACCACGAGATAAAGCATTCAATATTTGTTTTATAACACTTCACCCACAGATTCTGCTTGGTTTCAATATTTTAAATTATTTAAATCTGAGCACAGTTGAAATAAACTTCAATTTCAATACAAAATTGATGGAAAATGTATTTCTCTCTTCCAAACTACCCCTTCATGAAATGTTTGAACCTTACTCTGCGGTGCGCTCTCTTTGGAACAAAACGCGCTACGCGCACACCAGCATGCATTTGCAAACAAATACCGCGCCGTGGATATAGTACTTTGGTTGCTAATGGTATAGTACTTTGGTTGCTACGGGTATAGTACTTTTGGCCGTGCACAGAAAGATAGCAAAAATAGAAAGTATCATGTGACTCGCTCTCGGCCAATCAAGACACAAAATCTGTGGGTGCGGTGTTATAATAATAATTATCTATGCTAAGCAAATTTCTGTGCTGAGAGTGATAAAAGAGTGGTCCTATTTGCGAATTGTTTTTTCTTTCATTTGTTAGGGTCTCTGTCTTCATGTGATGCATTCCTGAGTACCTTTCAGACTCGAGGATTGAAACCAGAGGTCATGTGCCCTTGTGCCTGTGCCCCAGAAGCTCTGACTGTGTCCTTGCGCAGGTAAAACCAGACTTGAGACGTAATTCTTTGTCTCAAAATTTCTTGGTAATTTGTCTCTTTCCATGTCTCATTTCATCTTTTTCAGGCTGGTGTACGATTTTTCCTCCTGCTGTTTTAATAACACGAGTTTCTTCAAACTTTGATTTTCATTGAATCGTATCTTGCTGTGAATGGACTTTGTGCTTGCTCAGTGGATAGTGCTGCATGGCTCAATACTGGGAGGCAATGGGTAGTCATTGGTTTGTGTGTGCGCTAATGTAGCACAATAGGTCTCTCTCAAATGGCGTCAATTCCACATGTACTAGCCACATGTATCGGCATTTTGAGCATCAACTTGTATAATGCACATTGGCTGCGTCATATTTTGAACACATTTCGAGCATCAAGCGCGCGTGTTTGGAACACTTTCAGCACTGCGCAATGCGTGCTTGATTGCGTAAAATACGTAGTTTCAGTTCTCCTACAGAGATGGCCGGCTTTGAGAGAGACCTATGTTAAGGAGTTTTGGGTCAATCACCAGTCAATCACAAGTGAAATCACAAGTCAGCTCACGAACAAGGTTTGAGCAATGGCAAAGGGAAAGGCTGAGTTTCAGTATATTGGAATAAGTTGTCACTGAACTTGAGATTCGATAACTTGTGATTGACTTGTGATTGACTCGATTTTAACTGTGCTAAATAGGCATAACCCTTAGTGCTAATCACATCCCCCAGTAAAAGCCATTTGATGCATTTTGGCATTGAGGGCGCGGTTAAACAGAGGATCTATGTGCTCAACAGAAATTGTTTACATCCAGTCGGAGATTGCTGACTGTATATCTCTCGTCTTTGTCTCTCAGGCCCGGTAAGACTGGAAGCACGGCCTCGGGTCGTGGCGTGTTATCTATGGCTGGACTCAGCTATGGCGTGGTTCGCGTTGACACAGACGACAAGCTTACATCTCTAACTCTGCAAGATGTTGGAGTTGTCATGCCAGGATGTAAGTTCAAAGCACTTTATGTCTTTTCTGTCTTGGATTTCCCGATTCAAACAGCAGGAGGTGTAACATGTACATTGTCGTTACGTTGTTCTACATGTATGTATTTAAAGCTATAGTCCATCATTTGTAATTAGTGCATTTTGTTCGTTTGAAGCAACAAAAGTGTTCAAAATCTAATGAAGGATACTGAACAACTTACTTGATGAAGTTTCAGCTCAGCTTCATCTTCATATTCCGAGAAAAACAGCATTCTAGGATCTCAATTTCAAATCAAAAGTTGCTAAATCATGTTTCGAATTGTTTTGAATTGCAGCTTTACGCGATGTTACGCACTGATCCAACGAATTATAGCAACTGCGCGCGCCTGTGCGTCGTTCCAATGCTTGTGCGCGCAGTGCCGAAAAACAAAACGAACAACTAATTAAAATTTTTCTTCTGTGCTTCTTAAGAAGTTGTAAATGCCTTCTTTCGTTGATTTCTTCAAAACGAGAGCTTGCCAGAAAGGATAATTTCACAGGGAGTTTAGTCCCCTTACTATCTTTCAACCAGTATGTTTTTCAACAACAATTACACCGGTTACTTTTTTGGATAGCTGCAAATGATGGACTTGGGCTTTAACACAATTCCATTATCATTTAACATTAGGATGCTCTATGGTAGAGTTGTAATTAAGTCATTACAAATCATTAGAAATCATTACATCACTAGTCAATCATAAGTCATCCAGTTTCAAGTCAGGTAAAGGTAAAGGAGTGAAATGTAACAACGGACAAAGGCATTCCTTTGTCATTGCTAATGCCCAGGTACACCTGACCTGACTTGTGACATAAAACGTAAAAACTTGAATCGTTTTTGTTCTTCCTCATTGATAGCTGCCATGGTAGTGGTCAAGGTGGAGGGGCCACCAGTGTTGTGCAAGACAGATGAAATAGGGGAACTGTGTGTGGCCTCAGAGGCTGTAGGAGCCTCCTACTGGGGGCTGAGGGGAAAGACAAACACAACATTCAATGTAAGTTCTTTATTTTGTAGGATGCATATTGATACTGTGTTTTCCGTTGCCTGAGGTTTGTGCTTTTAATAAGCACAATATGCAGAAGCAGGCTTTTTTTATTTTTTTATTATGAATACATTTATTTTTTCAACACATTGGTGATGGGAAAAATTCCATTTCAGTACTTTACTTTGGTGGACCCCTCTTTGGACATCTTAAATGCTTATCCATATTCATTGGTTTGAGCAGAGTATGGGTGAATTTTGGATGATTGTCAGGTGGAAGTGTCGATTTGCAATGCACATATGGATATTTTCATTAGCATAACCCCTCCCTCCAAAAGACGGGCCCAAACGCTTCCTTAGAAAAAGCAGTATAAATACTGAATGTGAAGGTATATGGGATTGTCAAGTTACATTTCAAGAATGCAATTACCAGAATAGTGAATTATTGTATGTTGTTCATTCTCAGGTTATTCCACTGAGTGATGACGGCAGCGATGTCAGCAGTGAGCGCTTTGTCAGAACCGGTCTCCTGGGCTTCCTGGGACCTGTAAGATAATCCTTATCAGTTGAGGTTTTTTACTTTCCCCAAACTGTCTTAGCTTTTTTTTCCGCACGCAGGGTGAACCCTCCAGTTCAGAACCTAATGCTATGGCACAGTTCAGCTGAAAATATTTCTAAAGCAAATATGCGTGAGGAGCAACTTGGAAGCATTTACAAGTAGAACATTACAATCACAGTATTATCTGGCAACCAATTTTTTTTGTGCTGTGTAAATTTCTTCGTTCAGCAAATTCATAAAATTGGGCACTAAAAAGCAGTGATGATTCTTAGAAATGACACTGCAAGTAAACCCTGGGCTGGTTTGAAAAAAAGCTCATCGAAGTGGATGTAAGATTGTTGAATCAGATTTTGCTCTGTAATTTGAATTGGTCAGTTCATACTGTATGCATAAGCAATAGTGTAATTTCCCGACTTCAATCGTTGCAGTTTAATTGAGATGCTCATGTTAAATATGTACCCTCCTTAACGCTAATAAACTGCCTAGGGTATTTTGGCTAGAAACCTGCTAAACACAACAACATGCAACACTCGTCAAAATGAGAAGTCTGCCCAGTGTGGCAAGATCCATTAGATGAAAATTGTTTAAAGGCCAAACTGCCTCAGAGTCTGTGGTCACCAACTGTAGCAGGATACAACTATGCCATTGCCCCTAGGGACTAGCTCTCATTGTTCCTGTATTGGCTGTTAATGCACTAGTGTTGGTGGCTCAATGCAGCAATGTCCCACAGATATTTACGCGTCTGGCAGAGTTAGGGTTAATATATCTGAAAATGACTTCATAAGTGATTATCTCTTATATTTTGTTGGTACTGTCGTTAGGGTGGCTTGGTGTTTGTGTGTGGTAAGGTGGATGGCCTGATGGTGTGTGGTGGCAGACGACACAACACAGACGACATCATTGCCACAGTGCTGGCTGTCGAACCCATGAAGTTCATCTTCCGGGGGAGGTAAGATCTACATTTCTTGTGTCTTCTTGTTTTTCTGTTGCTACTGTGTGTGTCTTTTTTAGTATTCATTAAAGAGAGTTGACTGTTTGCCTGCCTTTCTGTCTTTGTCATTTTTGGACTTTAAGCTCTGTTTGCTTAGTTTCATGTTTTGTCCTTTAGTCTGTCTGTCTTTTCAGTTGTCTGCATGTGTTCATTTGTCTACATCTGTCAGTCCATGTTTTCTCTTTACTCATTAGAGTTATCTTTTTCAGATCATGATTTACTATTATATAATTTTTAAATAGATGTATGTGTTTTTTGGAAACCCATTTTTATATTTATGTGTAAAGATTTCAAATAAAAAAAAAATTATAAAAAATTCAGTCAGATATGCATGAGTACTTAAAACAAGACTCAGTGCAAAGTTTTAATAATGATCAGAGATTTCGTGCTTTGCCTTTCTGCAGAATTGCAGTATTCTCGATCAAGGTCTTGAGAGATGAACGTGTGGTCATCATAGCCGAACAGAGACCCGAAGCAACGGAAGAAGAGGTATTCAATTAGATTATAAGACCAACTAAATGGTTCCTTTAAACTTAACTGAATTCAAAAACAATACCTATGCAGTATTAGTCAATATCACATTCTTGACATGAGCAATCTTTGGTGACAGTAGCGACGGCTGAGATTTGCAGTTATAACTCCATAGAAATACTCCAAAAACTGTTTGGACTTTTTATTCTGTTACAAGGGTCATAAATACTTGGCAGGCTGTCCACCACTGATAGCCATGGGTATTCCCAATTGACTAGTACACGATTAACTTCCCCCTCCTTCCGATTCCCCGCCTCCTTTTTTTTGGCAGTTATCTGAGCCAAGGGCCATCTAGAGCCATCTACATGAAACATTGCTACTGAGGGGACACTTTTACTTTATAGAGACTTTAGGATTCATTTGATAACAGTAAATCTATCTTATAATACCTGATTTTGACCGTTATAATGTGTGGTGTATCTATTCTACAGTGTTTCCAGTGGATGAGTCGTGTGTTGCAAGCCATAGACAGCATTCACCAGGTCGGTGTGTACTGCTTGGCACTGGTCCCGCCAAACTCCCTACCCAAGGTAAATTCAGCCAGGTTCTTTTCTCGCTTGACGCTAACCAATCATAGGTAATATCAACCAAACTACTAAGAGACTCTGTGGCTATGTAACATGAATGAATGACGTAACCAGATTTTTGTATGGAAGTCACAATTACGAGGCTATAAAAAGCAAGTAATGGGGGACCAAGAAGAAATGTTTTAACAAACCACAAGAGATATGAACTATCAAAAAGAGGTAATCAGTATTTCAAGTGACTGACAAAATTGACAAGAATGAGATTTGAAATTTCACTTAAAGCAAGGCTGTGAACAATTGTAGTCAACATGTTTATAAGTACAGAAAAATGTTGCCTTCATATCATTATTAGGTTACCAGCCAAAGCGTCATGCGATTGTATATGGCATGTGACAAGTACTCGGCAGATTTTTGCTTAACCCATAAATTTGCTGAGCAGTATAAGTAGAGCTGATCTGTGTCCTGGTATAGGCCATTTTCTGTTTGAGAATGGAAATTGAGAGAAGGGACTTTTTTATACAAGATTTCTCAATGAACTATTTTTTTTCAGAAGGCTTTTCAATATATTTTTGTTTAGACCCCTCTTGGAGGCATTCATCTGTCGGACACAAAGCACCGATTTCTGGAAGGCTGTCTCCACCCTACTAATGTCTTGATGTGCCCTCACACGTAAGTATCTTTAGACATCAAGTGTGTTCTTGGGCAAGACACAGTACCACAATTAAATCTCTCAAGTAAAGACCATGCCATCTATGAAAACATGCCTGTCTGTGTTCAACAGCCAAACTAGTCACTGAAGCACCTTTGTTGTATTAGTTCCTCATATTTTTCTCGTAAACATCAATCCTGTTAAACCAAAAGAGATTAAGAGATATACGTTAAGTAAAGAATTGGACATCCAGTGGTACCTGTGTGGGTGAACAACCATTCACACCGCGTTGAAGTTTATCAGGGGTAATGATTTTAAATCTCTTCATATCTTTTGTGTAAAGGGCTATAAAATGCCTCAATATTCCTATTATTATTCGTCGTAGTTGTGTGACCAATCTGCCCAAACCACGTACCAAGCCAGGGGATATTGGCCCAGCATCGGTCATGATGGGCAACCTGGTGGCTGGCTCACGGATAGCCGGAGCAGCGGGTCGGGACATCGGATCATTGGATGATGAGACTGACGCTGCGAAGAAGGTAAAAGGTTCTTTGAGAATTAAGCATGAAAAAAGCCATCATGGCGGACAGGCATAAGTCTTAATGCAGCAGCTTAGCATTTGAATATCGCTGAGCTGATTGCTGAGCATGGAATAGTGAAGAACCAGTCAATAGTAGTATACAAGTGGAGAATCAGTCAATAGCAATATACAAGCACTGCTATTGACCAGTGGAAAACCAGTCAATAGTAGTATAAGAGCACTGCTATTTACCAGTGGGAAATCAGTTAATAGCAATATACAAGCACTGCTATTGACCAGTGGAAAACCAGTCTATAGCAGTGTATAATTACTGTTATATAACTGACATACAGATCCTTGTCATTTGATTGGTGGAACTCACATCACGTGACATTCGTTATTGCTCCCATTCACGTCGGGGCTCAAAAAGTCCCATTCGCCCATGGGGAATGGGAAATACTATTGAACAGTTAGGATCATTCTTGTTCCATGACACGGTGTTCGTGTGCAAATGCATGCTGGTGTGCGCATTCAGCATTGCGCATATTGTTCCAAAGAGCCAGCGCTACAGAGTGGGGTTCAAACATTTTCGTGAAGGGGTGGTTTGGAAGAGAGAAATACATTTTCCACCAATTTTGTATTGAAATAAAAGTTCAAATATATCAAATGACAAGGATCTATGTGTCAGTTATATAAAACAAATATTGAGTGGCTGTTAATTGTGAAATGGGAGGAATACTATCGCTCGGGAAAATCTGGACTTTTCCAGTTCACGCGGCTTCGCCTCGTGAAATGGAAAAGTCCAGATTTTACCTTGCGATAATATTCCTCCCATTCCACGCTGAGCCACTCAATATTTGTGTACTATTGACCAGTGGAGAATCAGTCAATGGCAATAATATTTGTGTACTATTGACCAGTGGAGAATCAGTCAATGGCAATATACAAGCACTGCAATTGACCAGTAGAAATCCAGTCAATAGTAGTAAAGTACATCACATCACTCCTTGGCTGGTGAAAGAATCTGTTTTGCATTTTTGCAGAATTCTGTGCTTAGCATTGCCATGAAATGGGTATGTTGTTGTTGCTCCCTGTGATATTAACCCATTTGTCCCTGAACAGCCATATAAGCCCACAAGGAAATTTTACTATCACACAAATAACATATCCATATTGCACTGTATTTCTTTCATTGTAGTATCAGTTTCTGTCTGAGGTATTGAAATGGCGTGCACAGAGTACTCCAGACCACGTACTCTTCACTCTTCTGAACAATAAGGTAAGTTAATAATAATAATAATAACAATAACCATATTCATAAAGCGCCTTTTCCAAAGGACACAAAGCGCTAGGGGAGAATGCAACCAAAACCTAAATGTGATTATCCAATATAAGAGCATATAAATACATGTATTACAGCAGAATCAAATACAAATTAGTTAGCCTAATTGGGAATAATACACTTACATGCCCTTTTTCCTTTTCTGTTTACCTTGAACAGTATTAACCCAGATTGTTCATTAAACATTTGGGGATGACAAAATAACAAGAAGTCGGGTATAAGATGTTTAAAATCTTCTGGTAAACCGGAAAAAGTTTTTTCAGTATAATTGAACATTGTTGTTTTTAGTTTAGTTTCTATGTTGTATAATGTTGGTCTTTAGCACTATTTAGGTTTGATTATTGATTTTGTTTTCCAAACAGGGAGCTGTTTCGCTTGCCCTTACCTGCAGTCAGCTGCACAAGAAGGCTGAAAGGATCGGAGCTTTGCTCCAGGAAAAGGGGCGCGTCAACACGGGTGACCACGTTGCCTTAATCTTCCCCCCTGGTATTGACCTCATCGCTGCCTTCTATGGTTGTCTTTACAGTGGTGAGTGTTTTCATTTTCCTTTTCACAAACCTGGATTGCACATTTCATCAAATCAAGATTGTCTAAATCCCGGCTTTGTCTCTGGTTCGGCTTTCTCTCTGATTTAAGAATAATCGAGAAAACCTTTGATGTTCAAACAAATTGAAACTTTGGCCTTGTGATTTGTAAGATTTCATGTTTCGTAAGCAGAACATAGGACCAGTGTTGAGCTGGAGTCCTCCATGTTAGTGACAAAAATCCTTTCAATTCGAGCCCAAGAAAATGACACGTTTCAGAAAAACTTAAGTGTTGGTAGTAATTGAATACTTGAAAATGTGAATAAAGAGATATTTGTTGAACCAACTATTCAGTTGCCTCATTTCACAAATCTTAGTAAACTTGTCTTATAAGTTTTTAGCATTCAGAATATGTTAAGTTTAAATATTGGGTTTTGCCTTTCACCTATCCACTTTCGTATGTTCTGCATACTCAGTGATGTCATAGAGGTTGCAAGAACAAAATTCACAAGCTTGCTCGGGTGGGACTCAAACCCACAACCTCCTGATTACTAGTGCAGAAATCGGAAACACTGGACCAGCTCATTAAGCTCATAAAACGTTGTATATGCAAATGTGTTTGAATCGATGCTACTTTCTTTACATCCCTAATAGGTGCTGTTCCAGTGACTGTGCGCCCTCCCCACCCCCAGAACCTTGTGACAACCCTTCCCACAGTGCGCATGATTGTTGAGGTCAGCAAGTCCATTGCTGTCTTGTCAACGGCAGCAGTCATCAAACTTCTGAAGTCAAAGGTTATTATGTGCGGTGTATGTCTTCTAATTAAATATAAAAGAATGCGCAGTGGAGGTTTTGGAAGGATTCAGGTAGAATTCCTAGTAAAAAAAGCCACGAGGTTCATGGCGGATACCAGCAAAATCAAAGAAAGTTTGAAGTGAGCACAAAATTTAAGAAAGTTTGGACATTGAGGTATTTTTAAAGTGTTTTTTATGCCCCAATGTTTTGTATGAAAAATGGCAGAAAGCAATTTGGGTTACCACATCCCCAATAGCTTTGTGTGCATTTATCTGTCACTTTTATCCCAAAGTAAAATCCGTCAAATGTTGTTACGCCCATGCGCAGGTTGAAATACCGATTTGGCTTATTATTTGATGTGGTTTGCTACGTACCATTGCATTTTCCTAAGGCAAATAACGAGTGTTTAGGTTTGTGGAGCAAGTGATGATGAGGTGAAATAACGCAAGACATGCATTTTTTTGTATGATTTGGCAGGAGGCTACAGGTACAGTTGATGTCAAGACCTGGCCCCAGCTCATGGACACAGACGACCTGCCGAAGAAGAAACTTGGCGGTGTGTACAGGGCTCCAACTGCTGAGATGATGTGTTACATGGACTTCAGTGTGTCCACAACTGGCATGCTAGCAGGTGTCAAGGTCAGTATAGACCCACCTTTTAAGCTCAGCCCCATGATGTTTGGACCAGGCGCAACTGTGACTGCAACCAAATACACAATGAAAGTCTTGCATGCATGCGCGTGCTCATTATGTGCATGGCTAGATCATGCAGTGTGGCATTGGGAAGACGCACGTGTTGAATATCCACATAAAAGTGTGCAGGGCCATGGCGAAATCTGGCACATTCAATTTTGGATGAATGTTTCAAAACGGTAGAATTCTACCTCAACAAACGCAGGCCACAGAATACTGTTATAGCTATTTTCAGCCACCAGTGATTGATGCAAATTGGGAGCAGTGGGAATGTGTAGTTCTGAAAAATGTAACATTCTTCCTTTTTGGGAATCTGAAGGCTCCTATTGTATTATCTTATGCATGTGCCAGTATTTGGGTTGGCATTTCACACAGTGAATAGATTCATTGAGTAACCTACGTCTGTACTAAGCCTTGAAACTACTTTCTCAAACAAGGTACCACACGTCTAAATGCTGCTTTGAAGTTGCAATTGAGTTTGCACAAAATGTAAACATCTTGGTTCTCTCACATATTGGCTTTTTTCTGGCTTTACCTGATCTCTGGTTCCAGGATTATTCTGGCTCTTTTCAGTGTCCAAACCATGTTGAAATACTCCAATTGTAGAATTTAATACTGCTATATTAGAACGTGGTCCTATTTTGAGCCAGAGTGCCCTAAGCCTAGGGCTGAAAATCTCCTGAAGCCAAAAACCAGAGGTAAAGTTGAGGTTTTGAAACCCCTCGTGGTTGTTCAACATGTGATTTTCCTTTTCTTTTCTTGTACAGATGTCACATGCCTCCGCTAGCGCAGTTTGTCGATCTCAGAAACTTGCCTGTGAGCTGTATCCCTCCAGGGTTGTGTGTCTCTGTCTGGATCCCTACAGTGGCTTGGGGTTTGTCCTCTGGGTGCTCAGCAGGTAAAGAAATACTCATAGTTCAAGCAATCATCAGTAGATTGTCACAAGACACAGATTGGCCATACTACATTTCACAAAACGTTAGCACATCCGTGCAATCTTTGATGAAGCTGTCCACAGATTTCATGAGTGGACAGTGTGAACAGTGTGAACAGTGCCAAAGCATTAAGCGTAACTCTCTTGGCTTTCTTAATTTATAGGAACTGCACCTGAATCCTTCGTAAGCATCCACTGTGCAGAAACTCTTAGTCGGTTTACATGTGTTTGTTCAACCTTATTAGCTGTTGAAGAGGATGGAGTATGAGTTTATTCAGTAGTCATAAGGTAGCTTCTCCTTTTGTGGACAGAAGTATTGGGCTAGATGGATTGGTAGAAAGCTGGTATTTCAGACTAAAATGTGCATTCACATTTATTCAACATACATGTTTCTTGTGACATTACAGCGTGTATTCAGGTCATCAGTCGATCCTGATCCCTCCTGCAGAGATAGAAACAAACCCTTCGCTGTGGCTGTCTGCATTGAGCCAACACAAAGGTGGGCTCAAGGCATTATATAATTATGAAGGAATTTTTTACCATTGCATATAGGCCATTAATTTTTAATAACCTGGATTATGGAATTGCCGCCGTAAAAATTTCGGATTCAATTTTTTTTTTTCAAAATCGCTGCTGAAATATATGCCAATTTGATTGAACCCCTCCCCAATAAAATTCTCGCATTTCGAGTTGTAAACATTTCAGGAAAACTATTAAAGTACAGTGTGTAGTCTGTCTGCATTTAAAGAACAAGAACATTGACGAATTTATAAGACCATACAGCTTTGTTCCCTTATATCAAAACTTGGATTGTTATCCAATTAATTCTTATAATTTTTGCAAACAATGACTACACGGATGACAGAATAATTTCACAGGGTATGTCAGTGACCTTACTCTCTTTGATTTGAAATGATAATTCATCTTGTTTATCCCCTTGTTTATTTTGAAGTGAGGGACACGTTTTGTTCTTACTCGGTGCTTGAGCTTTGCACAAAGGGACTGGGACAGTCCACAGGAACGCTCAAGGTATGTACAATGGTATCAGGTTTGTTCAATCATTGTCATATTGCTGTGGGGTGCTGTGGTCCAAAGGTTACTGTGTTCGATTTGTGTGCCGTGGTACATGGGTTCGAATCCTGACCGTGGGAACATGGTGCTTGTGCTTTTGAGCAAGGCACTTCACCATTATTGCTTCGTCCTTCGGATGTAAAGCCGTTGGTTCCGTGTGTTGTGTAATGCACGTTAAAAAACCCAGTAGCACTTATCGCTAAGAGAAGGGGTTTGCCCCAGTGTTTCTGGCTGCAATATGCGCCGCAGCACCTTGTAAACCCTTATAAAGGTGCTACATAATGGGCCTTATATTTCTCATAAACTTCATTTACCTGTCTTTAATAATAGACATAATTAACAGCGCCTTGAGTACCTAATTGTTGGTAGATAGGTGCGCTGTATAAGACTCCGGTATTATATTGTGCTGTGCTGCCTAGACATGGGAGCAATAAGCGTGGGCATGTATACGGACTATGCATACTGAGTGTGGTCCAAGAGCTTGTGAGAAAAATTCATAAGCTTGCTTGTTGACCTCGAACCCAGGCTCGGACCTCCTGCTTTAACAGTGCAGACATCTTAACCACTCGACCACCAAGCTTGCTGGGGTCGGCTGGCAGGTTTGAATTATAGATGGAAGTGGGTACTGCAACTGTTCACTCGTGTGAGATATTACCCTGTGTGTTATATCTCAAAACGTGTGTTTTGTGAGGATGTTGATCAAAATCCATTGTAAGTTAAATTGTGCTTGTGCCAAACTGTCATTTAGACGAGTTCTAACTATCGTGAAGTCTGCGAATATAATTTCTGGCAGTTTCATGGCCCTATCTATGTACTTCGTGCAGGAACAGTTGATTGTGCTTTGTGACCACTTTCAAAATCTGCAGCGGGAGTGACGCATCGGTCGTGCATACTGGTTTGCGTGAAGTATGCATGTTTGTTTTATTCTGAATGTGCACAAACCCCAAATCATCCTCACATAGGTGTCATGCACTGTTGGCAGTGCATTCAAATGTATCTCCCTATGGTCTCCACCCACTCTCCTTTTGTAACCGTTGAGGGAGTGTTTCTACATAGAGCACTCGATATTGAATTCCAACTCTGTGCAATGAATGACAACATCTCCTTTTGTTACAGGCCAAGGGGATCAACTTGTCCGCTGTACGGACTTGCGTCATCGTGGCTGAAGAGAGGCCCAGGATTGCGCTGACCAACTCCTTCAGCAAGCTCTTCCGCAGCCTGGGACTCTCTGCCCGAGCAGTCAGTACGTCCTTCGGCTGCCGAGTCAATGTTGCTATTGGGTTACAGGTATGAGCACTAATAGACCAATTCACTAACCCCGCCTTCACATGTTCTGACCAATCACAGCTGTGATCAGTATCAAGCATGACGTGCCCAAAAGTTGGACATGCATGCACACAGCCTTACAAACACATACATGTGGGGAGGACCGTTGTTTCCCTTCTTTTGTTTTCCTTTGTTCCTATTGTTTTCTACCCCATAAGAAACCCTGTATATATACATGCTTGCACATGTGTATGAAGCACACAGCTAGAATGAGCAGTGTGGCGGGACTTAAGATATCGTCTATTGCCTTTCATCCATGTTGTTGCCTGATGGAAGGTATTATGCAGAGAAAATAAATATGTCTTTCAGTTTTTTTCATTCAAAGAATCAAATCGTTCATTTCAAAATTCTGGAGTTATTGCTTACAATTTTGACAACAAAATTTACAGTGCAGCCAGGATTAATAAGGAAGTAAAATAATATGCATCCAATAAAGTTGCATCAAGTATTTTTGTATATCTGAAATCGCATCTTAAAACTGCTCTCAAGGTAATGCTTGATATTTATTAATAATGTTTTTTTGTTATTGTGTGTAGGGGGCCTCAAGTCCAGACCCAACCCAGGTTTACTGTGACATGAGAGCGCTACGCAATGACAGGGTGACTATTGTGGAGAAGGGCAGTCCACAGAGTGTATGCCTCATGGAATCGGGCAAGGTAACAGCAATGTCACAGAATTCTTATGGATTATGTACATGAGCTCCAGTGGGAGGGACACTTTTATTTTGAGCAATTTAATTAATTCAAACAAAATTCAATACACAAAAACTAATGATCCCATGTACCCTTCAAGGCATTTGGGATCATTCACAGTTTTCTTACGAGTAACCTAGCGAGTTATTATCAAAAACTTACTCAGATTAAAGAGTGTAATATTACTAAACACCCTGTGAAATTATTCGGTCTGGCTTGCTGTGATTTAACCAGTTTACGTCAGATGAAGTGTATACACGCAAAGGTTTGAGGTGTTCAGAACGGATGATGATAAACAAGCAACGAGCGAGGCCGGAAAAATCTGTCTGCAACCTGCTCGCAGCGAGCGAGGCGAGAAATATCAGGGTGTGCTACCCACAGGTGACGGCCTGAACCTGTCTGGCATCGAGGTTTGTGAAAAACAATCCTGCGCCTGGGTCCGGTCATGTCAAAATAATCCTAGCGTGATCTGGTTAAAGGCAATCAAGAAATGTAGGTGATTCCAACAATCAGTCCATTGACTGATTTTTTTTTTAAATAGAGTGTGCTATGGACGAAATCATGTTTGGTGATCAAAAGGTTGTGCACGTTTTTTTTTAATGTTTTCTCGATAAGTGTATTATCCACTAAGCTGAATTTCAACAGGTTTTTAACATTTTGTTTTGGATTTTGAGTGGTGTTACTAGTTGAAACGAATAAAATGCACGAAAGGCAAATGATCCTATATACTTTTAAACAACTCTTGTTTTGATTCTTTATTTTCAGATTCTACCTGGGGTGAAGGTTGTGATTGCCCATCCAGAAACCATGGGACAATGTGCTGACTCGCATCTCGGAGAGGTAGGAAGCCTTTATCTTTCATCAGACTTCTTCAGGGGAACCTTTTTGATCATCAATAAAACTTTTTCCTCAATGATAAGTGTTGTGCTTGTGTTTTTCACCCTTCCCCACTTTTCAAATTAAAAAATGTATTTATTATTGAAGTAACTTTACTCCACTGTATTTTTAAACTTGTCCAAATAAAGTCTCATTCCTCAGAAAAGGACACAAATGTCCACGTTTAGGCAGCACAGAAAAACGTACTTGCTTTACAGCCGCCAAAGCTCAAGTCTCGTTGAGGCAAGGACATTTTTGGTAATTTGAAAGGCCTATTGTGTTAGAAATTCCAACTGGCAGTCAGACCAAGGGGCTTCAGAGTATGCCTCCATTCTTGCCTTTTATTCACTGTGATAATGTCATCTAGTGCATCATTAACAGCATAAATGGAAATAAACGTTGATATTGAATTGAATTGAATTCAAAGAGTCAAGGCCAAAGTCCAGTAACCCCAGGGCCTATGTGGCTTCTGTCTAGTTCTTAGCATACCCAAAGTTTCATTTTCAGAGTTGTTTGTCAAACTCACAAGCCGGTGTTATATGAAAATTGGACTCCTATGAAATCTGGTCTCTTTTACCTGACATAGGCTGTAACCCTCGCACGTGACTGGTCACTGTCATAAATGTCTTCATTAAGACATGTGTAATGCAACCCATGAGTCCGGATTTCTTCGAGTCCAAATTTCACACTACACTGGGTCAGACTTAGAATGACTTGATTTCATATCTGAATTTTTTTTACCCATCCTGAATTGAAGATTTGGGTCAATAGCCCACACTCATCCTGTGGCTACTACACAATCTACGGCGACGACTCTCTACGCAGCGACCACTTCAATGCCCGGCTGTTGACTGGAGATACACACACGACATTTGCCAGGACGGGCTATCTGGGCTTCATCAAGAGAACTGACCTGACCCAGGCCGACGGAGGTGGGATATATATTTATATTGACTGACAGTGAGGGTATTACATAGTACATGTATATTTGCCCGGGACACCACTAACATGCATTATTGAGTGGCATTGAAGGCACTGATGAATGTCTGTGTGTTCTGGAGGACTGTATGAAACCAGCTCTGTCCATATCTTGACTAAGGAGTAAGGACACAAGTGCATGTTTTTGCACCAAATACGATTTATTGGACCTTCAACAGATATATAGACTGGTACTGAGGGGACTAGGTCATGGCATATGCCCTTTAGGACAGTATGTACGTAAGATGTAGGGCTGGGATTGGCAAATGATATTTGACACTGGGACTACTAAAGATTTCTGTTTAGTTTAGATATCAGTGAATTACCAGCGATTTCGTTCATATTTGGGGAAAATTCAAATGGCATCCTTTGACAAAGTTAATGGCAGGGAACGTTCCAGTGAGGGTAGGGCAAGTTAGATTGATTCTGTTGACTACCTTCTGTGAAGCACATTGCAGCGTTGCATACACGGATTCTCATTGTTAGCGCAGCCCATTTTCAATCTTGTGCATACTTAATCAGGGCAGTGCACCATTTTGTTTCAGTCAGTGTGCAACAAAGTAGCAAGCTGTAGTATATGTGTGTTCTTTTTTTGGTTGTAGATCGACATGATGCACTGTTTGTTGTTGGTTCCCTGGATGAGACATTGATGATGCGTGGGATGAGATACCACCCGATTGACATCGAGAACACAGTCCTCCGATGTCACAAGAATGTCTGTGAATGGTAAATATACAGTCACAAACTTTTCATGTGCAGTGTAAGGCCAGTTTATGCTGCCGTAAACACACTGGAACAGTTGTTGATATAAAGTTTACAACTATGAACCAACCTATGGACTTAACAAAGATATTGGCATTCTCAACTTAGAAGCCTGTATAAGCCCCTCTCAATGACATCACTGCCTACAGATTGTCTCGTGCATCTGCATTTTGAGAGGCAAATTTTTGTGATGTGCCGTATTTTGAAAAAAAAATTGAGCAACATGTGGGCATGTTTAAAACATTTTGCACTACGTGCACACATACCAGATGGCATTGAATATGCAGTTGTAATTTGTTTAGGCAAGATGGCTGTCTACAAGAGGGGTTGATTTGGTATTTCCGAAGTACTTTGTGACATATTTGTGCAGTATTTTCTAAAAGCCTGCGAGCTAAATGACTCATAGAACTTAAGAAGTGACCCAGCACATTTTATACAGCAACGGTTACAATTGAAAGAACCGCTGCACTTAAAATGACTTTTTCTGATGTCTTTGTTCAGTGTCAGTATGCTATGACCGCCATTTGGAAAAATGCTAGCCTAAAAAAAGCACCAAAAAAAACCAAACCACTGGGTTGTTTCTTGTAATCCCCTAATGTAACCGCAAACTTTTCCAGAGTTTACTCTCAATAATATACAGCCTCAAATCATAAATTTAATAAGTGCTCTCAAACTTTAATTGACTGAATATGACTGTACAGATTGTTAAAATGCTGCTAGTTTATTTGAAATGATAAGATGAAAAGACTGCATGCAGCACCCTGAGGATGTGGGTGTGGCATACAAATCTAATAAAAATACATGTATAATTTAATCAAAACAAAATGCACATATATTGAAGATAACAGAGGCCCGCTGTATTTTCCTCCGTGCTGTGATTTCTCCAAAATGTTGTGGATTTTGAATGATCTGGCCTTAGGATGAATACACATTTAATGAACAAAAACTTAATGTTCATTTTGACAGTGCTGTCTTCACATGGACCAACCTTCTGGTGGTGGTCGTGGAGCTGGACGGCAAGGAATCAGAGGCCCTGGACCTGGTCCCCCTGGTCACCAACGCGGTCCTGGAGGAGCACTATCTGATCGTTGGCGTGGTGGTCATGGTGGATCCGGGGATCATACCCATCAATTCTAGAGGAGAGAAACAACGCATGCACCTGCGGGACGGCTTCCTGGCCGACCAGCTGGATCCCATCTACGTGGCCTACAACATGTAAACCAAACTCTCTAATCAAAGCCCCCAATCTTCATGGAGTAGCTCAGCACAGAAATTTCCTAAGCAAAGAATTTTGGTAAGCACAGAAGTTGCAAGGCACAGAATGACTAGCAAAAACATGTTGCCAATCAAAATACCACCCGGTGTCTTGTATTCGTAACTGGTTCTTAGCTAAGCACAAAACATTTGCTCCGCAATATTTTTTGCTGAGCTGCTCCACAAATTAAATCCATGACTTCTACATAAAAAAGGACTTCGCCAAACTAGTGTCAGTCCTGTTCCACATCATTTATTAATCAGTGGTGCAAGAAGAAATCTCTCATAGAGCTACATAAGCCCCAACCCTTTGAGGCCTTGTTTTTCCAGTAGGTCCCAATCCTCCTTAATCCACCACTGTGCAGGAACACTTTTGACATTGGGTATCCAGCCCTATGTAAACTAACAGTGGTTGTACATTCTCAATCCTCTAAAAAACACACCAATGGTTTTGAGTGATTTGGCCATGAGAAAATCAGGGGTTAAAAGAAAAACTGGAGTGCTTAGAGTATGCAGTGTAGCCAAAGGGTTTTGGCTACACTGCATGCACTGCACACTGATCTACCTGTTGCCATATCCTTCAAAAGCATAGTCTCTGCACAAACATATGGAAACTTGATAAAAATGTGGGTACTGTTTATCAAGATTGCATTTGTATTCCTAGTTATGCATTAAAGAACTCAGTACAGGTTCTTAATGTTGTGGCCTAACAGAAAGTAAATACAAACTTTCACCTAAAAGGAAACTCATGGAGGTTAGAAACGCGGTGCCATCTTTTAGAAGTAATGAAATTTATAAATTTGTCCATGGTTTCTGTACAATACACACACTTTGCAATCAATCTTTCTAATAGAATCCCACCTGGTATAATTTAGGATCAGATACTGTCTGCTAGTTGCATAAAGAGTGCCACATTTAAAATCTTACTCAGACATCTCCTTTGGTTTAAGTGTGCAAATTAACATAGTAGCATAAAGGTAGAGTTAAGAAACGCAGGCGGAAGGCAAAGTCAAATCGACACGTGGAGCTGGAGACTACAGAAATGTGATGCCTTAACCTCATACACATCGCTGTTTGTGTGATATAGTCTTTCAAGTGATTAACCATTTTACGTAGCTTAGTGACTCCATTTATTCAAGTGCACTGGTTATTGAAATTCATCCTCATAGTTTATAGATAATGTGCTTAACCTGAGGACTTTTGCTTCAAGTTGTGTCTGGCAAAAAGTAGCGAAATGACTCAGAAATCATATTGTAGACAGTTGAAGTTTTTTGCCCAGACCGAACACTTTGCAGATAAACTGAACTGATGACGATGTGAACTTCATCTGAGTCTATAATTACAACATATTGATATCTGGGTAGCTGTCTAGAGAAGTAAAAACAAATCACATGACTTGGCTGAGTTGTTGAGAATAGTTACATGTACATTGTGGGTTAAATTTCACTTATTTGAATTTCAAGTAATATGATATAGTAATATAAAGAAACGCGTGCAAATGTTGCCAAAAGATTTAGATACCCAAATGAAGATTGTAGACTTTACATATTACATTTAGTGTGTGCATTGGAAATAATACAGCAGACGCACTTTCCTGGGAGTTGGGGCGGGTATACATCTAGTCAACTTCTGAAAAAATTCGCCATTTTGTTGGTGATAATATTAACCAATATTCTATGGACTTTCTGATATTATTGAAAAAAATCTCACATCTCTCTATGATACGAATAACTTCTAACTTTTTAAAACTGCAGCACCTAGCATATCCCGCCACCTTCTTCCCACAGACAACCAGTGCCAGAATTTTTACGTATATGAATATTTGCAAACAGTTTTTATTGATGATATTTTAGGGTTAATGATATTGTGTATTCTTGTCACTTGACTGTGGCCATTTTTTATATTATTGACATGTCTGTATTTGCATTGTAAATAACCAAAGCATGCATGAATGTGGATAACTTAGTGGCATTATTTCTGTCAGCGTTTGAAATACTCCAGATGTCGGCTTAGGTCAACACGATAGTAAGAAGTGTACATACTAATAATGAGAATGAGTCAGAATGGCATATTTCTCACAATAGAAGTCTCATCATCAGTTTGAAAGATAAAAAGCATGAAGAATTTAAAAACAATTGAAAAGTCCTCAATGACAGTGCACATAAATATTTAGGATTCTAATTTATTTCAGTTGAGACAAACTGAGCAGGCAATTGCATGTTAAATTTTTAGTAAAAGGAAAACTACCCAGGACCTATTAGTCCCTTAAAGGGAAAATACAACATTTGCAAACATCAAAAAATAAAACTACCAAATCATTTTGAAATACCTTGCTGGACTGTTTGTGAATGACAGTGTAAAGCATCCTGTAAAATCATGGCACCTGGTATACTGTTATTTTCAAGAAAAGTGTTTTTTTTGTATCAATTTCCAACGCTGATCGGCCGATCAGCGTTGGAAACAACTGGCTGTTTTTTCAAATACTGGCCCCAATTGACCATCGCACTTGTTTGCAATCGATTACAAACCTATGAACGGGTACGAGCCAGCTAGACTGGTTCCCTGACCTTACAATTCCCCAATGTATGTAAACTGCTCTGTTTCTTCTTATATGGAGTCAGGGAACCAGACTACAGGAAAATGATCGTTTTTCTTGGTTTTTATAGCATTTTCGAACCCAAAACCTCAAAAAAGTCAGTGTAACTATATTTGCTATACATTTCCAACCCCCCAATTCCATCCATTTCTGAAAATTACAGCAAAAGCAAATGATGTATATTCCCTTTAACATATTCTGTAAATACTCTTTTTTTTCATGGATTTTTTTCATAATGGACATGGTTACAAGGTAGATTATTTTTAAACGGTTTTGTGTTTCTTTAAAAACGAATATTGGAAATTTGTCTATGCAGGTAAAAAAAGATCTAATGCCAGAATAAGCCTGGTAATGTTAAAGATATTTACACTCAGATCTCCTCACCCATTCACTTTTCTCTTTTTTTTCTTCTTCTGTGTATTCGTTATTATCTTGTGAAGGAACAAAACGGGAACTCGCTTTTGATTCATTCTGAATTTGGAAGTTAATAGAAAGCAAAATGTAATTATTTTCTTGTGTGTTAGCAAGAAGGGGAAGTCACTTCCTGTTAAGCCAACTTATGTTATTTATGATTGTGTGAAAACAACTTTCGCACAATGATCAGAATTAAGCGCTGCAAATTCTTGGGATCAAGGAGGAATAACTACCAGAAAGACCATAAAGACAGAGACAGGCCATTGGAATAGCAACAAATTCATGCATTTGTTGGACAACATGAATTTCGTAATTACACTATTTTAGCCCCACTGTGCAGACATATGTTTTTAGACTAAGACATAAACAAACTTACCACAAATGTGAAATGTTTTTGTCTGGAGGACAATCACGTGACTACTTGAAGTTGGAGAACGTACACAAGATGACCTCGTTATGAATTGTTGTTAGTACATGTAGTTATCTTCTGCTGTTCGTTTCATGATGGCATGCTTGGATATCTAGTTCGGGTCAGAAGAATCGGATAGGGACCAAAAATAAGAGTCTGAGTGAACGTCTTCCTTAAGCACACTCGGAAATGATCATTGTTCACGAAATTGTTAGCAGCGTAAGAAGTTGTTTTGTAAATGGATTTTAGTGACTTACTCCTTAATAATTGTTATTGAATAATTGATAGTTTTTAAGGTCCGAAAATGTCCAAAGTTTTAAAACGTCTGAAAGTGAGAGCATGCAAATGTCTTGAAATAAATATAGTTGCTCATGAAAACAGTCCGAAATTTATACTGAATAATTTAACATAACAGTGTTATCGTAAATTGACTCCGTAAAAGAAAACGTGAGCTAGACTTAATCTTGCCGGATTCATTTATAGGAATGTCGGTCTTATTTTTACGCCAGTGAGCTTGCGCTCATGTTCTCATACGCGCATGCATGAACTACATAACAGTTTTGCCCAGCATTGGGGTCATCATTGTGGTTTTCGATGCATCAAGCAATCATTGGCCGCTTAAGTGAAGTAGATGGAGGAACGAAATTGACACGAGACAGTGCAAGGCTCATGAATATATAGAATGATGTAAAAAACAAAAACAATAATAATTACATGAATGTTTGTAAAGATTCGTTTTGCAAAGTTATTTAAAGACGAGAGATACGATTTGGTATTTCAGCATTTAATCGGTCGACCTTAGTTAAAAACAATTGCTGAATATAAAAGTGTACAACGAATGCGTCGTGAATTTTTTCTTTTAATAGTGACATTAAGTGGTGCTTCGGTGTTTGGCGCATAGAATGACAATAGATAGATTCCTTGCCCTAGTGGAAAAAAATGTGATTCTATTTCCGCAAAGTCCTTAGGTTTTTTAAGTGAGATTGTTGTGTGTTGGGCATTCGGTGAGTAACATTTGCCTTATAGTTTAAACAAAGAGACAACAAATGAGAATATCAGTAGCTTCGTGGGTAAATCGGCCGTGTTTGTCTTTAGGCATTTTGCATACTTGGAGGTATCGAGAGTGCAACCGTCGTAATAGTATTGTATCAAGTATAAATATGTCATTGTTAGCGTCCGCTAATTTCTTGATGACACCATTTGAAGAATGCTTTAGTAATAGCACCCATTTAATGTTCCCCTTTTTTTTACTCTATTATCCCTTACTAAGTCTTATTGTGGATTTCGTGGTTCAAAATAAATGTAAAGGTAGATTAACAACCCATTAAACTAGAGTTAAAGCTCATGAGTTGTAAAAATGTTTTAATCAGGTACGACTTTCATTCTTAAGAGTAATACTGAACTTTGCCAATCAAAGATCGGGCATTTTTTTGAAAAGATGTTATATAGATATTAAACAAGATATGTTATTAATTTTTAATTGGTAAATATTATTGCATTAAAGGGTAATATGAAGGTTTGCGGTACAAATTATTCGTTAATTGGAGGCTAGTTGAATTCAATAAAAAAGCTTGGCTTAAAAATTGCTAGAACAAATTTTCCCTCTTGGTTTTTGTTAGCTTGTTTTTGCAGAATATTTTGTTTTGGAAATTCGAGGTTCAACATTTTGGTTCCAGTGCTAGTACAAGACAAACATATTTATTTTCTTTTCGAAAACATTGCTTCAAACGTGATTTCGGACGGTGAATTGTCACTGAATCGACACTATAGTGCGGCATCGGTTGAACCCTTGAATAGCTATTGGTTGAAACTCAAGCTTCCGAGTTTTTTTTTTAGAATGACGTTTCTTTACAACGACTAACCCCGCCCTATATCATTACTGAGTAATTGTGCCTTTTCAAATGGCGGTACGACATGCTCGGTTAACAATGAGGGAATATTGTAGGCCAAAACGGCCTTAGTCGGACTTGCCGGGGATTAAATTAATGTATACTCTTTCTTTCACATGTAAAACTTCCAGAGCAACGAGGGATATAGTTTTTTTTTTAGAAGCGCCCTGTCGGCGTGCAAATCCGGTCTTTATATGATAGCTGATTTAGTGTGCTTATCAAATGGGGGTCGCCGGTCTCGATTAACAAAAGAGGAATTTCTTTCGCCAAAACCGCCTACGTCGACTATGTCGAGGGCTAAGATTTAAGACAAAACACTCTTCTTCTTCAAAGGAAAATTCCTTTGAAGCGCATATCGTAGGCTCGCTTACCCACCCACAACACATGCCAGCGTGTACAGAACCTCAACAGTGTAGCAGACAAGATGGGAAGCCATGTTTTATACATGTGCTCCAAGCTCGATCTCTTCGTGCTTCAAGCAACCTGAAGAGCAACGTGCTTGAGCAGGGTAAATATCGGCAAGTTCTGGGTTTCAAAATGTTCAAGGAAGTGCGGAAAAAAAGTGAAAAAGAATACTATCATATTGTACATCCAAGCTTAGTTACCAGTTGATGATATTCTTATACTTTGACGACAAGGATTTTTGCCTTGGACTTAAGTTGTAGGAGGCCTAAATACATTTTTATTCACTCTGTCCGCATATAAGGAAGGATTTGAAAATGAACATAGGCGTCGCCAGGATTTTTTTCTAGAGGGGCAAAGCACATTTCTCCCGAAATCCCTATATTTTCCAGCATTTTCTCGACTGATAATTTTTTCGAGGGTGGGCAGGGACATTTGCCCCCGTCTCCGGTCCCTTAAATAACCCTAACAGTTCTGAATCCTCCGATTTTGCACACCCCTGCAAACCTTGGTTTTTTTCTCCTTTATTTTTTGTTTTGCCTTTCAGAAGGGGTGGGGGTGGGGGAGCACCCCCCATGCCCCCCTCGCGACGCCAATGAAGAAGAAAACGACACTAGTAGGCCTATCTGATCATAAATCTTAGAAAAAGCTCTTCTTTTCTGTCTATATTATGGTTGAGAAACTTGGGCTATTTAGAAACCCCCACCCCAAAACCCCAAAATAATAAATAAAACAAAAACAACCCGTACCAGCCGCACTCGCGCTTTATTCACTGTATATAGGTCATTCGTGGTAACATGACGGTCAGTGCTCATTTGCTTAACACTCATTTTTCGAATTAAACAATGGAGAAATATGGGTCAAATTTAAAAGGGCAGGAGGCAGTGAACAAGGGAGTCTTAACCCTAATCCGCCCCTAAATTTTTCCGCGATACCCTTGCAACATTGTTTTTCCCCCGACCCGAGCTTTGCTGAATTTTTAGTCAGGAGTCTTGCGCATAAATTTCCGACCATGGGTTGCTGCGCAGCAAAAATATTTTAGGCGCCATGTGAAAAATTAATTTCCCTTTGTAGCGTACACAAAGCATTATTAGCATTGATGCATATGAATAATCAATTGGCCACAAT